GGGTATCTGTGTCTGTGTGTCTGTGTGCGTTTGTGTGTGGGTGTGATCTGTGTGTGTCTGTGTGTGTGTGTGTGTTTGTGTGGGTGTGGATCTGTGTCTGTTGTGTGTGTGTGTGGGTATCTGGGTATCTGTGTCTGTGTGTCTGTGTGTGTGTTTGTGTGGGTGTGGATCTGTGTCTGTTGTGTGTGTGTGTGGGTATCTGGGTATCTGTGTCTGTGTGTCTGTGTGTGTGTGTTTGTGTGGGTGTGGATCTGTGTCTGTTGTGTGTGTGTGTGGTATCTGGGTATCTGTGTCTGTGTGTCTGTGTGTCTGTGTGTTGTGTGTGGTGTGTGGATCTGTGTCTGTTGTGTGTGTGTGTGGGTATCTGGGTATCTGTGTCTGTGTGTCTGTGTGTGTGTTTGTGTGGGTGTGGATCTGTGTCTGTTGTGTGTGTGTGTGGGTATCTGGGTATCTGTGTCTGTGTGTCTGTGTGTGTGTGTTTGTGTGGGTGTGGATCTGTGTCTGTTGTGTGTGTGTGTGGGTATCTGGGTATCTGTGTCTGTGTGTCTGTGTGTGTGTGTTTGTGTGGGTGTGGATCTGTGTCTGTTGTGTGTGTGTGTGGGTATCTGGGTATCTGTGTCTGTGTGTCTGTGTGTGTGTGTTTGTGTGGGTGTGGATCTGTGTCTGTTGTGTGTGTGTGGGTATCTGGGTATCTGTGTCTGTGTGTCTGTGTGTGTGGGTGTGTGGGTGTGGATCTGTGTCTGTTGTGTGTGTGTGGGTGTCTGTGTGTCTGTGTGTGTGGGTGTGGATCTGTGTCTGTTGTGTGTGTGTGTGGGTATCTGGGTATCTGTGTCTGTGTGTCTGTGTGTGTGGGTGTGGATCTGTGTCTGTTGTGTGTGTGTGTGTGTGGGTATCTGGGTATCTGTGTCTGTGTCCGTGTCTGTGTGTGGGTGTCTGTGTCTGTGTCTGTGTTCTGTGTCTGTGTGTGGGTGTGGATATGTCTGTGTGTGTGTGTGTCTGTGTCTGTGTCTGTGTGTCTGTGTGTGGGTGTGAATCTGTGTCTTTGTGTGGGTGAGTTTGTGCGTGCGTCTGTGTGTGTGTGTGTGTGTTTGGCTATCTGTGTCTGTGTCTCTGTCTGTGTCTGTGTGTCTCTGTGTGTCTGTGTGTGTTTGCGTTTGTTTCTTGGAATGTATGTTGATATTATGCTCAAGCTAAATGCTCGGAATGAGGAACCAGAGCCTTCCGATCTTTGGTGGGAAGGGGTTGACAGGGAATCAACATGAAATCACGCGGCGAGAGGTTTGCACGCTGGACACAGGGCCACACTACTTGCTTCGACATCGACATGGAAAGACAGCTTATGGTTCTTTGGGCGGCGATGTTGGCTGCTTCAAGCAGCAACTTTCCAGATCCCGAAACTCACCTTCCGTGATATATATATATATATATGTAACCAGTTTTTCGGTCATGGGTCTGTCTTTTCTCATACATGACTAGCTAGGAGTTCCTGTTTCGAAGCGGGGGTCTGGGGCTGGAGGTCGTGTTCTTGACGCGTCGCAACCGTCCGCAATGGTCCGCAACCGTCCACAATGTGGCGAGAAGGCTGCGCCGTGGGGGAAAGCTTAGACTGTGAGGTTTGCATGGTTTGAGAAGCATGCCTGGACCGTCCGACCAATTAAAATTTTGGCCGTTTTCCGAAACAGCAATAGTTTTCGCCGGCTGCTGCAAAGAACGCTCTTTCGGAGAAACGCTCGCCGCGAGTCCAGCTCCTGACCAGCAAAAAAAACACCCCCGTTTCGCCAGGAAGTTACGTCGTTTTGCATTTTTTAGTGATACTAGAGTGTGCAACCACTGCAACTGCCGGCAGGCGGAATAATAGCCGTTGGGTCAAAAAACAGTTCTCGACAAAGCAGCAACATTTTTGCACATGTTGGAAGAGCCAGGTATTGTTCTTACCTCGCGTGTGCGAAAATCATGGCGTTTGCAACGTCTCATGTTGTTGTGCTGCGCAGGCGCGGTTGCACCTTTAGTGCCATTGCGATTGGTGCTTGAGGGGTTGTTTTTTTTTCTTGTTCCCCCGTTTTGCTTGGCAGGCGTGTGGCGTTTGCGCCAGCATGCCCTCTCATAGAATTGGCTCTTCCAAGCCCGAAGCTTGTGAATATCGTCGAAATCATTCTGGCGCCGCAGTCCCGTGCCAAAATTTGGGGAAGCGCCATAAATTTCAAAGTTGGATTTCGCTGCAGCTCTGGACATTTTTGAAGCCGTTGCAAGCTCACTGTGCGTGACGGGCGCAGCACTCTGGAGTGTTCTGAGCAAATTCCGTGGTAGCCGTAGCGCCTTGGTGCCAAAAAATGGACGAGTAGATAGACTCGCAGAATGATACGGTATGCGGGTTCGTTGATGTCATTGACTAAGATAACTAGTTCGATGTAAGTGGACAGATGGAGAAATAGACGGAATGCGAGCTAGCTGTGAAGGTAGATCAGCAAATCGGTTGAAAGAAAGAAAGCAGAACAATTAAACAAAAACAAGAAGAAAAGAAGGAAGGAAGGAAAGAAGGCATGAAGGACAGGGAAACACAGAAAGGAAGAAAGGAAGGAAATCAAGAAAGTCCGGAAGACATAAAAGGAGCAAGGGAGAAAGACATAAAGAAAGAACAGACACAAAAACAAAGTGGAGTAAAAGAAGGAAGGAATAAAGCAATCAAGACAGAAATACAGAAAGAAAGGAAAAAAGGGAAGAAACAAGGACATGATGTTATACAACAAGAAAGGAAGGAAGGAAGCAAGGACAGAAGGAAAGTTATTGAATACATGATTAGCACAGCATAAATATCAAAAACAAAAAAAACCGTTGGACAACTAGATGCGCAAACGGACAGATTAGATAGCTGGAACGATAGATAGTCAGGGAGATGGCGAGACAAGCAGATAGATAGACGGATCGGTAGATGTACAGATGTGTAAATGCACAGCTGGGCAGATACATAGACAGATGGATAGGTACATACGCAGAAGTACAGGTAGGTGCATGGATGGATATATATATATATATATGTTCCAGGCCGTGGACCCCCCTGTGGGGGTGGGGTGGGTGGTGGGGTGGTGGGGTGGTGGGGTGGTGGGGTGGTGGGGTAGTGGGGTGGTGGGGTGGTTGGGTGGCTGGGGTGTGGTTCGGAGTTGGTTTAGGCTTGGTGGGTTGGTTTAGGGTTGGTTCAGGGTTGGTTTGCGGTGGGGTTGCAGGGTGGTTTGGTTTAGGGTAGGATGTTGCGAGAGGTGTGGGGGTGTTGGTTCACGGGGTGAAAGGGGGAGTCTGGGACCGAAGCTGCAGGGCTCACACGGTACTGGACAGCATCCCCAGCATTGCCAGCATCATCCCCAAGATGCGGATGATGCGGGGGAGTGGGACCATTGGGGGGGGGGGGGTACGTTGCCCAGGGACTGGTACATATATATATATATATATATCGGTAGATGGGTCAGTAGGCAAATCAATAGGTCAGTAGGCAGGTAAATGGATAGGCAGGTAAATGGATAGGCAGAGACGTGTGCAGATTGCCACGGTAGCTTTGGGGAATTGATTTGCATTCGGGTTCCTGGCTTCTATTAGGGTTCGAGGGTGCCGTTTGTTGTTCCCTTTTAAAGGGAAACCAATAGGAGACCCACCTTCTTTAGGGTCCCTCAAACGAGGCGTACCCCTTATCCTTTTGGAATCCCTGGTGTACAGGCGTCACATACGTTTGGCGTGTGCACGCGGGATCCTTCCCACAGCCTATTTATGGATGAACCAAAATGGAAGAACCAGGGGTCCCCGGTTTGTAAAGAACACTGGCTCGTGCTTTGAGTTGGAACATGGTGAAAACAAGTTGGGTATCAGACCACCCTTCTTAACAGGGCTCGGGGTTTGGTCGTTCAAGCCGCAGGCATTACAGCCATGATTTGTTCGGTCAATTTTCGTAAGGGGACGGGAAAATGTGTTTTGCTTCCAGAGCCCCAGCAAGAAGACACACAGAAGTTCCAGCATAGAACTCTAGGGAACTATGAGGGTTCCACGGCCATATCAGCCTAAGGCCATGCCAAACCCAGTGGCTCCAGGCAAACCATGGTAGGTAACCAGGATTTCGGGGTGCCCACCGAAATGTTGGTTTTCCTTTTGGTTTACCTTCCAAACAGCAAAAAACGGGTACCCTCAAAAAAAGACACACCCATGTAACACCTCCAGGCAACTGGAAGCACTGGGGTCTTGTCCTCTAGGCTCGGCTTCTCATGGGCCACTGGGCTTCCAAAGCCTTGGCGTGATGCGGCCAGGTGCCTTTACCAAGCTCCACCAGTCCATGGGCACGCAGGAGTACAGCTGGTCCTTGCTGGTGCGCCGGACCGAAAAAACGTCGTCGAGAAGCAAACTGGGACCTGGTGTCTGTCGTTTTTGGCTCGCTGCTCTGTTGGAGGTGGTAGTATCTGGGGTAGACTTAGGATACATTTTACATTTTACCAGTGACTCAAAGTGAAGCAAACAGTGGCATATACATTCTATAACAGGGCCTAACTCTCATCATGGTTTAAAGGGAGGAGACCACCATGTTTGGGATCCCCGTTTTGTTTTGGCACACCTCCGACTCGCCGCGGTTCGCGAAGCGCGCATCATCTTGCAAAGCTCTGGATGTGTGGTCCCCCTCTTCGAAGCCCCCTTGCATGGGTGAGAAAAGCGAAGCACCTAAGGGTACTTCACAAATACATTCAGAATGCTGGAGTTCCAAACATACTTAGATGCTCTAGTTCCATCGAGAGGGCCACTTTTGCCATCCAGAATACACGAGTTCCAGATGGTGTTTTGAAACTCACTTTGCCGGTGTTGTTATCGTGAACTTTCCTGGGGATTATCAAAGTGATTGGGGACTGTCTCCCTTTAGCCAACCACTTTGAACATGGCAAACTCATGGGGACGGTTTTGGATATATCTGATAGGTGACAAAATGGGAAGCAAGGTCTATAAGTCTCTCCAACAGCCATGGTGTCGGAAGACAGTTGTCACCACTACTGGACTTCAAGCTCTAAGCGCGTCGTTGTTGTCCAATACCTTTCCCCAAATAATACTTCCCAGACTCCCAGACAATGATTATTTGTTGACCTTTATGTTATTTTTTGTATGAGGAAGTTATTAAGTGGCAACAAGTGCGTTGACTTGTTTCGGACCTCAGGCAGGGAGAAATATGTTGGGGTCTGGGCGATACCGAGACCTGGCAGGGGATCACAGAACCCATGAAAAAGAATCACAGCATTCCTCAAGGGACGGGATGGAATCCACGGCAAGAAGGACGTTGATCATTTCTTGACTGCTATTGGGTTGGATCTTTAGACTTTAACTTTTTTGGAAATCAAGGGGTTTTCCACTAAACCCCCAAAAGTTAAACTTTTTGCAGGGGGGTCAACAGCAACCAAGATTTTGTGAACAAAACAACTCGTCAAAGTTGACCTTTGGGTGTCACAGGTGGCTGGCCCAAGTATAATGTTGACCCGGATGAATAAACACATCCTATTGGGGGGGGGGGTCCGAAATTCAAGTGAGCAGCTTTTTATTTTTCTCAACATGTATATAGAAACCAAAACTTTGGTGCATTTTGCTTGGATGTTAGGACTCTAACTTTTTGCCAACTGATGGGTTTTCCGTATTAAACCACTAACAGTTAGTCACTTTTAGCATGGGGGCAGAAAGCAACCGAGAAAAGGCGAGGGAAATTGGCTTGGTGGCCGCGTAGCCTATTCCTCGGACCGCATAGCCTCGCGGGAGCCTCGTAGCCACTGGCAGAGGGAGCTGTCGATAATTGCCCGCGTAGCCTCCGCTTAGCCCCTTTGCTTTGAACTAAAAGCTTAGGTTGAAAGCTTGTCGTGTTGCGAAAGTGCTCAGGTGATGATCCACGACTAAGCCCAGGGGAACTTCCTAATCAACCAGGGTTTGAGTAATCCGGGGCTAACATCAGTTGTTTCCAGTTGGGCCTTTTGCTTGCCGATCCGCTATTGTATAGATCTAAGGCGGAGGCCTATTTCCAAATTGCAAGGGACCACTCCAAACCTTGTAATTTAATCCGAGTCAAGCATATTGCCCCAAACTCCCCTCAGAACTTTGGTGCATTTTGCTTGGATGTTAGGACTTTAACTTTTTGCCAACTCATGGGTTTTCCGTATTAAACCACTAACAGTTAGTCACTTTTAGCATGGGGGCAGAAAGCAACCGAGAGAACTTCAGCCTTGTCGTTTGGATTTGTTCCTTCCACCGCGCCATCGTGCAACAGGCGTACATGATGCGCCCCGGCACCACCCTTTCGTCCGGCAGTGGTGGCAGTGGTGGCAGTGGTGGCAGCGGGGCCATCAAGGCTGGCCCCGAGTTCTTGGCAGATTCCTGCTCCATTGTGTACAGTGAGAGCGCTGTATAAGAAATCGGTTGGTCAAGGCCCAGGGGGACTGAATTTCTTAGCGTCCATTTTGTCTTTAAAAGAGCTGGTTTCTACCCCTCTGGAGCCAGGGGGACTGTATTTTGTGCGCCCTTTTTTTGTCAGGTACCCTTATGTGGTGGTTTGGATTGGTGGCTTGGGGATTTGAATTCCTGGTTCGTGTTCGAGGTAACTGGAAAGCTACCCCGTAACTTCTAGACCACCAAACAAAGCCAAGCTATTGGAGATGCTGTTTTTGGATTGCACAGGAGCAAACAGAAGGATATTGGCAACAGGGACCCAATTTAAAACAGTGTTGAGAGTGACCCTGGAACTTGGACACGCTACTTCGAGCGATTCCTTGGCACTGCCGAAGTAGTATCCCTCCAATGGACGCTGACCGGGACTTTGAAAGACTACTTCCCTTTTGGAGAACCATTTGTCCACTCCCATGTTGGTTGGAAAGGGGATACATAAAAGCATAATAATGCCCGCAAAAGCACTGTCTTTAGCACTGCCGAACAGTTCACCAGCGCGTTGTCGAAAAGTCGATATAGTAAGGCCTATATCAACCTTCATAACCAGCTTGGTAGAACTAAGAGTCAATGGGTTTTGGACGCTGCTCAGGTGAACAACTCACGTATGTTCAGGGAATGTGAAAGCAAGCAAACCGCAATGCGACACACGAGGAGCATTATCATGTCGGTATTTATGCTTGGGTCCAACTCACAAATGACACGCACACAGACACAGACATACCATCGCCTTTGCATCTTTTCCGCGTGCAGGGAAAGCTTGCCAGTGCACGCTGCATTGACCCAACTGGCAAACATTGGCGAAGCCCGCAACACCGGCGAGTAAACAACTGATTGGATTCCTCAACTCGAACTGGCTGAAAGGGGAACCCAAAGGAAAACCTCCAATTTTGCTGTGGACCATCTCTTTATGCGTCTTTGTGGCCATTTGGTAACGGATAGAATGGGGGGATTGAGCCCATTTTGGGCTTGTTTTTGTTCTAAGGATGTCACCTCCCATGGTAGGGTTGGCACCCCCCATTTCCTAAATTGTGCATAAAAGAAAATGGGCCTGGTCAGGAAGGGTCCTAGGTTGGCCCCCATTTTCTAAAATTAGTTTTTTTTCAGTCTGGATTGGTTGACCCTCCCGTTGTCTTGACCCCGCGTTTTTGCGTGCATTAACAAAACACGCGAAGTACAGAACTACAAATGAGTTTTTGCTGATTGAGAGTCCAGGAGCCGAGACTCTTGAACCGAGTCACAACTTCATGTCCCGTTTTCCGTTCGCATGGTGAGGTTGGACCCCTGGACCCCCACATTTTCTAAATTGAGCATGTTTTATGAAGATGGGGTCGGCCCGCCGTCTTCTAATGAAAAATGGGGTTGGACCCCCCCCCCCTCCCAACACCAGACCCCTAATTATCTTGGGGATTGTCCAGTGGACCCACAAAAAGTTTAAACACTCTTTGCAGAGGGGTCAACAGCAACCAAGCTTTCAGCGGGTGTACGCTTGGCGTGCAGTTTATCATTTTGGGGCAGCCATGCCTGAATTCTTCCCCAGAATGAGTTCCCCTTTTTTTTGGATTTTTTGGGGTTCCCTTTGTTTTCCACTAACCAGGCAACAACATATTTTTGCTGGGGTCTTAATTCCAGCCAAGAATTGGAGTTGGTTTTGCTGGGCGTGCGTATTGTCTAACCCAGCACCGTGGGTGGGCAGACGCCTAAATGTCTGAGGGGTTTTGTGTTACACCCTGGGGTTACACCCTTGGGAAATGACCCAGAATGGTTCAAAATAACACGTTTTATCCGGAAAGGTGCAATCCAAATGGGGTTAATATCTAGTGGGTCTATTCCCAGGGTGTAACACAAAAACCCTTAGAACATGACATCAAACAACATGCGGAAGGAGCCCCGCGGCAGGCTGGCCCTCAACGAGATCAAGTTCAAAGAAACCCCCTTGGGCAGGGCTCCTTAAAAGATGCATGTTGCCCACTTGAAACATGATTTTTTCCACCAAAATAAAAGGAAACCACCATTTACAAGGCAATGTTCAGGTGTATAATGTAAGGATCCCTGTTGCGGCTTCCCTGTTACTTCTCAACTACCATACTAGAATGCATATCTGAAGTAAAACACTTGACCAACACCAAGGGTACATCAGTGTGGTTTTATTTTGCAAGGTCCAAGCTACGTACTTATCCACTGCATTGGGCCAACAAGTTTGAACTTTTTACTGGCGAGTGAACTACTCTTGGACTTCAAACATTTTGGGACTGGACCATTTGAGGCGTAAAGAGCAGCGGGACTTCAAACATCTTGGGAGGACCATTTTACTTGGTGGCTCCCAGCCATCCAGTTCCTTAGCTTTTTAGCTTTTCACTAAAAGTTCTCAACTTTTAGCGGGGGAAATGAGGACAGCTCAGTTTAGTAGTTCTAAGCCGGCGAAGCCGGTGGGCGGAAGTTTCAAAAATATAAAAACTATAGTTATCTTTCTCTTTCTTTTCTTGACTCTTTTTCTCCGTCATTCTTCCTTTCTTCCTTTCTTCCTTTCTTTCCTTCCTTCCTCCCTTCTTTCCTTCTTTCTATCTGTCTTTTTTGTATTTCTTTCGTTTGCTTGTCTATCTATCTTTCTCTACCTATCTATACCTAACTACCTGTCTATCTATCGCTCGTGCTATCTATCTATCTTCTCTATCTATCTCTCTATCTCTCTATCTATATATCTACCTATCTCTCTATCTCTCTATCTATCCATCTCTCTATATCCCTCTATCTCTGTCTCTCTCTTTCTCTATCTGTCTCTCTAGCCCTCTTTCTTTCTATCTTTCTATCTCTCTATCTGTCTTTCTTTCTTTTTATTTTTCTCTCTATCTCTTTCTCTATCTCTTTCTATCTATCTATCTATCTATCTATCCATCTATCTCTCCATCTATCTCCCGCGTATCTATCTATCTATCTATCTATCTATCTATCTATCTATCTATCTATCTATCTATCTATCTATCTATCTATCTATCTATCTATCTGTCTATCTCTCTATCTCTCTATCTCTCTGTATACCTATCTATCCATCTCTCTCTCTCTCTCTATCTGTCTATCTCTCTATCTATCTATCTATCTATCTATCTATCTATCTATCTATCTACCTACCTACCTATCTATCTCTCTATCTCATTATCTCACGTGTATTTATCCATCTCTCTATCTCTCTACATATCTATCCATCTGTATTTCTAATTATCTATAAATCTACCTATCTATCCAGCTCTCTATCTACCTCTCTCTCTACCTGTCTATCTATCTATCTATCTACCTCTCTATCTATTTATCTATCTATCTATCTATCTATCTATCTATCTATCGATCTATCTATCCATCTATTTATTTCTCTATCTATCTACCTATCTATGTATATCTCTCTATCTCTGTTTCTATCTATTTATCTATCCCGCTATCTATCTATCTGTCTATCGATCTATCTGTCTGTTTATCGTTTATCTATCTGTTTATTTATCTCTCTATCTATCTATCTATCTATCTATCTATCTATCTATCTTTCTTTCTTTCTTTCTTTCTTTCTTTCTTTCTTTCTCTTTTTATCTATCTATCTCTCTATCTCTTTCTCTCTCTCTCTGTCTATTTATCTATCTATCTTGCTCTCTCTCTCTCTCTATCTATCTATCTATCTATTTATCTATCTATCTATCTATCTATCTATCTATCTCTTTCTCTATCTTGACTTCGCTCACTACTTTCGTACTTAAAAGTTGCGATTTTCGAGCCCCAGCTACGAAAGTGGACTTCGCGTACTACTTTCGTACTTAAAAGTTGCGATTTTCAAGCCCGGCTGCGAAAGTGGACTTCGCGCACTACTTTCGTACTTAAAAGTTGCGATTTTCGAGCCCCAGCTACGAAAGTGGACTTCGCGTACTACTTTCGTACTTAAAAGTTGCGATTTTCAAGCCCGGCTGCGAAAGTGGACTTCGCGCACTACTTTCGTACTTAAAAGTTGCGATTTTCAAGCCCCAGCTGCGAAAGTTGACTTCGCTTACTACTTTGGCACTTAAAAGTTGCGATTTTCGAGCTCCGGCTGCGAAAGTTGACCTTGCAAAAGTGCTGCGCCTGCCACGAAATCTGTGCTTGACCTCGCGAAAGTGCTGCGCCTGCCACGAAATCTGTACTTGACCTTGCGAAAGTGATGCGTTTGCCACGAATTTTGCACTTGACCTTGCGAAAGTACTGCACCTGCCACCAATTCTGTACTTGACCTTGCGAAAGTGATGCCCCAGCCACGAAATCTGTTCCTGACCTCGCGAAAATGCTGCCCCTGCCACGAAATCTGCACGCGCCGCCTTGCGCGTCCGTGCCAATGGGATTTGCGATGCGTCCGTGCCAGAAGTAAGAAAATGCCGCGCCTGTCACAAAATCTGCACTGGACCTTGCGCAAGTGATGCACCTGCCACGAAATCTGTACCAGACCTTGCCAAAATGTTGCGGTTGCCACGAAATTTGAACCTTGCGAAAGTGTGCGCGTCCGTGCCAATGGTCCCGGCGCGAGCCCGTCCCGAGCCCGTCCCGAGACCGTCCCCGTCAGACGCCGCGACCGGGGTAGCTTTCAGCCAGCCGGAGAAGCCAAAACCCGCAGAGGGTTGCACTTTTTGCAGATTTCTGTTTCCCCGCCACACGTATACGCACGTTTTCTCGCATGCATTCATTTTTTCTTCATCTCATCTTTGCACAGAGCTACCTTTCAATTAGTTTCCGTAACTCGGAAGTTTCCTTCTAAACTTCCTTTGACTAAAATAGACTACAGAAAAAAGAAACGGTACCCTTATTCTATCCTCTCTACTGGAGGACCTATCTTGGGAGGACCGTTTTAGGGGTAAAGAACTGGTCCAGACGTTCCTCAACTCCTTCGCAGCTGCGACTCAGCGACGGTCGCACGCTCGCTTGACTCTCGCGGAGGCGCAGGCCACTACAACTTCGGCGGTTGCAAGCGCAAGTCGACCGGCAGGCGCCAAAAACGGGACCGAGTGGAGAAGAAATGCGTGTGTCTCACTTCCATTTGCTTAAGAATATTTTTTATTTTCCCCTGTTGTTTTCAAAGGGAATCTATCACTACGTGAAATATGTTTTTCCAGGGGTCTTAACCAAATGTAAGCCCAGTTCAAAAGAAAGGAGGGTTTCCTGTTGGTTTCCTCAAACCACTGCAGTATCCAAGAGGGCTCCCTATTTTGAGGGTGTGTCTTTTCGGTTTTCCCTTCGGTATCCCTCGGAAAGAACCTCGTACCAACGTCCGGACGGACCATAGGTCAAACTGGCTCGGCACTTCCGAGCTGAAACACGCGTGCCTAGCACCAGGAAATTGCGGTATATTTTTTGAGGAAATTCCCCAGAAAACCAAATTTGACGCCTTTTGGCTTCCGTTCTTAGGGTCCGTTCTTAGGGCTTCCTTGTTGAACCAGCCAAAGAGAGGTTCCTTAAAAAAAAGACTGACCCAACTGATCTTGCATTTGGTGAAGTGTTAATTTTCCCCTTTTGGTCTTAAAGGCAATCTAGCACTACTCCTTTTTTCCCCAGGGGACTTAAGCAAAATGCAGGCCAGGGCTGGCGGCTTTGAGTATGGTACTGATACAAACAACAATAGAGAAACATAATGCCAGACAGCACATTTGACAAGTTAGTGTGCGACCTCGGCGTGTTGGTTTGCGGCGGACCCATGATGCGTTCTTTCTTGGGTGTTCCGCATGTTAGATTGGCATATACGTAGGTACGATCCACCCGGTGTCCCGTGATTACTTCGGGCTTATGTCACAAATATATTATATATAATATACAGTATACATGAACTGTATTAAGTTGTTACAGTCCACCCAGAGCACGTAAACACGTTCAACGGATCCTAGTTTCTCACTTTCCTTTATGGACATGTTTTCTTACATTGCTGCAAAGTGGCATGTCAAATTGGGTTGGAAACTTGTTTGTGAACATTTTCTCCAACAAACTGTTGGATCAGCCGACCTATCAACAAGAGGCTTCCCAAAGGCCAAGGGAAGACGTGGCAAAGGCTTGGGTTACAGGACATTCTAGAGGAAACTCAGCGGATTTACGGTGGTTTGGGCCAAAACAACTGTACAGTAGATGTCCTGTAGCCAAGCCTTTTTACACATGGTGATGTCATTGTATTTGTGCGTCCAGGCAACGTGCAGATCCAAGGGTTTGTGTTAGAAAACCCCCAAGGGGTCGGTGTAGCCACCCTTGAAGGCTGCCTCAATCAGTTTGTAGCTTCTTATCTAGGTGACTCAGAGCTGATGTGGCTTTGACTGTTTCAATTCCCACTTTGCCTTTGCTAGCGGACGAACAACACCCAAGGGTGGACATTTCACCTTGTTCTTCAACCGGTCCTTTTATCAACAACCTGTTTTCTGTGGTCTTTGATCCGTGCCTACTTGGTGACTCCCAGCCATCCCCTTAGCTTTTTAGCCTTTTAGTGTTTAGTGGTAGTTTCCATTTAACCAAGGAAACTATTAACTTTTAGCGGGGGATCTGAGGGCAGCCCAGTAAAGGAAAGTTGGCTGTTGCGTATGTGCGCAAGTCCGCAAGCACCAGTGGCCTCTGCTTTGGGGCTCGAATCCCTCAGCCGAATGTCGACTGGTTCGAAACACAGGGTTTAAGTCAATGGATCCCTTGGAGGGTTGAGTCACAGGGATACCCATCCAAGGTTCCCGGAATCCCAAACTTTCAGGCCCCATCGACTCGATGGGGCCAATGGGGCCCAGTTGCAGGAGAGTTGGGGGTCACACCACATGAGCCACTTGCTCAAAACCCGGGGATTGATGAAGGTTAGTAAGGGACAAGCCCAACCATAAATAGTTGCGGCCGCCTTACTTCTTTACATGGCTCTGGGTCGACCGTTTTAATGCCGGGTATTGATTATGACTCACATGTTTGGCCCATCTAAGGTGTGTTTTCACTGAGGTATGTGAGGGGGTGGACGCCAGCATCAGATATCCTTCTCATGAGGATCCAGCCTCTGGTCGAGCACCCCTCGATGAATCAAGACGAGTTGGAGCTCATTTCTTACAGATGAAGACGGATTCGTTCAGACCTTGAAATGCTATGGATTTCATCTTTTTGCCAAAGTTTACGAAGCGTGGTCTAAGTCCAAGTAACTTCATGCCCCAGCCCATCCAGGACCCAGGTAAAAAACTCACGTCTTGATTTCGGTCTGGGCAGCGCCCGGTCTGTCGCCCAGGTTTCTCCGGGCTTTGGGCGCCCATAGGCGGGACCCGCAAATATCTATGTGTCCTTGGTGCAGGTACACGCATGTTCCTTACATTCACATATTACATACTTAAAATAGTTTCTCTCTTCCTCTCTGTGTGCTTATATGTTCGGTATAATGATGTCTCCCTCTCTATGTGCTTATATATGTTTGTATGCATATCCAAACACCCACAACACTATGTACTTATATGAATAGGTATACATACCCAAAAAACTGATAAGACAGAAGGAGCTACCCAAAACGAAGGCTATGCTGGGACAATGCAGAGATATCATGGGCTTTTTCACGCAGGGCCGTTTCAACCAGAAGGTTTTGTTTTTTGTTGTGAAATTCCAGACCTTTTCCTTTGTAATTTCCCTAATTTCCTGGGCTTGCTGTGAACTCTGCCTAGGCTTCTCAGATGGTTGTCCCATGGTTTTGCTAGGGTTTTGCGCATGACTTTACCGTTGTTATTTCCATAGGCTTGTCTGATGGTGTTCACGTGGCTTTCCCATGGTTTTCCCATGGCGCTCGCGTGGCTTTCCCATGGTGTTCCCATAGTTGTCCCGTAGTTTTCTAAAGGCTTTCCGAGGCTTTCCCATGGTTTTTCATTTTTTGGCCATCAGCCTGTCCACTCCAATGCTATTCCTGCTTTTCCAATGCTTTTCCTTTGCTTCTGTCCATACCATTCCATGTTTATCCTTAGGAATTAGCTTGCCACAAGGCACCATTCAGGGTTAGCAAAACGTAAGGAAAACTGCTGGAGTCATCTAACCTGCATTTCGTTTCAAGAGACCCCATTTGCACATTATCAGAGGAAAGCCAACAGAGACTTGGAGCAATCTGGGTCGGCCGTTCCTTTGGAATGAGTAGCTTTGCTTTGACGGACGTTGACGCTCAGCCTTTTCCGAATATTTTGTTGCGTGTCTCCAGCTGGGCGAAGCAGCGTGTGCAGAGGGTCACGTAGCCCAAAATTTGCCTGCCGTTCATGTCGCCCTGTGCTCTGCGCTTTGTCTAGGTCCCCCAGTAGTGCCCTTTTACCCTTTTTTGGGGGGGCGGGTTCCCCCGTACTAAAATAGACTATACAGAACAAACAGGGTACCCTTTTTCTAGCCTCTCCACTGCAGGACCTAGTTGTGTTTGAAGGAGGTTCCCTTTCAAATCCATCCCGCCCCAACGAGGCTTCCCTGGCCTCAGCATGCGCAAGGAATGTGTGTCATGTTTCTTTTGGGGGGATAAGCGCCCGCCCTTGCAATCACAGCTGTTTTTTAATACCCATGTCTCCTCTGCGCTTGCCTTATATGGATCGCTCAAAGCGGCATGGGCATGAAGGCATTGCATGTTGGACCTGTGGCCTCTTCTTAACCAGGGTGCCCTTTAATCCAGGTGCCATTTAATTTGGCTTGGGCAAACCATTGTAACATTGTGCAGAGGGAACGGAGAACGCAAAGCCACCTGTCACTTCCCGAGTTCCTGGACTTTATTCTTTTTAGGAGGACCTCATGTCAATGGCAAATAAACAGCGTGGATGTTTGTGTCAATCCACTCAGGTCTGGTCCTGTGGGTTGAAACATTACCAGGGAACGGGGCAAAGGGCAGAGGGAATCTGCCGTTGAAATCCGATTCTCCAGGTCAGAGCGTGCCACCTGGGCACACCGACTACTCCTGGCACCACGCAGACGCAGGCTCCAAGGCTGGGGCTGGGGTTCCGCAGCGTGGTAACTGGTCGCTTTTTCTCACTCCTCGTGTTCCTGGACTTTAAAACGTCTATGTTTAGTGGCAAACAACAAGAAAAGACTTGTTCTGCCCAAAACACTTGTTCGGAAATGAGTGTTGTGCTTTCTACTTGCCGTAGAGAGCACATGAAGCGTATCAAAAGTCAATGGGTTCCAGGTGAATTGGTTGCCATACCAAGTCAATTTGCAGTTTTTTGCCCTTGGTTTGTTTTCTTCATGTTTCCTGTTAGCCAGCAAGCAGGTCGCCCTTTTTTTTGCGGGGGGGAGGAAGGCGGGGTGAAGTCTGGCCAAGTTTTGGCGCCTACAGAGGATCAGACAGCGCAGGCGATGTGTGAATCCTGGACGCAACTGGATCATGTGATATGCTGCCTGCTGGGGCCAGAGCAACCTGCCATGGATCCGATTCCGAATTCCAAGGAACGCCTAAATGAGGATGTTGACCCACTAGAATTCAATCCTGCGGGCCTAGCTTTCCTTTAATGACTCTGAAGCTATCTTAAGCGCTCAATGCCTCCATACAGCTCTGCATGTTTGCCACTTGCTTGGTAATTATGTGCCCGGCGAAAGAGAAAAAAAGAACACGGCGCAGGCTGCATTTCTCAGGGTATCGGTTCAAGCCTCCACCTGCCACGGTTCTCATTGTGGGCTTCAAAAATGTTGATCGAGATGCTTCAATCTGGGTGTGGCTAATGTGAGTCCAGCAATCGCTTTGGGCCTTAAACAACGGTGCTAACATGATTACAGCTAGGCCCAGTTGTAGAATGTATATGGTATAGTTTGCTTCACTTTGAGTCACTGGTAAAATGTAAAATGTATCCTAAGTCTACCCCAGCTAAGTAGAGGCTGCGCGGCCCACGATCGAAAGCTGCCTGTGCTAGTGACGCGGTTCGAGGACTTAGGCTACAAGGCGACTATGCAGTTTTCCTCGCCTTTGGGTGTGGCTCAAACTGCTGGGCTGCCCGCTTTGAGATCCCCGCTAAAAGCGATAAACTTTTAGTGGGCTAAATTTGGAAGCTACCACTAAACACTAAAAGGATCCAAAAAGCTAAGTTGAACCGGATGGCTGGCTTCGCCACCAAGACTGGAGGGTCAATATGAAAGGCTGGATTCCTCAATGTAAACTTACAGCCCAAAGAAACCTCAAAGGACGCGCTAGCCTCAATTTCTCACACCACCTGAGGTGATCTATATATACTCTGGTCTCACTTTGGCTTGTAACTTGTCGCCCATGGTAGTTGCCACGTTGGGCGTCTTTCCCCTTTGCGAATCCGGGCAGTCATCCGAAAGGTCCTTGCAGGTCTTATGGTTGCCTTCCGCGAAGGCTGCGCGACATGGGGATCGCAGCTTTTTTTTCTCGCGGAAGTTTTGGAAGCGTGGGGTGGCTGAAAGGGAAGAGGGAATGATGAACCGGCCGTATATTTGAATCCGGCCGTATATTTGCAGAAAGGAATGATGAACCGGTATACCTTTTGTAACCGAATGAGGAAACGGCCGTGTATTTGCCGGCACTGAACCGGTTCATGCACACAGACCAACGTGGGCCAGAGGAAAGTGCGGGCTCGCTGCAAAAGCAACCATCAGGAATCAGCTTTGAGTTTTTGAGCCGTCGCGTCCAGTGGAGCAACTTTCCAGCCGGAGGTTTCGCGCATCGTAGGATCCGCGTGTCTCGCGACCTCCGATGGACCTCCAGCGGGTCTCCTGCGGTGCGGCATGGCGTGCGAGCCGGTGCGGAAGTGCACTTCGTGCACAACGTGTGTGAGGAATGTTGTGAAAGTAGCCCCGCAACAGGCTCCGCGAGGTCGCTAGAATCGTTTCCCCCCCGGGAAGGTGGTGCTTCCGGGAAGAAGACATTCTCACTTCCGGAGATCCTGGACTTTAGACTTTTTGGGAAGATCATGTCTGTGATAAAAATGTTTGGACTGTTGTTGGTCAGTCGTCTCAGGAAGTGAGAATTTGAGACAAACATATCACTTGGTTTGTTAAGCGACCTTCTTTTCCCTGTTTGGCAGCCCGTTTGACCGCCAGTGGGGGGCCTGTTTTGGTCCACATGGGTAATCCATGTTGTTTGATGCAGGTTTATCTTACATTGGTTTAAAACAAAACCGCAAAAGAAGGACACAATTCTGTGGCCCCCTATTTTGACACATACCGTAGCCCATGCGGAGTAAGGTCCCAAAAGATGGAATGCCGAGCTCCTCTTAGGGAGGGTACCCCCCCCCCCCCAAAAACCTCCTTGTGTGGCCTTATTTTGTTTCATGTGGACTTTTTGGTGTCTATTTGGGATTAGTTTGTTTGGCACTTTTGATGTCTATGTGGGTCACAGAAACGACTAAACAAACTACAGGCAGTTGCCAAGCTACCAGCGCCAAGGAAATTGTGCGTGCCTGGAGTCTCCATGACAAGTCAAGCACGGGGTCATGACCCAAATAATGGCGTATAGTGGGTAGATGGCCCCCCACTTTTACCGGGATCATGGTGACTTGTATCTAGCTATCTATTTGTCTGTCGAACATCTATGCATTTATCCAGCTATCCATCCATCCATCCATCTATCCATCTACCTATCTGTTTGTCTGTCTGTTTGTCTGTCTGTCTCGCTGTCTATCTATCTATCCATCTATCGATCCATTTGTCTGTCTGTCTATCTGTCTGTCTATCTGTCTATCTATCTACCTATCTAATCTATCTATCTATCTATCTATCTATCTATCTATCTATCTATCTATCTATCTATCTATCTATCTGATCTATCTGTTTGCCCGGCTATTTATCCATCTATCCATCCATCCATCTGTCTGGGTCTTGCGGCGCATGCGGCGCACCCCCGGCCTGCGATCAGGGCTTCTCCACCCTTTGGGCGGCGAGTGGCACGGAGGTTCCTCCGGGGCACACCGCCTACTCCTGGGAGAAGGCACCGCCCGGCGCAGCGGGGCATGGGGGCGGGCGTGTTGTCCCCATCATCCATTTTTTGGTCAGGGGACCCAGGTTTTTTGAGTGGTTTCCTTCTGGCTTCCCTTTGAAACCACACTCAAAAAAAATATCGCTTTTCAGAAGCTGGGTTTCAGGTTCTTCTGTGTTTTTTGTTTCCCTTTTTTAATGAGTTTATTGGGCGTCTATGACTGCTGGAAATGTGTTTACTGTTTTTTTTTCCCCCCGAGGAGACGAAAAGACAATGGAGGCCCACGTTGCCACAGGGGTAAAAAACACAAAACAAAAGGGAAAGGTCCCATGGTACGAGTCCAGGACCTCTCAGGTTCCATGCGGACAGGATGGCAACTCACCTTTGCCCTTTGGCCCGTGGTCGTTTTTTCAGCGTTTTTCTTGTAAAATGCCTGGCAGGAAGCTCCAGATGATGTGTTTGTGTGTGTGTGTGTTTCAAAGGGAACAGTTATTTCGGGGAAACCAACAGGAAACCGAAAGGAAGGCCAAAAGACTTGTGGCCACGTGGCAAAATATGGGTTTGGACCTTCTAATGATTCTAATGGAGATTTTCCTTCTGGTCTCCTCAACAAACAAGCTAAGGGTAGCCTCAAGAAACCCGGCTCCCTTTGTGTCCGCGATGTGGCCAGGCTGGCAATCACTTCGATTTCGCGGCAACATGTTTTGGTGAAAACCGGGCCCCGGTGGCACGGCAAAGAACCCGGAGGTGGCCGAAAGGTCGACCAAGTTGAGTCTCTGACCACTGAGAAGCATCAACCTTGCAGGAATTCGCTTTTGGCCGAAAGGTGATGTTTGCATCCACCGAAGAGGAAACATCATCCAATCTAAGGTATTTTTGCAGTTGAGATGTTTGTATTGAAGGTGTGTTGGAGGGTTCTTCCGGCGTTTCGCAGTGTCTTCTTCTCGGCGAGAGCAAGTCCCATTGAGCGCCCGAAAATCATTCCGACTTGGCTATTTTAGTAAGTGGTACTAGAATGGTTTTGAAGGTCTTTAGAAACTTATATAACCGTTAACAGGGCTCCTTAAAATATACATTTTGCAACCATTTGAAACATGTTGCTTTTTCCACCAACATAAAGGGAAACCACCATTTACAAGTTGCAATGTTCAGGTGTTGCTGGGGTCCACAAGTTAACGGGTTGTAAGGATCCCTGATCGAATGAAACCTAACCATTAATTTCGGTCGATTTAACTCACTGGTTCCTCTTGGCTTGCGGAAGAGCCCACAGCCTTTAGCATGAAACCAAAGGAATGGGAAGTGGAACCTACTGTGGACAGTTGCAAAATCCATTTCGCACCACGAAATGAAACCATGGTTGAAGCCATTGTTTGTTGGTATTTACAGGGGAATCATTCATTCCAGGGTTTCTTGGTGGTGCAGGATTTAGTCCATCCACAGTTTGGAGGGGTTTTCAACAGTGGTGAGTGGCAAAATGGGGGGGGGACCCATCATGCATGGTGGTTACCCTCTGGATTTCCCATTTATCAAGCCAGCTCCAAGCATGGTACCATCAAAGAAGCACACGTTGAGATGGTGGATGTTTGGGTTTAACTCACTTCCTGAGTTCATGAACTTTAAACTTTTTGGGAAGACCAGCTTAGTGGTAATTAAAAAGTTTGAACTTTTTTTGGGCCATCCACTCAGCCAGTGAGTGGTGGATGTTTGGGTTTAACGGAAGCCCAAGGAAAACCCTTGCCATGTCTGGGGATTTCCCGTTCGATTTCCCGAGAAACCTCAGACACCAAAAACGGCAGAGGGAGCCCCTTGGGGCCGGCTGAAGCGGGCGGGCGGGACGCGGAAAAAAACCGCCAGGCAATGGCTGCCACGCAGGCTGAGGGAGGGCATGTTTCTCAAAGTCGGGGGGGCCGAAACTTGATTGCTATTGAGTTGGATATTTAGACTTTAACTTTTTGGTTGAAATCAAGTTGGGTTTCCGTATTAAACCCACAACAAATTATAAACTTTTTGCAGAGGGGTCAACAGCAACCAAGTCAAGATGGGTTTCTGTTGGGTGTTTTTTGAAATGCCAACCAAAAGGGGCTCAAATTCATGTTTGCGAAACTCCCAACCTATGGCCTTGCCATCACCTCAAAGAGCGCCTTATGTTGCATAAGGTGACATCTCAGTTGCCATAAACATATCGCGATGCCTTGCCCTCCGAGATGCAGTTTAGTGATGAGAGCCACCCCACCCCACCCGCCCCCCCAACCCTTGCTGCAGGCATACAGTAGGGAGCGTAAGTCCGGATCAAAGCGAAGGGGATGAATAATTGAACATGTCTTCAGACCCCAATTTCGCACCCAGCTAACCCTTGTCGTAGCAAGGCTATACCCCCTTGTCGACTTCCACGATTGTTGCCCAAAGAGAAACAGGGGTATGCAATATCTACGAACACCAAAGACGTGGCGTATGAACAACGCCAGATGTCAAAGACTTCAATTCTGATGCAAGCACATTTCAGTAGAACCTGGGTGCAAAGACTTCCTTTTGTCAAAGCCAAGTTTCTCTATAGAATCATGGTGTGTGCCTAGACTCTCCATGACCCTTTCAACATGGGGTCGCCCAAAAGAAAGGGGTCATGACCCCTTAGGGCTCACGGAGACAGGTGGACGTAGCATCCCTCTTCGGCCAGGCCAAGCCGAAGGAGAAGCCGAAGGAGAAGAAGCCGGAGAAGCCAAAGGCGCCGTGGTTCGCGCCTTCGCGTCCACCGCGTCCACCGCGTCACGACCGTGGGATCAACTCCGAGGTTTGCAGCTTGGGCTGTGAAGCGGTCCCCCAGCGAAGTGCAGCCCAGATATCTATAGAAGGCCTCTGGTGTGCCACTCCTTGGTGGTTTTGTGTCGGTTCTTTTGGGCTACAGCTAGGTTTGCCAGTGCCCTTGACCCTTTTTAGCCAGGAGCTAAGGAGCTGCCAGGAGGTCTGTACCTAGGTCCCCCAGCTTGGTGCCCGATCTTTTTTGCCAATTATTTTTTTGGTTGGGAGGAATTCGGTTCCCCTAAAATAGACGTCATGAAAAAGAAACGGTACCCTTATTCTAACCTCGCAAGACTGGAGGCCCGAGCTGGGCAAAGTCAAAGACCTGTGAGTGTTTACAGCTTTTACGCTCCCGACCAAAGTGCACAGACACCTGTAGAAAGACGACTCTCCTCTTGAGGGGGTTGGCTCCTGCAGTTTTCCAGAAAGCTTTCTAATGTTAACCCCGATGAATCCGGAGGACCGCCGTAAAAGTCAGGGGCCTCCTTTTAGCAAGGAGTTTGGGGGGTTCCTCGAATTAGGAGGCTCTTCCGGACTCCGAGGTTGGCAACTTGCTGGTGCTCAGTAGGGAATGACCGAGACCGGGTATTGGCAATGAGCCGGAAGGGGATTGCCTCAAAGGAAGCCATAGGGGATGGTTAAGCATATTCGATATTTCCCACATGGAAAAGTTGCCCATGGTCAGTTGGGAGCCAAACGGAATAGATCAACCCCCAAATAACAAGGAGGAACTCACAAGCCCTGCAAGAGTCCTTTTGCAGATTGTTTACTTCCCAAGAAACAATCAATCCAGTTTTAGCGGCAAACAACAAAATATAAGAAACAACACGCAATGCTGATGTCAAAATAGCCTGATCAAACACAATGAAAAACACAAACACCATGTGTTTTGTTGGCTGTGCAGCACTCGAAAGAAAAGGTGAACGAAGGTCCGCGAGTGTTTGGGGGCCACACTCAGACCCTTCCAACAGTTACACTCAGACCCTTTCAACAGGCACACAACTTCGTGTCTGATTACAAGGGACACTTACTTGCTGGTTCTCAGAAAGGAATGAGGGAATGACCCCTATAACCAAGCAATTCCATATAAAGCACCTTTGATCAACCCCCATTTTTGTTTTCGCGGCTAAACCTCCATCTTGGAACCGAAGGTCGGGCGCCGGTCACTTCCCGCGCAGGAGGTCAAGGCCAAGGCGGAGGCTAAGGCTCCTGCGCCCAAGGCGGCTCCGCAGGCGGAACGCCGATGTGGAAATTCGTTGGAAAAAGGAAAGCAAGGCAGTGCTTCCAGTGACCACCTGAGGTAGGCTTGCCCAAAATTCCTTACCTCTAGTTGCTTTGCCCGGTTTGACAAAATGGTGTTTTCCCGGGTCACCTGGGTTTCTCAAAATAGCGGGGTTCGAATGGAAATGGAATTCCGGAGCTCGTGTGAGGTGAAGTCCCAAGCCAAGCTTTCAGGGGGGGCTCTTGAAATAGTGGTCCCCTATACTGGTGTGTTTTCCTTTGGTGTCGTTTCAATACCAACCAACATGGGGTGTACGATTTTGAAATCCTTACAAGGGCATGTGTGTTTGTTTGAATTGGTTCTCTTTTCAGATTCGTTTCAATGGAAACTAGAAGGAAACCCAGCATTTTTGCGCTCCCCTACTTTGGGGGTCCAAAAGGATACATTTGGGACGCCCTTTATAGCAGGTGGCTCTTGGATGTATCCTTTCACAGACAAACCCTGACATCCTTAGCAATGAGTAGTTCTCATGTCTGCATTGAGTACCAGGCTCGTCAATGCATGTCACATGCCCCCACGCCCCGCCCAAGCAGGTCACTGAACAAGCCATTTGATAGCCGTTTGCAGGGTCCTAGAACTAGTTTTCCAGTAGAAGCATCACTAGTTCTTGCTTCAACGGAAGCAAGTCACCTTTTTTGTCCAAGGAAACATTGTTGCCCAGTTTGTGATTTCCCAAAATTAAACAAGGGGATATGCCCACCTTTCCACACAAGCATGATCCACTTGGAAACATGGGACTTGGTTGGTGTCATTTTGAAAATACAGAGCTCCAAAGTAGAAACACCCAATCCGTGGAACCACAGGCAAAAACACCGGAACGGACCGCTTCGATGCTGGTGGTTCCAGGGCGGCTTTGTTTACCCAAGAAAATATTGGACTCTGAGACTCTTCGCCATGCGATCATTGTTCAGCTTCATTGAAATTGGTTTGGATTTGCGGTTTTAGGTTTGAAGTTTTGAACCCTTGGTTCTTGTAGCCTCACTCCCCGAGTGAATGAGTCTTTTTGGGGTCTGGACCATCTTAGTGGTAAATCAACAGCTCAGACTTTTTGTGGGTCAATCCACTCCTGGGGAAGTGAGTCGAGGAGTACACTGACCTCACCTCCAAACCACCCAAATTGTCCCGGCCTTTGCGCAGGTGAATGGCAGCTCATCCCCCTCCGATGGGCAGGCGTGAGGGCGGCTTGGGCCAATCGCAGCCTGGAACCCAACAAGCTGATGGACGAAATCCATTTCGCACCTGATTTCCCTGTAAATACAAACAAACGTTACAGTTTTCCGCATGGTTTCTCAGGTGGTGCCGGATTTTGTCCATCCACAGTACAACCCTCACACGCCTTGAAGACTCTGATAGATGAAACCCGGAGGTGCATAGAGTCCTTTGCCTGAACTTGCACTTTTGTTCATGTTCCTTTTCAACCGAGAAGTCGACTTTTGCAGGGGGCTCAGTTTGGCACCACGGCATTGTGAAGCGCCTGGGCAAGTTGAAGCGGCCTCTCCTTCCGGATACGGTTGATCACCCTGAGAAACAACGAGGATTCCTTGTTGTGAGGGTGCCTGGGGTAGATTTAGGATACATTTTACATTTTACCAGTGACTCAAAGTGAAGCAAACAGTAACGTACACATTCTATACCAGGGCCTAACCCTAATCATGGTGTCCCCTTATTTTCCATTCTGGCCTTTCTGCTGTTGCCCACTGGATCGCCTGCTAGCTCCACCTCCCTGAAGGTAAGGGTCAGCAGACTAGTTGAGTGGAGCCTAGCTCGTTTAGCTATCCACTCCATTTGTTTTTGTTTCGTTTCATACCCCCAAAATGCTGGTTGTCCTTGTGTGTTCCCTTTAAAGCCACTCCAAAAGGGCCCCGCCTCAAACAACAATACACCAGAGTAGAACAAACCATCCAACGATTGCAAACCAGCACCTCTAACCGCACTGCCTGAAGAGCACCACCCCAAACAGCATCTCGAAACAGCACCTGCCGCCCCATCACCAGCACCTCAAACAGCACCCCAAACAGCATCCTAAAACAGCACCTGCGAAAGTATCCCCAAATTGCATGCCGCCTAGCACTCTACCATCAATCTTGCAAAAGAGCGCCCGCACCATCACCCGCATGCCCCCTAGCACCCTTCCGTCAATCTTAAACAACTGCATGAGCACCATCACCAGCAGATCAAGCAGAACCCAAACAGCAACTATACCAGCACCCTAAACCGCACGCCCCCTAGTACCCAGCCAACAATCTCGAACGGCACGGCACGTCATGCTCGTGTGCCACGCGGCTAGGCCCATGCACACAGCAGTGTGTCAAAGGTTGGCTCCTTTGTCACAGTGATTGTTTTACGAATTGCTGGTGCTCAGTAGGGAATGTGGGAGTGAACCCAGGGGTCCCTCAAAGGAAACCACCAGTTGGATGGTTTTTGTCGGGCTCATTCCAACTCATTCCCTGCATCTCTCGCACCAAGATAACCTGAAGTGGGTTATCTCACCATGGTTACCCACTTATACGACGTACCTGCTGCCCCTTTAAGCACCTTCAACCTGGGAAGCTGAGCACCTTCCCATTCCCCGTATCTCTCGCACCAGCAATTTCAACCAAGAGGACATGGGAAACTTCGGGGGTTGCGTCCCCCGGACTTATGGAACATGTTGCTTGTCCCTCCCTAGGTCCTCCAGTAGAGAGGTTAGAATACGGGTACCAACTTTTTTCTGCAGTCTGTAGTCTATTTTAGTAGGGGAATTTTCCCCAAAACAGAAATGGTAACAGGGACTACTGGGGGACCTAGTGTTTCAAAGGGGTGATTCTGCGTACAATTTCACCCAAGTTTTGGTTCGCGAGAGGCCGCCCTGGCGAAGATCGACCTGCGCTGCGGGCGGATCCTCGAGTGCAGCAAAGTGCAGGACGCGGATTCCCTCTACCTACTGAAGGCGGCCCAGGGGCCAGGGCTTACGCAGGGGTCCATGTCTTCCATTTGCTTAATTCAACATGTTGTTTCTGTTCCCTTGTTGGTTTTAAAGGGAATGGATTTCACTGGACTTTATTTTCCAGGCTCAAGCAAATGGCAGATGTTGATGCGCCTGCTGGGTATGCCGAGCAAAACGGAAGCCTTTAAAGCCAAGGGCCCCCAAAGGCACGGCCATCTGAGCAAAAGCAACAAGCTGCGCACCGTGCTTTTGATCCAACTCAGTCGTCCCAACGTCCGAGGGCTGCCCTACCGTTACTACCTCAACACCGGATTCCACGCCTCGCGCTTGTGACCTAAACCCTAAACCACCCAAATATGGTCACAACTAAATGCGGGCTTCATGGGCACAGGTGAGGCAGACGTTTTCTGGTTGCAAGCGAGTACATTTGGTCACAAGGGAGACGCAGGCCATGCGATACCCTCCCTTCTAATAACACTCCTGCACTTGGCAGGGGGCCCTTTTGGTGAGGACTCTGATCTACGTGAGCAGAAAGAAAAAGACATAAAGACATGAAAGTTTAGGTCCTAAGTAGGTCTCTTTAGCTTCAGGCATGAACCACTTCACCCACTGTTCCCCAACTTCATGTTGAAGAAAAGATCCATGATCCGGGGAAATGGGGTGTAATTGTGCGACGCCAAAGGGAACTCATATATTTTGATAATATCGCGCATTGCCCTGAAAACCTATCTGTCCAGATCCATGAAACCACGCATTTCACGGGTGGGTGAACCTGTTGCTTGGCTGCTGGCCACCACCGTTGCACCAAAAAAGGAGGCGCAGGCAACCAGCAGCATCTATTGTCACCAATCATGGCAGCTGACGATCGGAGGGTTTTGCAGGATTGTTTGATTGTGCGGAGGGTCACCAATCGCACACACAAAGGTCTGAAGTGCAAAAAAAAAGACGGAAACGTCATAAATTCTGCTTTAGAGATCAGTTGAACCGAGCGTCGCAAGGGGTGTATTATGGGCCAGGCCTTAAAACAACATCCGGGGTACCACATCACCGCTTGGAATATGCTTTCTCCAACATGTGTGTTGGACATATTTTCAGGGTGGTGTCACCCTGATTGGTTGTTTTGTCAAAATTCATGACAACCCGTTGACTCCAGGAATATATAAGTTTGATACGGTTTGAATAATGCTGGTTAGGCAGTTGGCTGACTGGTTCATGCCGGGAGTGTGTGATGGTGGTTCCTTGAAAGCCCTGGTGAAGGCATGGGGTGTGAGAGGGGTCAAGGACCTCTGGACAAAAATGCAACGAGTCTGGAGTTCTATCATCATGAGTCGATGATCACGTACCGATTGTCTAGCACATTGCTCCCCGAGGTTTGAAAGGAGACTCCTCGGCTGTTGTCCTTTATTCCCCGTTTTTACCCACCCAGAAAAGGCATATCAACACACCCACATCACCTTGCGGGCGGGTATGCCTAACCTCCACTCGCTCAAACATAGCATAGCACCTGCAAAAGCGTACCTGGGGGTTTGCACATTTTTACCGGTCTATGGTCCATTGCGGGGACTCACCAAATTTGCCACCAGAGCCGTTGCGGGGGCGAGCCCATATTTTTGTCCATCCTGTGCATTGCTTCGTGGCTGTGCGGTTTTTGTTTGTTCCTTCTTCTTTTTTTTGTCCGGGGCAGCCCTCCTTCAGGCTCCCCTCAATTGGTTTGGATTGGTGGGATTTGAAGTCGGAAGCTCGACCTAACCGCCAAACCGCAAACGAGGGGAAGCTGACCGAAGCCGAAGCCCGAAGCGCGCACGGATTCGCCCAGATCAACGTGGGAGAAGAGCAGCCGAGACAGGCGAGGCGCGTTTCGCGCGAGCGGCGCGAGCCGTCCAGGATCAGGTTGACATAAGAGCCCCCGCTTTGGATGGTGTTAGGTCCCCCCAGCAATTGGTGCCCTTTCTCACCGTTTCTTTTTTGGTTGGGAGTTCCCCTACTAAAATAGAGGTCCTGACAAAAGTTGGTACCCTTATTCTAACCTCTCTACTGGAGGACCCAGTTGGAAGCAAATATCGATCTCACATTGATGCACCTGGGAAAAGGCATAACGCCGTTCTTTGAGAAGTTTCCCTTTGGGTATCGTCCTTGGGGTTCCAGGGCAACGTGATCGAATTACATGACGCATTACTTGCGCCTTTTCGTTGCCTCGTGGCGCCTATTTTTGGCTGGTATGCAATATCTCATACCAAGCAATATTACGTGAAGATGCGGTTTCTTTTCAGAAAACAAGTTTAATTGTTGGGTGGGTCAAAAGTGTGTAGCGTTCCCAATTTTCTTGATGTCATGATGTCATGTTAGTGCGATTGTCAACTTCTCCCAAATGGCCTCACTTCTGGCAGCCGAAAGGTGAACAGGCCACTCAAAGTGCCCCTTATCTCCAATTAGGGGAACCCCAAAATGGGTAGTTTTCCCTGTGGTGTCCCTTAAAATCAACAAAACGGACTAGACGCATGAACGTTTCCAGTTGGGCTCCCTGAGAGCTCGCTTCAAAGAAGGCCAAGCAAAGTTGCCTGGCCACCGCCCCGAGAGATCGTCGGCGCACCTCCGTGTCGGCAGGTTGTGTCGTCTTTGGTAAAGCACTACAAAGAGGAGGAGCTGAAGAACAGACAGGTGCCTTGTTGAGTTTGTACTGAATGGATGTGTGCGTCTCAAAATAAAGTTGTATTTTAAGCTGAGGACTCCTCCATATGTTTCCTTTGAGCTGTCGTTATCTACCTCAGAAGAGGTACCCTCAAAAGATACAGCCAAATGTTGAACCCTTTTGCTAGTTGATAAGAAACTGACAGGAGCCCCCTGCCATTGTTTGGCTTTGCATGGAAACGGACAGGCGTCCCCTAATTTGGACCGCAGCAGACCCTAGTACACCGACGGATGTTTGAGGTTCCGACTTTTAATCGCTGTGTCTCTTGTCTTTTATTTTTTGGGGGGGGAGGGAAAAACACACATGTAGTGTTTGGACTTGAGCCAGGCGCTGAAGGGCAAGAAACAGTTCTGCAAGGGCTGAGAAGGCTGCTTCAGCTTTGAGTTGTTTGCTGTTTCGCAAATGCTCTACTGCCCTTTCAAGTTTTGCTTTTAGTTTGTTTTAACGCCAGCAAAAAGGGAATAGCCTCACAAAAACGGCACGCCCATGTACATCGGAACATTTGTCATAGGGGTTCGAAGCATGTGGCAAGGAATTACGCGATGGAATGAATCATCTCGCCTCGATTTACCATGCTCCCTTGAACAGGCGTTGCAGTGGCCAACAACATGTTCAACATGTTCAACAACGGTGGACATACATCTCCATGTAAACGATGTCCGCCAAAGCGTTCCCAATTCATCATCCCCTTGGTTGTTTCAATTGTTTGTCTTCTTCGTGTTGTTGCTATGGGTCTTATCAGCATCCTAAAGCAGCTCGTTTGGCGGGTTCCGCCTTTTGAAAGCTTTCAACAAGGTTGCATCTACCGTGTCAAATGTCCAGAAGTCAAGACATTTGACTGCAGATTCTTCACTCGGAGCGACCTCCCAATTCAACCAATTTGTCCTATTTAATATCAACTCCGGATTAATCAACCAATTGGATTAATGGCATTTCCCTGCAACAGTGAATACACATCGGACCATTTGAAAGGAGTGGTCCCAGATCAAAATGAATCAGGGGTTATGAACCCTGAGGTTCCCATGTCGTAGAGGAAAATGATCTGGTGTTCGATTCAAAAGGTCTTCTTCTATGGGGATAGGGACTTTGTGAGTGTAGCCTAAGGAGGTTTTTGCAACCTTAGCGGTGCACTCGTATTCATCCAGCTAGTAAACGTTGATCATCGCTCAAGGTCAGAACTTGGTGGCTCCCAGCCATCCGGTTCCTTAGCTTTTTAGCTCCTTTTAGTGTTTAGTGGTAGTTTCCGAATCTAACCCACTAAAAGTTCTCAACCTTTCAGCCGGGGGATCTGAAAACGGGCAGCCCAGAGAAGTTTGAAGTTTGGGGCGGGATGAAAGTGCCTCCGTTCCAGAGCGACTTTTCACCAGACGCATCGGAGTTCGCAGCAACTGGAGGTTTTAAGTTATTTGCTGGGAAAATGTGGGTATAGGTGCACCGTTTCTTTTTTGGTTGGGAGGTTTCCCCGACTAAAATAGAGTGTAGCAAAAGAATCGGGTAACCTCGCAAAACTGGAGGACCTAGAGTTATTTGCCGCCCTTTCGCTGGCTGAAAATAACTTTTTCGTTTGTACCGCCAAGGTGGTGGTGTATTGCAACATCAAGCCCGGCAAGATGCGGGGCCTCGAAAGTCAGGCGGCAGTCAGCGCATCGGGTTTGCAGAGCCCTAGATAAATACATGAGCAAGTCTCACGTTTGCCGTCATGTTCATTCTACGCTCAAGCGGACGCCATCCGAATTTGATGGTGCCGTACTTTTTTGGACGGAGCCTTGCTGGGCTGCCAAGGGGTCGATTCCCAAGATAAGATCATTAATTGAAAGTGCCCAGAAAAGCGTCCCCCCTTTAAAGAACACATTTTTACAAAGGATTTGTGCATTCACACCTGCAAACGAAGTCTTGAATTATACAACTCATGTGCACGCAGGTTTCTCATCTCCAGTCCAGTAGTAGGTCTCCCAGTAGTGCCCTTTTACTTTTCTTTTCTTTTTGGGGAGGGTTCCCCTACTAAAATAGACAACCGAGAAAAAAAGGGCACCCTTATTCTATTCTCTCTACTCAAGGACCTAGATTATTTGCAGGGCAATATTTGGAATACATTGGATATTGTCTTGCAACATATATATATATATATACTCTTTGGTGCATTTTGCCAAGGGATGTTAGGACTGAACAACTTTTTGCCAACTAGTGGGTTTTCCGTATTAAACCACTAAAAGTGAGTCACTTTTAGCAGGGGAGCAAAAGGAAAGCAACCGAGTAAACCAGAGCTTCCCATAGGGGATACATGTCCCGTTGTTGTGCTTTCAAGCAACGTGAGTGTCCCTTTGGCGATGTTTTCAGGGGGAATGTAGGGAGCTATTCAACCGAGTGAAGCTGGAGCCCTTCTAAGGACCATGTGTCTTTTCAAACCTCATGTGAGGTTTGCACAAATTTACCGCTAGTCTATGGTCCATTTGACAGCTCGCCAAATTTGCCAAAAAGCGCCGAGAAAGCAACCGAGTTATACATTGAGCGCCAAGGGATCTGAAGCAGATCCGCCAGCTTGGCCACTCCTCAGGCATCAGCTGATCCGCCAGCTTGGAGGGTTTTTGTCGCAAACAGGACCTCAAGTGCCAACGCTTGCCGATTTTTTTGTTGTTGAGTAAATACAAACATCTTCTTTCTGACACAAGGTTGTGTATTTATGAGCATTCAGACTCAAACGGGGAATCAACCAAAAATTGAAAACCCCTCCAAACGAGGCATGAACCGAAAATTGAAACTCGCCTTCAGGAGCCCAAAGGCGACGTTCCACACCACCAAGTGGAAAAGAGCAAATGCCTTCGAGACATCTAAGCAAATAAATATGATACAAGCAAACGGCAAACTACTGGACGGTGGAAGAGCTGGTCTGAAGCTTCGCTACTTACCTTGCTCAAAAACAGCAACCTGATCCTCTGCGCTGAGCATCATAGGGTGCGTATACATCATGAATGTGAGCAGCTTCGGCGTCTGGACGAACCTATGCACCTCTCATGCATGTGGCCATAGTATACTCCTCGTCTTGGTCTAGCAGCCCAGAAGTCTCCTTACCCGACTGCACAGCACTGTGCGAGCTCCGAGACTTGGGGGCAATCAACCCCCAAACGAGGAATGAAGCAAAATTTGAAAACCAAACGGGGAAGGACCCAAAATGTGAAAACCCAAACGGGGAATGACCCAAAATTTGAAAACCCTTCGCAAATGGGGAATGACCCAAAAACTGAAAACCCAAGGCTTAGTGACCCAAAATTCGAAAACCCACCGAACGTGGAATGAACCAAAAATCGAAAACCTCCCAAACGGGGAATGAACCAACATTTCAAAATCCCAACGGGGGGTGAACCAAACTTTGAAAATCCCCCAAACGGGAAGTGAACCAAATCTGAAAACCCCAAACGGGGAACGAACAAAAACTTGAAAACCAAACAGGGAATGAACCAAAAATCGAAAACCCACACAGGGAGTGAACCAAAAATTGAGAACCCAAACGGGGAACGAACAAAAAAATGAAAACCAAACAGGGAATGAACCAAACATCGAAAGCCCACACAGGGAGTGAACCAAAATTTGAGAACCCAAACGGGGAATGAACCAAAATTGGAAAACCTCCAAAACGGGGAATGAACCAAACCATATTTGGGCCGCCCTCAGATCCCCCGCTAAAAGTTCCACTTTTCGTGGGTTAGAATTCGGAAACTGCCACTAGACACTAAAAGGATCTAAAAAGCTACGGAACCGGATGGCTGGGAGCCACCAAGACGTGGGTTCGCCTTTGGGCCGGGGGTTCTTCAAGTTCCAAAGGCTTGCGAAAGGCTGTGACGCCCCCACCTGTCACACGTCTTGGCAGCCCTCCAGCCAACGAATACCAAAATCGGCCGCAGAACAAATCGGGTTGAGCACGTGGAGAGCCAGTGCTCAACACAATTTGAACCAATATAGTCGGGTTTTAAGAAAAGGCGATGGTCCTGGCGGCCACGAAGAACAAGGGCGCGGAGGCCCGCACGGGATCTGACTCGGGGACCACCTCCAAAGTGGTGGACATGAAGGCCTAGATGATATCCAGATGGGTCCCGGGTTCAAATGTACACCCAAAATAAAAGACCCCTAAAGGTTGTTAAGGGTAGCTTCCAGGGATCCTTCTTTCTAGAAAACCTCAAGAAACATGGGACACTCACAGCTGGTGTTCGAAAATAACGATGGGTGAAAAGAATGGGGAATCAACCCCTAGAAAGATGGTTGGCTTGGTTTTGGTTCGATCTTTTAGGCTCTCTATTTTTCGAAACCCCCTTTTTGTGTCCAGGCTTCCCCCTGGGCCAGGAGCAGAATACGCTTTGACTTCCGGTCGAGATTGGTCAACCCGAACCCTTCAGAGTTGGATCAAAGGCCGCATCTCACTGAAAAGTTTGGGTGTGTCTTTAAACGGCTCACTTTCTGAGTTCCTGGACTTTAAGTTTCTTGGGACGACCATTTTAGTGGTTCAACAAAGAAGACATGACTTTGTTTGATCAATCCCCGGAAGTGAGAGGGAGGGACCCCGAAGGAAAAGCACGGTGGTGTTTCCCTGAGGCCTTCCCCGATAAAAAAACCGAAAACAAAAGCTGGGTACCTGCAGCAAGAGACACACCCGTTTCTACAATGTGGGTGTGTCTGGAAGCCTTTAGGGCAGCCACAAGAAAGCCGCCTGTGGATTAATTGAGGAAGAAAGAACCTGCGGCCTTGGGGCGAGGTGTTTTTTTTGTTCTTCGTTTTTTTTCTGGGTCTACAGTTTTCGGGAAGTCGAGATTCTAGGAAGGTGGTGAGTGGGGTGGGGGTTGGGGGGGAAGTCTTCCTGATATGCCATGCTGGTGGTTCAGGCAGCTGTTTGAGATCTTGACGTGGAAAATCGGGAAATAGGGTTGAGACAAAACAAACTTTGACCTGTTTCGAGTCTTAACCCTTTGAGCCGCTGTGTTTGCTTGTTTGGTTGTTCTGTTTTGTTTTGCTCGGTTCTGTTCTGTTCTGGTTTGCTTGTTTGTTTGTTGGTTGGTTGGTTGGTTGGTTGGTTCGTTGGTTGGTTGGTTGGTTGGTTGTTGTTTTTTTTGGTTGTTTGTATGTTTGTTTGTTTGGTTGTTTGTTTGTCTTTGTGATTTTTTATTTTATTTTTTTCGGGGGCTTGGCATGGTTTGTTGGAAGTTGCTTTAGGCGTTTGGTACGGTGGACCCCCCGTATAAATCGAATCGACGGAAACTGATCCCCCCAATGGGTCCAATCATGGCTAGGAGTCTCCTCGCAGCTTGACTAAATCGGAGATATGCTCTCCTGCAGATTAACTCTGGAACCCAAAAACACTCCATTTTTTTTGTGGATTTTGGGTTCCAAGGCTAATCTGAAGATATGCGGAATCTCCTCTTGGACCCCATTCTTGGGGTTCCGAGGCTATATAATCTGAAGATATGTTTGAGCTGGGTTGGTTGACGAAGTAAAGTAAGCAGAGAATAAGTTGATGCTGAGAGCAACGAGTCTATTGGAGTTGGGCGCTGCTTACTTTATTTAAGACACATTCTCCGCGCCGCCTTTTGCTCCCCCGATTTCTCCCCTACACCGAGCCAGTGGGAAAACAAGGACAGTTTGCACAGAAACCACCCAACTGAACGGAGAATCCGGCGGTGGCCTGTTGAGCAGCTGAAATGACCAATCACAAACCCTGGGAATGCGGGGAGAGGGTATGTCACCATGGTAGAATTGCTCAAGCACAGGTGCCTGTCGGGCAACCCTCCAGCTGCCCCTTTTGAGAGGGCGCAAACCTCCTGGCCCCAAGCACCCGGAAATTACGGCAAAAGAAGCGAAGCGCGGGTCTACAGCGGCTCTCGCGGTTTCGAATGTTGGCTTGCGACACTTGGTTGGTAACGTTGGTTTGGTTGGGTTGGCATTGGGTTTGTAAGAACTATTGTTTTTCTTCTCACTCCCTGAGTTCCTGGACTTCAAGCTTTCTGGAAAGACAAGTTTAGTAGCAAATGAAAAAGTTCTAGGGGTTGATTCCCCATTCTTTTCAACCATCCTTCTTTTCAAAAACCTGCTGTTTGTTTGGGGTTCTGATGGTTTTCTGGAAAGCTGGATTCCTGGGTTCAGAATGGAAATGGAAGTGTCCTGTAGAAAAGTGAGATCTTCTTCGGCCAATCCACTCTGCGGGCAGCGTTTTCGGTTTTTGGTTTCAATTCAACACCCCATGCCTTGGGCCGGATCGTCAGGACGAGGTGTGTGAACTCTTGGACCCTCCTGCTGGGTGCAAAGAGGCCAGATGCATGTGTCCTTTTTGTAGGTGGCTGATTTTAAAAGGAAACCAAAAGGGAAGCCGCAGCCAGTTTGGAGGGTCCTGTATTTTGAGACGCTTGCTGAAAGTGACACTCGGGTGCGTCGTTTTCTTTGGAGCTGGTAGCCTTTGTTGGATGGTTTGAAAAGGGGACCAAAAGGAAAACCGAAGCCAGTTTGGGTTCTCCTAAAAAAAGGCACCCCCATTTGGGTGTGTCTCAAAAAAGGGAGCCCTTTTGGATGCTGTAGTGGTTTTCAGGAAACTAACAAGAAGCCGTGCCTCTTTTTTTCTTGGGGGGGTGGGGTTTGCTGTGCATATCGACATACACACCGGTTGCTTTGAGGGCTCCTCAGTTCATGACTTTTCGGGGTGGTTTTTGCCTGTTTTCCATTTAGAGGTGGACATTTTGGTCACTTGCAGACGGACCCAGCGCCAATCTGTGTGATACCCCAAACCCACAAAGGGTTGACTCAAAAGCAAAAAAATGAAAACCAGTCCTCCGAGGTTGGAAGGGCCTGGTGCCATGAGTGTTTTAGCCTCGGCCCTCCGCCCTAAGGGGGGAGGGGGTCGCTCTGGTTGACAGATGAGTTTTGAGTTACGATGGGTTCCCCAATTGCAATCATGGACCCGAAGAACGGGGGCTATGGGGAGGGGGCTATCCCGTATGAACCCCTAGTAAGGTGTTAAGGACTTATCCTTGGCTTGTCAAGGTATAGCCCCCCCCCCCCGACCGCACCTTTTTGTGATGCTGTTCTCCAAACTAAGACTGCTCAAGTGTTTTGGTAGCCTATGGCATGGGACACCCTAGGATATTACAATGGGAGGAGTGGATTTTGGAGACGGTGCATTAGAGTTATTCCGACTTATTATGCCAATAGAAAGGATTCGCCGTGAGATCAACGGGGTTTGTCCCTGGGAGCAACTCGAATCCACTCAAGAGGACATTTGCGCCCATTGCTATCGCTTGCTCCCAGGGTTGGCATTGGCTATGGTGGTTGAACTCCTTCGGGGACATCAACGATACATGGGCGTGAGTTTACATGGGACCCTTTGGGCTTAGGTGACATCAAGAATCCATGGGGCGTGAATTGGGGAATTTTGGGGCCTTCAGAACCACTGAGGTGGGAACCCCGAGGACCCTCGCCTTATGTGTTCGAAAATCCGCAAATCCGGGTACCAACTCCAAGCACGAGCCACCCATCTCAAGCCGCTGCAAACGGATTTCCTTTGGCGCAGTTTGCTTGGATGTTAGGACTTCAACTTTTTGCCAACGAACGTTCTTTTGTCTGCTCCTTTTCAGGGCAGAAAGCAACTGAGGGTCCTTTGCTTAAAGATCCCGTTCAGGTTTTGGAAATACGGTAAAATCTGCAGATTCTTTGCAGAAGCCCTCGCAGCCACTATTGGGGCAGAAAGCAACCGAGTCTCGTCCATCTAGGGGTTGTTTCCCCATTCTTTTCAACCATCGTTCTTTCCAACAACCGGATCCGTTTTCCCTCGGTTTCCGGAGGTTTTCTAGAATGATTCAGATCACTGGGTTCAGAATGGAATTGGAAGTTACCCCTAGAATCTCCCCCCGGCCGACGGTCTCGTCTCTCGATATCCATATCGAGGGCAGCCGCCCGGTGGTGGGAGACCTGGAGATTGGCAGCGCCTCGGAGGGCGTTAGCGTGAAGAACATCTCCAAGGCAAACGCGAGCGCCGAGCGCGAGCCGAGGGGCGCAACAAGAAGGTCTGGGGCCAACTGGGTGCCTCCTTGTTTGTTCTTCTCGTTGTGTTTTTGTTCTGTTTGTTTAAATATGGGTCATCATTTTGTTGTTGTTTAACTAAACAAAACAAATTTCTGGATCATCAGCCGCGTCAAGCCATGCCACCTTGGTGGCACAATGTTTTGGAAAGACCTCGCATCTTTTTTCAAGGTCGGGGGAACCACCAAAATGGCGCAGCGTGCTGTTTCTTTTGGTTTCCCTTTAAACAATTCAACCAAAAGGGGGTGCCCAAACAAAATAATTACAGGCCCGACGGATCTTCCATTTGGTGAGTTTCTTGGTTTTCCCCTGGTCGATGGTTGAAGTGAATCGATCACTACTGGAATATTTGCACATGCTTTCCCCTGCGCTTCAGCAAATGGAGGTGATTGATTGGGAAGGTGACAAACTTCAAAGTAGCATTAGGCCCAGGTCGCAGTCAGAAGAGGTGTGTTTTGCTTGGATGGTCTTCTTTGCTGGTGAGAACTGGGAAGGCGATTCACTGGCAATATGTCTGGAGTCTTCTCCAAACGTTTGTCTATTCTTGGTGGTCCCCAGCCATCCCCTTAGCTTTTTAGACTTTAGTGTTTTTTAGTGATAGTTTCTATTTTTTTCGGACTGTTTTCAGGACACTGACCCTTTTCTTCCATTTGCTTCGGAATATGTTTATTGGCCCTGTTGGTTTTAAAGGAAATCTATCTCTACTGGACACACACACACACATATATATATATATATATACATACATTTTTCCAGGGATCTTAACCAAATGGAAGTTTTGTAGATATTTGAGATAATATATCTCCCCCTAAAACGGGGGACTCCTTTTCCGACTGCCGTTTTCTGAACGCCGAGTTGGACCAAAACTCGGCTTCCTCCCTGGTGGTTTGGTGGTTTGGTGGGGTGTTTCCCATGCACCCTGCACAAGAACCAGGGGTTCAAGTCCCCAAATCACCAATCCAAACCACCAACACTGAAAACCGGTTCTTCCTGTTCTTTTTGTGCCTAGAGTTGGACCAATGCGAGGGAAGGTGGGAGTGTTTTTTCCCCCCTGAGCTTTGTTGCATGGTATGTGGGTCGTTTTTTTAAGCTTGGGCCTCTCCCCCCCCAAAAAAACAGCTTGGGGGCGGCCTGTTTGTTTCCCATTAACACCAAGCAACAGGGGGGGTACCCTCAACAAAGACACTGTGACACACCCAGGTGTCGAAGAGAAGTGGCTTTTCTTCTTTCAGCTTTGGAAGGCTATATATTTGTAAAAAGGAGGCCGGAATTGGCTATGTGAGAAGATGGAGAAAATGGAGCTGGAGAAGGACAACGAAAAGCAACAGATGGTGCCGGAGAAGATCGAGATCAAGAAGAAGGGGAGCAAGCCGGTCAGGCCGTATGCAAAGCAAGCACTGTTAGCCCACCTCCGGGCAAAGGCAGCGGATTCCCTCGAAACCAACCTGAAAAGACTAGCCTCAAACGACTCACCTCCCCCCAAAATGGTGTTCGCTTTTCCAACAATCACGAAAGTGGACAAGCGTCCCTTTTCAATTAAACAATATTTTCCAAAACCTTTCGATCATCCACTTCCACACTGTTAAACAAGACACCAGAAGAGGGTAGGTAATTCGATTCAATGTTGTGTTATGATTGTTTTTCAAAATCAATCCTGCTACACTTTGCCTGTGCAACCACAAGGAACATGGGAGCTAAACGTTTCAATTGATTGGAGCTTTTGCTTTTGGGTCCTACCCTTACTCCCACGTCAACATGACACTTTTTCTTGTGGTAAGAGGAAATTGATCTCCAGGCCATCCTCGCGCAGGTGCTATGTCTGGAGAAAGGGTTAATAGGCTTAGATTTGTCAGAAGGAAGCCAAACAAGAGTAGGTCGGTCTGTTTAAAGCTGTGTTAAAACCAACCCTTAGACCTCATGCGGGTGATGGTAAGCTCTTGATGTGGGGGTGTCCCACGGGTTGCGGAAATTCGATTCGGGATCTGCCCCTCCCGACCTCGACTCCAGCGGTTCGGCCATGTCTCAATATGGGGCATGCCTCGAGGACGACGAACCGCAAGCCCTTTTGGGGGGGGGGGGGCTTGTTTGTCATTTTTGCGGAGCTTCACACAAAACTGTGGGGTGTTTGAAGGGGAAACCAACGGGGCACTTCCTGTAGGTCCACCTATTCTAAGATAAACCCCAAAGGGGGAGGATACCAGGGGGATATCGAACGGGGTTACGCGGCGTTGCGAAAAAAACATGTGGAACCAGTTGATTCACTAAATCGAGCTTAGCTTTAGACTTGACTCACCCAGCTATCGGACACATTCGCCACCGCGTGTTTCAAGGTGGCTTAGCTTACCCCAAAAAGTTTAGTGGTGCCCCAAAAAATGTGTACAAAAAAGAACGCGTTTGGCAAACCTCACCGAAATTGCCAATAGGACCTATTGCCCTATGAGCCTCTTGGGGTCTGTCTTTTTTTGAGTTGGTGCCTCTTTCTTGTGGCGTTAGAGGGATACCGAAAGGGAAACCACCCATTTGGGAGCGGTGTCCAACTCCTAAAAGACGAGCCACGCATGTGCCTGCGGTCAGGTCTGGGGACAGGTGCAGCCTTCCCTGCAGATGAGCGACAAGGGCGAGGCCCAAACGAAATTTTCAGACCCCAGTCCTGTCATTCCATTTGCTGGCAGGAAGATGGGTCTGTCTTTTTTTGGGAGCCCCCCAAACTGGCGTCGGTTTTCCTTTTGGTTTCCCTGGAAAACCACCGAAAAGGGCTCACCTCAAACAAAGACACACACACACACATGTTTTATGTTCCCATTGTGGTTTTAAAGGGAATCTATCACTACGGATATGTGTTTTTTCCCGACGGGACTTAAATCAAATCCTGGTTGCTGCAAAGCGAATCTTCACTACCAACACGTTTTTCCATTTGAGCAAATGGAAGGTTCTCAGCCGGCCAACAAAAGGAGCCCAAGTTGCATAAGTCAGTGGGTGATGAATAGGAATTGCCTCATTTGAGATCGACTCAGGATCATGTTTGGTCGAACTCCCTGTTATCAACCCGCACGATTGATTAATCCGGGGTAGACATTCCCAAGCAATTGGTTTCTTTCGGGGAGCTCCAGAGAGGGAGAGGGGTTGTGCAGAATCAGCAAGCACGCGACGAACCCACACCCACAAACCATACCCCGAACCACACCTGCGATTCAAGCCCACATGCGACCCAGGACCCTGTAAAACGACTTCTGTGGTTGCCTGGGTGTGTGCCTGCCCGTGCTTCTGTGGTTGCCTGGTTGTTTGCCTGCCCTTGTGCCAGAGAGGGGGAGCTGTGCCGTGTCTCTCTTATGTCTCTTTGGTGCCCTGGCGCTGAGTGTTGCTCCGGCGCTGTTGGTTTGTCTCCGGTCTAGGTGTCCGAGTGTCCTGGCGAAGCGCCTTAGATGTTCGAGTTTTGCTGATGTCCAGCGTGGTTCCGCAATTGCGCGGCATAGATCATGCCTTGCAGGTTACCCGCACTTTTTGTGAGAAAAACCCTTGGGCTGTTTCAAGCTGGGCAGTTCAAAAGTAATCCTCAATCGTTACCTTCTGTTATGCAAGGAACCGGTCGCTTTTGTAGTGGTTTCCCTATACAGGGATTATAGGAAATCGGCTCGGCAAGCCTTCATTTTGAACAGCCCAGTCAAAGGGAGACCTTTTGGGTGGTGGGAAAACTGACAACCTGAAGCCGCGAAAGGTTGGAAGTTCGGAGTTCCCCTACGCACCTAGCTTGCCACAGGCCACATTCGAGGGCGCGACGATGATGATGAAAGAGGCCGGCCGAGGAGTTTTTTCGGGCAGATTGACATGGGGTTCCCGAAAGGAAAAAGCGGGTTTGTTTCAAGGAAACTCATGTTCGGTGGGTTTCCCACGAAACGACAACCACAGAGAGGGTTCCCTTTTTCTGCAATATGTCTGGTGCTACCAGGATTCCCCAACAGCCGTCAAACCGTTTGTGACCACCTTTGGACTATTGAGGCCATTTGAAAGCCATTGGCTTGGCAGAGGAATGTTGGCGACCACATGGCGGGACAAATGCCTGAAACCAAAGTCTGAATGTTCTGCGTCTTTTTGGGTAACACAACACGTTGTCCGCTAATTACTGTGCTATTGTGCTATTTGTGGGGTATAACATTGCCAAGCAGCGGATCAACCACGGATTCATTGTGGAGCCTTGACTGTGGAATCGAACGTTCTAGTCGTCAACAAAGGAGGGCGCAATCCCGTAAATAGGTTAGAAGAGACAATGGGAGCCTCTGTTCTTGCTTGATCCTCTCAACAAACATGCATCCAGCTTCATAAGCACGGCACTTTGGAAGAGGTTTGCACTCAGCCACAGCAGCTCCCATGTGCTTCTGGAAGCACCGGGGCAGTCACCAAACCTTCTAGGGGTAGCTTGAACCCAGGGATCCGAATCTTTCTAGAAAACGATGGGAAATGGCGATCCGGCTTTTGAAAAGAACGATGGCTGAAAAGAATGGAAAAGGAATCAACCCCTAGAATAACTTGGTTTCTCTTTCCCGGTTTCCCAGTCGAGTTGCCACTACAGTAGGTAGTCAAGGGAAACCAAACGCCTTCTTTCTGTGGCTCTGTGGCTTGTAGGTATCTCAGGTGTTGGTTTCATGATTCGGCTGTCGAAAGGTTGAGGCCAGACACCCTATTTGGCGACTTGGCAACGGATCTTTACGGACTTTAACTTTTTGGTTGAAATAGGTTGGATTGTCCATTGGAGCCACAAGAAGTTAAGCTTTTTGCGGAGGGGTCCTTCCAGCAACCACGAAACTGTTCAACCTTTTCAGGGCATCCCAAAAACTATTTTCAGAAGAATTACGGCCAGTGCCCGCTCTACCCGCCCGAACCCCGAAAAAGTTTAAAAGCAATTTACATTCTTCCGGCTCCCCCCCTTAACTTGTCAACACTCCTTGTTCCCTCCCCAAACCACCCCGCCGGTTTGAGAAAGAACGGTGGTTGGTGAAAGCTGCACGGGCCAATAGCGTTGCTTGAGCATTAGGTCAATGAAACGTGGGGACGGACCAGGCCTGAAAAAAGGGGTATGCGGCATACCCAAACAAACCTGTTATATACATTTTCTTTGGTGCATTTTGCCAAGGGATGTTGGGACTGAACAACTTTTTGCCAACTAATGGGTTTTCCATTAAACCACGAACAGTTAAACATTTAGCAGGGGGGCAGAAAGCAACCGAGTTTTGGCTTTGCGCAAGGGAAACTATGTATGGAGGCGGGCATTGGGGTGGGTGGGGCACTTTCTTGAGAGTTGGGGGTCACGCAAATTGGGGATCTGCACGGCTGGCTTCCTCTCTCACTTTCTCTTTGCCGCGTCGATTGTCTGCGTCTCTCGTGGGAAAAGCATGGCGCCAAAAAAACCGCGGCGGCAGGGCCCGGTCAAGGCCAAGTCCCTCACAGGGGTCGGCATCTACTGAGCTGACGGGTTCCGCCGTTTCACCGGGGCTGCTGGCCAGCGAGCTCGAGTTGCGTGCCGTTGGGGTTGTTCACGAGTTCACTCTAGAGGTTGATTCCCCATTCTTGTCAAAAAACATTATTTTCAATAACCAGCCGTTTTTCCTGGGTTTCCGGAGGTTTAGAATGGGCAAGGTACCCTTAGGTTCACGCGTGACGTGGGACACAGGAAAGGCTGGAATTGGTGAAAGGTCGCAAATCAAAAGCCGAGCTTTTCTGGACGCTTTCCAGGGAAAGAGGATGGGGTCCGTATTTTTGTTGTTGAATACCGAGCAGGCGGCAAGGATGTTGGTGCCCGCGGCGGGCCCCAGTCAGCCATCACGGCCGGGCTCCGAGGATTGACGCGAGCCAGTTTTGCAGACGAAAATGCAATCACGCAAACCAACTTTTGCCTCCCTGACAATCAGTCGCATCCCGGTGCCAACAAAAACAGCCACGCGGATCCGTTTTTTGCCGAGTACTTGTCAGGCTCCTTGGTGCGTGCAATAGAGCTTGGAAACCTTTTCCTTTTCTCAGTAGATGTTGGGAAGATCATCGTTTTGCGATTAGATAGGGCAAATCCGAAACTCTGTGTATTTCGAAACTTGATGGGGTAGGCGTGTGCGCTGAAGTTGTTTCGCTGTCGCAAGCAAACTAGCAGGCAAACAGCATGTCAAACTGGATGTCTACTTCTCCCCCAACCTGAAATGCAGTGTGAAGCTATGAAAACCTGCGATTCTGCCCGACCTTTCGACACAGTTTGGTGCAGTGCAGCTCTTTGTAGAGTCCAGGTTCCAAAGGCTGGCCCAAGGCTTTTTCAGGCCCTTTGGGCAAGTGAGAAGGGTATGTGCCAATTTTCTGTTTTTAGAATGTACCCTCAAAAGACACACGCCTAGATGGTTCTACTTGTTTCTTGTTGATTGTTGCTACAAAGCCTTGCGGGACATAGCTATAACCTATGGTTATTACCCATTTACAAAGTACGATGCCCCTGTAAATACCCATTTGGGGGTCCCACCATGTTCATTGAACTTTTCGTGCCCCCCCCAACCACAGCACCTCCACCAAAGAAGGACACCTATGCTCAAGCTCGCCCGCAGCCGGCCCAAAGACGTGGCGCTTGGCGCTTGGCGCCGCGCGGTTCGCATGGCGCTGTCGCTGCAGCTGCGGCAGCTCAGCTGCGTGTGTGCCGCAGCCAAGGACAGGTTGGGCGGGTGTCTCAGCGCGGACAGGGAGTCAGGTAAGGTATGGTTGATTTTGTTTTCATGACCTTACTCAGGTCAGGTGTGGTTGATGTTTTTTGTTTTTCATGACGAATTCGCGGGCAATCCTTAACTGGTGGTTTGAATTGGTTAGAATTGTGGATTTGAAACGCTGGTTCTTGTAGAGGGGACTGGGAAACCGGTCTCTAACCTCCTCCAAACCACCAATCCAAATCACCAGTAGGAGGGAAGCTGCCTGAATATAGACCAGAAACTGCAAACCATATTTATATATATGTGCCCCAGATATGGGCCGTGTGAAGGATAGGCTTGAAACTTGAACAAAGGACCAGAAAGCCATAAGATGCATTTTACAGATGATTGGAAGTGAAACAAACAATTGAAACATACTTGTTTGTGTCTTTTCTTGAGGGTACGCTTTGTGAGGTTGCTTCAAAGGGAAACCAAATACAACGACCCGTTTTGGGGAACCCCATTTGGAGACAGACCCATTTACCACACCCTTTTCCAGTCATGAGCCGACTTGACATGGCAGCCGTGTCATCCATCAACCCTGTTCATAGTCAAAGCGGGACCACGTGGCTGTGGCACAACAAATGGTATCCAATATGGCACCTCGGTATATGGAAACAAAGACTAAAACCTGCATAACCCCAGCTGTTCAATTTTGAGCCACACCCACCTGTTTCATCTTTGGAGGCCTGGACATGTTCCTCAAGGTGTCTATACTCCAAAGCCACCACCAACACATGGACTCGGGTGTCATTTTGTGCCACGAGGTTGGTGACCATTGTCTCAGGTGGACCACCCGAATGATTGGCTTGTTCTCGATTCCTGTGCATCATCAAGACGTGGGTGGCCGTTCTTGAGACACCTCACATGATCACCACAGAATGATCGTTAGGCAAAAAGCAACCATGGATAGTCTGTGCAGAAGGTTGATTTGATCTTAGCAAGGGCCTATCCAGTCTTTTTGTGGGCGTGAACTTGTGCCCATACACAACTTGTAGTTACACCATGCTGAGTTCAAGCAATGTTGAGGCAAATGACAGCTCATTGCCCTTCCCGCACAATAATGGGTATGGGTCAAAGTTAAACCACCAGGGGACCGCAGATTTTGGTCATGTGTCGACTTCCCAGGGCAATTGGGGTACCGATTTTTGCCCCACGGCCAAATGTTTCTCTCCTTTGGGGTTGGTCTAGAGGGAAACTAAAGGGGGGGGGGAAATGGGGCTGTTCTGACACAGGAGCCAGATGCCTTCAAGCACTGGAGGAGAGCCGGTTTTCGTGCGGCCCTTTAGCTTGAAAAGCGCCCCAGTTTTCAAGCACTTCCTTTTCTAGGGGTCCCCCAGTAGTGCCCTTTTGCCATTTATCTTTTTTGGTTGGGAGGGTTCCCCTACTAAAATAGACTACAGAAAAAATGGTACCCTTATTCTATCCTCTCTACTGGAGGACCTTTTTTTTTGTTTTTTGCAAAATTGGGATTTCGGGCCGCTGGGGTTGATGAACAGGTGTGCGATACATGGGACGACCAGTGGTTGGAAAGCTGCTAAAACAGACCTCAACCCCCACGTGGGAAAAGCGACAAAAGAAAGGGCACAAAAAGAGCAGTTGTTGGTGCTGGGAGGACAGTGCTTTGTTTGTTTGAGTCCTCCTTTCTTTCTATCAGAGCTGATTTGAAAGCTGTCTGCGGCTGAGAGTGACGATGGGTCGTCCGCTGCCCAGCCCGTCAGCTCTGAATTGCAGCCCAAGGTAGGGGATGAAGCACGCCTTTGTCTAGGTCCAGCAATTGGTGCCCTTCCATTTCTTTTTTTGGGGAGAGTTCCCCTACTAAAATAGACCACAGAAAACAAGGGCACCCTTATTCTAGCCTCTCTACTGGAGGACCTAGTTGTATTCAGACGAGGAAGCTTGAGTTCCAGAACCAAACCGCCGCGAGGAGGACCAAATAAGTAAATGCGTCCCCCGGCAGGTTCCCTACTTTTTCCACCTCTTTCTGGGAAGATCGAGCCTTCTCCCTCGACCAAAAGAGCTAGAGCCTTCGCCTGCAGCGTTCACCGAAACAAGTGGTTGACCTAGCAGCGAGCAAACCGAACAACCGGAAGACATCCGGCCGTGGGTCAAAACCAATGGTGCACCATTTTGGGGTAGATGATTTCACCACCCATCTTAGAACCTATTTGAGTGGTTGGATTGGGATGTTCATTGGGGATACGACTTGGGTTCTGTCCCATGGCCAAGGAATTTGGTCAAGGCTTTGAAAGGGCCACGCATGCATTAAGCGCCGTGCGCTTGTAGTCGTCACCTTGGCGCCGCTCAACCTGCAACCAGATGTCCCAACCCTTTAAAGTAATTTATAGGGGGACGTCCTGTTGTGGGCCCTTCCCCAAGCAGTTTCCCCTTGTATGTATACATGTACAAGGGAAATAGTGGATGGAGCGGGGGCCCGACGTTTTTTTTCAGTTCGGGGTTCGGTGAACGGAGCTATGGTGACTTCGCAGCGATTGGCTCAAATTCACCTCTTTTCACTTCACCCGTTGCCGCTCTGATGCCATCGCTGGATGAGCAAATTGCAGCCAAAGACTTTCATTCCCCCAGTAGTGCCCTTTTGCCATTTATCTTTTTTGGTTGGGAGGGTTCCCCTACTAAAATAGACTACAGAAAACAGGGCACCCTGATTCTAACCGCTCTACTGGAGGACCTAGCAGACTTACCTCTTCTTCTTCACTTTTTCCCTTTTTGGTTTGCCGTCCTTTTCCTTTCAACCGGCAACGTCATCTTTTTGCAGGGCTCGGAGAAGTCAAGGAGAGAGAAGTGAGAAGCTTGGAGGAGGAGCTTCACAGCGCCTTGGGGGAAGCCATTCCGTTCAGAGAACAGATGGCCCAGGTAGCGAACGAGCTGCTTCGGCGCATTTTGCCGCTTTAACATTTTGCCAACTCATGGGTTCTCCGTAGTATACCACTAAAAGTTCGTCACTTTTAGCAGGGGAGCAGAAAGCAACCGAGGCTGGATCACAAAATGCAGGCTGAGCTGAAAGCGACGCCCAAGAGAAGCGAAGAGATGGAGAAAGCGACGCAGCAAGCGAATCGTTTCCTTTTGATCTGTTCTTTTGGAAACCATTTCCTATGTTGGCAACCATTTTTAGTGGTGCCGAAAGGTGATCACTGTTTATTTCTGGTTTGGGCAACTGAGGTGATGTCCTGCGTGGTTCGTGTTGTCCATGAGGATATGCGGCATTCACACTGGGCTTCAAAGGCTTTCGATCCGAAGTTGATCTTCGAGTTGCAGGAGTTCAATCCAGATGAGCTGAAGGATGATGTGATGCACTTGTTGGACACGCACTGCTCAGACCCCACGCTGACAGCAGAGAAGATGGAGAGCTGGAAGGGTCCCCCAATCGTCCGGATCCTGAATCGATGGCTCCATGCGGTTCAATGCTTTGGCAGAGTTGGAGCAAAGCTGAAGCCCAAGCTGGAGGAGTGGCCTGGTCTCCATTGGTCTCTTCATTTGTTTTTTCTTTTCGACTCTTCGTTTTTGTTTGTTTGATTTTTGTTTTTGTTTTAATCCGTTTCCCCCCCCCCCCCCCGTTTTTTTCCTCCGGTTTCTTGGTGACTCGACGTTGGAAAGTGGGGAGCAGAGCAAATGTGCCAGGGCGCAAGGGTGGTGGTCCAATTGCCCAAAGCAAAAGTTGGCCCGGAGCAGGTCGCTGAAGAAACCAGCCATTGGACAGGGTTTCCTCCGTTTCTGTTTTTGGAATCTCTAAAAGTGGCAGTTTCAATGGAGCCCGAAGGGCTACTGCAAGATTGCTACGGTGCTGGGCCTTGATTGTTTCTGGTTCTGACAACTTCAGTGTTAATTTACTTGATGTTTTCGTTACCCCGCCCCGCCCCAAAGAAAACAAAAAGAAAAAGAGAAGAAGTAACCCGTTTCTGGGGATCTCTTGGCTTCCCTGAGAACCGGAAACTCTTTGACCGAAGAAACTTTCGAGGCCCCAGACCAGATTTAGACCTCGCTGCAAAAAGTTAAGCTTTTTGCTCCCCGCATCACCATGGTTCGTTACAGAGCCGGGCACAAAATGAGCCGTATAGACGAAACTGCGCTCCCAGAACCAGCGCTGAACCAGGTTGAGGCGCATGCACCTCGACCTGGAGGGCCTCATGCGGGAGAAGACCCTGATCGCCTGATACGGTGGTTATATCCTGAGGGGTTCTCAGAGGGGTAACATTGAGGATGCTCAATTGGACCCAGTGTAAACCCAATACAAACCTATTTCTTTGGCGCGTGTTTTATCGCAAAAGTGATTTAATGCGAGACGAGGTCAAGTGACTGTCATAATAATGATGTTGAAGAACGCCTTCAGCATGATGCGTTTCAGAAAAAATGCAGCGGTGCGGATCTCCACTTTTGCGTAACTCAGTTGTTCAGTTTTCCCTTTTTTTGTGGTTGCCCCACTAAAAATGGTCCTCCCCGAAAAGGGTTCCCTTTTTTTCCAGGGTCATTTGGAAAACTGTGCTGTTCGGACTGGAGGCGCCATTGTTTGTTCAATGGTTGCGCCGCATAGACGCACGACACTCATTTTGCGCAAACACCTGCAGAAACTGCGGTTGGTTTCCTAGAAACAGTTGCTTGCAAAGTTCAAGTGTGTTGTTGCAAATCAGCTAGTATAGGGTTCATGATTTTGAACGTATGTGGCCTTGGGAGCTTTTGCAACATTCATTTTTCGAATGCATGTTGTTTTAGCCCAGGATAGGCGTCAAACCAAACACAACGAACACACTAGCACAAGTGTGTTTTTCACATTAGTCATCATGGGATTCGATTCTACATGGATGCGAACTTGCGGGGCCTACCAAGTTTTGAAGTTTTCAGAGGCGGGTTGGCTGGCAAGTCCTGGGTGGAGTGGGGTGGTTACATCATAAACTGGCTTCCGGGAAAAAATGTGGCTTGTCGAAATGCTGTGGATTCACCACGGTCACAGAGCGTGTCAACAGCTCGGGCAATGAATTAATTCAGAACTAACCCATGCCAGAACTGTGTTGTGTGGTAGGATGCAGCGTGGACACAATGCATGTGGTAATGACAAACTCAGTGGCAAAAGGCAATGCACATGATGTTTGAGAGCCAAACAGTTGGAAAACAACTGCACTGCAAGGTGGCTCTTGGGAGGGTCTTAGCATAAAGGCAATATGCGCACAAATATACGTGTATGGGTGTTTGTTTGTGCTTTGTTGAGGGTACTTACCCTGTTCACCTTGGTTACACTATTGTTGGGTCCACCTAAATTGAAACTGCCATATCATTTCTCCGAAAGTCGGTGACAGAAGGCTGTCAAGGTCCAAGTCACTGCAAACTGCCCATATATATGCATCTCTGCAATCCCCAAGTGTGTCGTTTCTGAAACATGACCACCCAAGGGTGGAAGATTGGTTTGGATTCCTTCGGTTTCCTGCACCAGGGGCCACACGTTTACTCCAGGTGCTTTGGAGCAACTGTTGGATGGCCCAAGAATCTTGTGGCAGGGTGGTTTGGACCCAATCTTAAGATCGTCCTAGTGTGACGCCAATGGAGCCACCCAAAACGGCGGTTCCGCGGCTTTGTGAGGACACAATGGAAACAAAAGCTTCAGGAGAGACTGGACGAGGACAGGGCATATTGGCTGTTCACCAATCTTTTGCCCCGGCTTCTGTTGGTCTCTTGCTGTTGCTCCGAATCACTATTGATGTCATACACCCTGAATAAGTCTGGGTATCTTTGTTCAAGGGTAATTACCTGTTTTGGGTATAAACGAAACCGTCGCCATTTTGCGGGATCCGATTCCGATTTTTTGCCAACCCCGCAAAACGCGTAGCATGCTGAGTGCACCGGACATGTGTCCCCTGGGGACCTCAAACACGCGATCTCCTTGACTTGTCCCGTCTGCGGCTCGCTCCAAATCCAAACCTAGGCAAACCCAGCAGTCACCGCCCGCAAGCTTGACTGCTCTCGGGTTGGATTTTTAGACTTTAACATTTTGGGAAATCAAGCTGGGTTTTCCACTAAACCCCAAAAAAGTAAAACTAAACTTTTTGCACGGGGGTTAAACAGCAACCAAGGGGCTCCAAGTTTCAACATTCATTATCCGACGGATTTCGAGGACGGCGGTTTGGTTGAGTAATGTGTCCGCTGCCAGCCACGCCGTAAGACTTTTTGCATGAGTTCCGCAGGACTTATGACATGTCGCCAACGTTTTTTTTTCTCCCCCGAAAGGGATCAATGCACCCCCAAGATGTTTCTCACTTCCTGAGTTCCTGGACTTTCTACTTTTTGGGTTTGGACCATTTGTCTGATAAATAATCAGTTTCCACTCGGGTGAGATTTGAAGCGGACTTGCTGCGCGCGGATGGCCAGGACATGAAGATGTTCTCGGATTTGCTGGAGCAGGTCGCGGCAACGCGGATGGAGGACGAGAAGCGGATGCAACGACCAATATCCCAAGTGAGTTTTCCGTCACAGGATCCATGTGGCTGTGGGTTACTGTAAAAACATGTACCAAAGTGGCGCCTTTGCAAATGGAACCAAAGACTAAAACCTGCGTAACCCCAGTTCTTTAATTTTGAGCCACACCCATGTGGGTATGTTGGTATGCGTGGGTGTCAATTGCTGAGTGTTCCATATGTGCGGGTATGTATGGGTATGTGTGGGTATGTGTGGGTATGTGTGGGTATGTGTGGGTATGTGTGGGTATGTGTGGGTATGTGTGGGTATGTGTGGGTACGTGGGTATGTGTGGGGTGAGTATGTGGTTTTGGGGTTGCAGATGTGCCAAAGTAGGGACCCCCGCAAACAATCATTGGCTTTCGTTTGGGCTCCGTTTAAGCAGACCTGAGACGGGTAGCCCACACTTCCGGAGAGTACCCCCAAAGGAGTTCTGCAGACTGAGACTCCCCAAAATCAATATTCCAATCTTGGCAGTCGGTGTCCTACTAAAAATGGTATGCCTACCTTGTTTCGCGATGTGGCTCAAAGAGAGCAAGATGACTGGTGCGGTTTGGTGTAGTGTGGACGATGTTGAGTGAGTTCCTCAGCACAGCCCCAAACAAAGACATGCAAGCAGTAAGATGGGTTCAGGGGGCATATGTTTGTTGGATTCTCTCACCCATTCTGTTCTACTCGATGCAAGGACAGCGCGTCCACGTGTCAAAGCCTGTTTGGATCCAGGGGGCTGGGAAATCCCCGGCAAACCATAATGTAGTCGGGCGCTAAACATCACTTTGTTGTTTTCTGGGAAACACAGAGCGGATGGGCAACTTTCAATTTTTGCAGGTGTCAGCAGCCAGGTGTGGTTGTTTTTGTCATTGTTCGTGTGTTTGTTGGCTTGTTGGTTTGTTTTGTTTGTTTGTTTGTTTGATTGTTTTGTTTGTTTGTTTGTTTGTTTGTTTGTTTGAAGTTTGATTGTTTGTTTGCTTGCTGCCAAGAGCTGATGCGTTAGACACGTGGGGAGACTCCGCCACCGCTGTACCGCCTCTCCATGATGCTGACGTACTTGCTGAAACCCTGGACAATGGAGGCATCTGTGCTCCAGAGAGTCCTGCTGGCCACAGATGTGACAACTGCCATCCTGTTGTACATCATAGTGCTTGTAGTGCCTGGCTGTCACAAAAGCCCCTTCCCGCAAGGCCGCAATCTGCGCACGTTGTAAGGGTAGTAGTCGTCCTGATTTGTTTTTTGTCTTGTTTGCTTGTCTTGTTTGTTTGTTTGTTTTGTTTGTTTGTTGTGTTTGTTTGTTTGTTTGTTTGTTTGTTTGTTTGTTTGTTTGTTTGTTTGTTTGTTTGTTTGTTTGTGTTTTGTTTGTTTGTTTGCTTGCTGATTTGTTTGTTTGTCTTGTTTGCTTGTCTTGTTTGATTGTTTGTTTGTTTTGTTTGTTTGTTTGTTTGTTTTGCCTTGCTTGCTTGCTTGCTTGCTCGCTTGCTTGCTTGCTTGTTTTTTTGTTTGTTTGTGTGAAGGGTAGAAGTCCCTTCCAAAGGGTTGGAGTCTTTGACATGAGCTTCTCATACAGTTTTCGTTTTTTTTTGTTGGCAGACCGAAGGACGACTGCAAAGGCCGATTTTAGTGTGCGAGTGCCAGCAGGATGGCTTGCTTATTCTGGAGATGTCCTCAAAGCAGTTCACGAAACCACAAGAACAGCAGGCAAACAACGGAATCAGCACTACTTTTCGTTGAGTCCGCTAGTTGACGAAACGCCCAAGTGGGAATGTGGGAATGGGCAGTTTGAAGATTCTTTGTCTAGGATGTCTAGGGAATGGTTGGGAGCTTGCATGTATTCCAGAGCAAACAAGATGAGGCAGTGTGTAGACAGGTTCTATCAAGCGTGTTGTGATCGCTTACGCAGGACACTCATTCATGTAGCATCCTCGCACCCAGCTGTTACAACCCATTGAACGGGTCACCCAACTTGGTTGTCAAGGACCCCAACATAGGCACGTCCCTTTTGAGATTGGGCGGCATTGCGGGGCCCTTGACAAGCATAGCGGTTCTTTAGGGCGGATCGCACATGAGCAACTGGAAGGTTTCCATGCAGACAGGCTCACTCCCTAAGTTCCTGGAGTTCCTCTTTTGTGGGTCTGGTTTTACACTTCAGAGTTTGGTGCGGCTGTTTCTGACCAAAATCCACTCCTTCGGTTCCTGGGAACAGTGGAAGTTGAGGTCATGGGGGCGGGAGGGGAGGGGAGGGGGAGGGAGCCCAAATAAGCCTTAACTAGGTCCCTCAGCAGTTTCGTTCCCCCTTTTTTGGGGGAAGGGTTCCCCTAAAGTAGACTACCGAGAAAAACAAAAAAACTTGGTGCCAACTTCTTCTATCCTTGCAAAACTGGAGGACCTAGGCTTAAACAAGGCCTTTTCTAAGGCCTTTACTTTGAGATCCCGGTGGTCCAATCACTATTTTCCACTATGGCTGTGGGTCAAACATAGGGTAACCCCAATAGGTACCCAAACCGGAACGCTGGTAAATGGAACCAAGGCGAAAACCTGTCCGATTCCTGGTGGTTTAATTTTGACCCATACCCGTATTGGTTGATTCCCAAAAAGCACACCTATGGTGAATCGATTTTTCCCAGAAAGCCCTCCCCCCCCCCAGCCGTGCACTTTTTGGTTGATTTGCTTACAAGATGGAGGGCCCTGGTTTTACATGGTGGTTCAATCAACTACCAGGGAAACCCATGGATTTCCCTCTTTCACCTGGTTCAACCAACTATGTTCCACCACGGTTGATGCCCACCCCGTACGGTGAATCGTTTCCTTTCTCGGGCCGCCTGTGCCAGGAGCCCGGCTTCCCCGGCTCCGGCGCGGAAGCCGCGGATGCGGCGAGCACGGAGGTGGTGGCGAAGCCGGCGGACAAGGACGCGGCGGTGAGCCCGGTGCGCGGCTTGGCCAAGAAAATCAGCGGCGAGCAGCTGCTGGAATTTGGCAAAGAAAAGAAGGTGTGGGTTTAAAGGGAATCGGTTTCACTACTTTGTGTTTTTTTTTTGTTTTTCTTCAGGGGGGGGCCTTGGCTTCATTTGGCCAGTTTCTTCCATTTGCTGAATCTGTGTTATGTTCCCTGTTTGGGTTTAAAGCGGAATCTATGACTACTGGAAATCAGAGGCCTATGATGCCAAAACATGGTTCCCCTTTGAAACAAAACAACAGGAGGTTCCTCCCCAAAAGAGAGAGAGAGAGAGAGAGACACACACACACACAGAGAGTTTCTCAAAACGGCTATGACTATTAAGAGTTGGAACCACCTCAAAAGTGGTTGGCGGACCGACATGAATCCCCACCAAATTGAATTCTGACGTTCACCAGAGATTCCACATTTAAAAGTCATGCTTATCGAAGAGGCTAAATGTTTACCAATGCTCACAGTGGATGGGCGGTAGGTAGTTTGTCACAATTTTGGGGTTTCATCCATGCCAGCAGGAGCAGGATCCTGTCACCTTGTCCATCCATGAGGTTTGCTTGAACCCTACAACCCTGGGTGAATTCTCACCCCAAATGGTGGTTGATGCGAGGAATACCCCTCCAACCAGCTTATTTCAGGCTGGTGAAATATTAGAATTCACCCAGACCCCATTTTAATTCCTTTGGCTTTGGTAGTGTTCAACATCAATCCATCCCTATGCCAGATGATAGTGGTTTGCTTTGTTGTATCGGCTTACGGATTCTGGATTACCCCCTTTCTGGTTGGGGGGGGCCTGTTTTCCAACCTTGAACTTTTTTGTGCCCCCTTAACTATCTGCTGCTTAGGCCCCAGAAGCAAGTTGGGGGTAGGCAACAAAGAGGCCCCCTTTTCACAAGCTATTCTCACTTCCTGAGTTTCTGGACTCTAACTTTTTGGGAAACCATTTCAGTGGAAACAAGTGGCGAACAACAAAGTCTGGCTAGTCAGCTCAGTTGTTCAGTGGTACACTTTATCCGTTTTGTTTGGTGTCCCACTGGCCCAACGATTCCAGTTTTCCCTACCGTTACCAGGGGCACCAGGAAAAGGAGGAGATTGGTTCTGTGCTGTTTGTCAAGAATTTAAGCGTCAACAAGGGAAGGCTCCTATGTTGGTTTGGATCCCCGTGTTGTGTTTTCTCTTTTTTTCCTCCTCTAGTCGCCCTGCTGTTTTACTCGTTTGTTCTTTGCACATGGGCGTTATCAACAAAAAAGGACGCCCTCCTCCCCTTTTTCTGTGGGGTTTTGAAGAGAAGCCAAAGGGAGCACCCAGCCATGGATCTTCGGGGTCACCCAAAACTGTTTGTCGGGTGCCCCCCTTTGAACCTGAACCCCAAAGGACGACAACAAGGGGCTTCCACTTGAAGATCAGCCTTCGTGTTGCCCTTTGTTGGTTGCAGTTCAAGGCAAGCTCACCAAATAATTTCGAACAAGCTTCCATTCCCTGCCAGCCACATTGCCATTTTCCATTGTCACTTAAAACCAACAAGGGACATGCAAGCTCGCCAATTCAGCCAAATGGAGTAAAGGCTCCCACTTGAAATTCAACAAAATGAAACAACAGCAAGGGGTGAAGGCGGGGATCCGGTTTTTGTTGACCGTTGACCCCTGCATTTTCCGGTTCTTTCCATTGGTCCTCAGGCCTTCAATCGCAGCCGGTCTTCTTCGGGAACTTCAGCTCCTTGGCAGGCGCGCGCGCTTCCCGAGTCGGGCGTTTTGTTGTGGCGTTTAGGCCGGGGAGTGACATCACCGCACCTGGCGGTTGACGGCGCCCTGTGCTTTGGGGGTGGAGAGAAGAGAGATGAAGGCGAGCCAAAGGAATTGATGGCACCCTGTGTGTTTGGGGTGGAGATAAGGCGGATGAAGGCGAGCCAAAGGAATCTACCATTTTGAGCCGAGGGATGGGACGGACCCACACAGATGTGCACTCTCTTTGCTTCTGGCCTCAGGAAGCCCAACGAACCGCCTTCAAAGAAGTCCGACTTGTCGGGTGAAAGTAGATGGCACACTTTCAACACCGGACAAGCTGTGATTCATGTTGATTGAAGAATGCTTGCTGATTCCTGTGCATTGGGGGCCCACAGTTTATTCCCTTGAGGATGAATAAGCGGATTGACTTTCATCCGGGGTAGGATTCCGGATCAATTTGGGTTTTTCCCTCACCCTGCCAGGTTGATTCCCGGGTTGAAGTTCCAGGCTGCGTTTCACAGCGATTCAATCCCCCGAGGTTCCGGGGACATGCCTTGGGCGACTTTTCCCCCAACTTCCAGTTCCCATTGGGGAACCAGGCGTAGAACTTGGAGGTAACCATACCTGGGTTCCTACAGTGGCTTGCCTGGAAGCACTTGGTTTGGTTTTGTCTTCTAAACTCATCCAAAGGGTAACCCAGCGGTTCGGGCTGTTTTCCCTGAGAATCAACAACTTGGGGTCCACTGGAGCCCTTCTTGGGAGATCTCGCTGATGGGGTGCCCTTGACAACCACAGCAAAGTTGAGTGCACCTGGGCTTGGCACACAAACTGACCGCAGGCGAAAGTGATGTGGGCACTGCCACCGCGGGAGCCAGAACCATCTCCATCCCGGAGTCCGAGAAGTACGAATGCAAGCCGCTGACGCCCTTCGAACGGATCCAGAGCCTCAGTCTTCACGTTTGTTTTGGTGTGGTTTTGTTTGGACTTTTGTTTTTGTGGCTTTTCCCCACCCGACAGGTTTGGGGTTGTAAGATTTCAAGTGGCATCCGACCCGCCCACTGGGTGGCGCATGACAGCTGTGACAGAGCCTTTTTGCGACAGACAGCTGCGACAGAGCCTACGACACACGACTGTGAAAGATAGGAACTGACAGCCATGACAGTCTGAAGCTTGAGGCTTCCGCCAGTGGCCAGTTTTTTGTTTTTATAATGTCTTGTTGCTCATGTTGCCCGAGACAGTGAACTGCTGCAGCAAGGTTTGGGGACATCCTCAAATTGCCTTGCTTCACTCATTTTGTTGTAGCATGATAGTCGCGAAGAGCCCTTGATAGTAGCCGTTCCTGCCTCTGGTAACGGCTTCATCAGAGCAGTGACAGGTGAAGCCTGAGGCTCCCGCCTGTGGCCGGCTGCCAGACTGAAGTGGGCCTGCCAGCTTAATCAGCACAGCCGTGACAGGCTTCCGGGGATCCTGCCACTGGCCGGGCCTGCACAGTCCAAAGCCGCCAGCGATCGGATCAGGACAGCTGTAGCTGTGACAGGCCGAGCAAGAAATGACGAAGACAACAAGCAGATTAGAGGTGCCACGGACCGTCAATGTTGTGGAGAGTGTGCGCGGCTCATGCAGGAATAGGCGCGCGGCTGCTGAAGCTAGTGTGGACACAGCTAGAGTTGAACGAGCTCAGCCACAAAAACCAGGACGAGGAAGATTGAGCGGTTAAACCTTTTCTTTTGCATGTGGTGGGAAGGGGCGCAGACGATGTGACCTTGCACGAGCTTGACTGTTCGCTTGAATACCCGGAACGTTTTGAATGAAGGGAACAGGAAGCGTGATTGCGGCAACAACAAGCTGCTATTGATTAGAGGTCAGCGCTGCCTTGCTTCCATTTTGATGCGACCGAGTATCTTCGCAATCGCGTCAAACAGCAGCATTCAAACAGGCTTCCAGAGTTTGGTTGCCCCAAGAGACAAACCCGGGGGTTCCAATTGCCGGCTGCTCTTTTTAAACCACCCAGAGAGGGGGCCGTCAAACAAGCATGGCGCACCCACCCTTCTGTCAGCAGATCGCATCAAAATAAAATGGTGCATGATTGCAAATGAACCGAATCAGGAAAACCATTCGCAAATCAATTGTCCATGATCAAACGTAGGCCAAGCTCAAAAACAAGCAAAACACAAAAACTGTTGGTTTTGAATACAAGGTTGCCATGTTTGAATCCGGGTGGTTTCACGGGTTGAAACAACGTTGGTTTCGCTTGAGGTCGTGTCTTACTCTCCGGAAAAAGAATACCAACCGCCATTTGAACTCAGAAAAGGTTTGCCTTGTACTATTTCCACATTTACACAACACCCCTTGGAGGCACAGCCTGAGGAACCTGCACTTTTGTGGAACAGCCCGAATTAATCCATCAAGTTGGTTCATTCGGAACCGGCGTGATTTTTATGTGAGGTTTGGTCAACAATTCCAGTATTTTGGTTCATTTGGGACTTGCTCGAAAACGCAAGGTTCCATGTTCTTCTTTCGTAGTTATATGTAGTTTTTAACATCACGTTTTGGACCAATCTAAAATGCTTTGGGCACCCCGTCATCTGACCAGGGTGTCAGTGAGTTTCCTTTTGGCGGGGTGATGTCTAAAGTTGACACACCCTCCCACCAATTGCCGGAAGGAAGGCTGACGTTTTGGGTTCCCTTTGACAGGAAAGTGGTCCAAACTAACCCTGCCCAAACGTCACGTCAGGCTCCTTCCGTCAATTGGCAGGGTAAAACTGAAGCTCTGAAGCCCATCCTTTGCTTCGAAGGAGTTCTTTGTCCGCGCCGGCGCGGTTCGTGTACTTCAAGGAGAATGAGAAGAGGAAGCGATTCATCTTGCACAAAAGCGGCTTGGCCAACAGACACCCACAAAAATAGCCAAACTGTTCGGCTGTTTTTGTTGGAGGGGGGTGGGTGTCATTTGAACACATTTACTAAAAGGGGTCTTGGTACGGGTCTTTTGTGGGGGTGGTTTAAAGCCATTTTGGTGGGGGTCCCCTATTTTGACATCAGCTGCGGCCGGCTCTTGCAAGAGCCGGGCCCGGTTTTTCTTCCCCTCAGGAGAATATTCGGAAGATCCTGATAATCTTCGTTATTTTCCGAAGATTTCTCCCTTGCTTGTCCGAAGTGATGCGAGTACTGTTTTAGACTACGATATTTGGTTGTTCCCCCTTACCAGTGCAGTTTCCTATTTTAGGTGTGCCAATCTGTTTCCCAAGAATGAAGGCTTCCAAAAACGGGACCACACCATTTGGGGCTGCCCCTTTTGTTGGGGACCCTCCAAAATTGTGGTTTTCCCTTTAGTTTCCAGTTAAAACCAAAAACGGGGACCCTGAAAAAGAGACAGACCCATGTGAGCCACAAGCGAAGCCCGAGTAGATGACTCGGTTAGTAAGGGGCAGTCCCAGTCAGAAACAGTTGCGGCCGCCTTCTTAATTCTTTACATGGTTCTGGGTAGACCATATTTTCTTAATCCAGGCTGATCTCAGCTTTTGCCGTTTGCCCTGGGGTATCCTTCGTTTTCCCATTCGAAGAGCTGTGTCCTGGTGGTAAGCGCATTCGTTGACTCGCGCGTCGCGGGTGAAGCTCAGTGGTGCCCTTGACTCACCAAGAGCAAATCCCATTATATTTTCTCCTTTAGCAGGGCTCCTGAAAAGAGTTGCCGACTTGAAACATTGTTTTTTCCACCAAATACAAGGGAAGCCTCCATTTACAAGGCAATGTTCAGGTGCAAAATGTAAGGATCCCTGTTTAGCTTTAAATATCGCCTTTTGAGGCCAATTCAAGGTTTGAAGGGGCAATCTAGGGAACTCTGCACAGGGGTGCCATTTGTTCCCCTCAAAGTCTTTCTGCGGGCCAAGAACGGAGGGCAGGAAAGCCCTCGTTGCTTGAGGCGAGTACCGTGAAAAGACCTTCCAGCAGTCCAACACCTGCTCCTCCTCCTACATCCAGCATCACGATTTCCAGCCACTGGTGCAGTGGTCCAAGCAGGGCAGCGACAGCCACTGGAGCCGCCCCTTGCCTGAAAAAGAAATCATGCGCCAGCCGCTAGGTGCAAAGGCAACAGTCTGGCACCCCTGTCCAACAAATTCGGAAGTGGACAGGGGACCTTTCTAAGGTGATGCCAGTCTTCCAAAACCTTTCTTTTTGTGCACTTCCCGTTATTGTTGGAAAGAGGGTGGTTGATGTTCCAAAAAGGAAAGCCAAAGATTGTAGGCCTCTTTTAAATTGTGTGACATGTCAAGCTCATTAAACTCACCAAATATGGACCAGAATCAAGGATATGACGTGGAAATCTCAAGCAGCTGTGGGAGCCTTGTTTTTGAAGTAAGGAGTTCTCTTTTGGTGACCGGCTTTGGAACTGGATAAGACCAGGAGTTGATTGAATTGACAAGCTTTCGACTGTGTTGAATATCATCAATTATTTAGATTAATATCAGGAATTCGTCGCATTCACAAGATTTGGAAGGTATTAAGGACAGGATTTGTCTTTGTCAAGCTCTGAAGAGAAACCAGGTGTTCTGTTCATTCACACTGGCCCCAGTATTTTCACACGATCAAAGCCATCCCCGTGATAGGTTCACGGGAAACACCCCCAGTAGCCCAGTTGCTGACTTTGATAAGCCCCAAAAGCAGAAACAGTATTGGCACCAGTTCACCAGTCTTTGAACCTGTTCGGACTGTTCGGCCATTTGCTTAAGAATATATTTGTTTCTCCTGTTGGTTTCAAAGGGAATCTATCACTGCTGGTAGTCTTTTCTCTTTTTTTTGCATGAGTCTTCAGCAAATGGAACCTTGTAGGCGCAGGAATTCTTGACAAGTGCTTCAACTCCTGGAGCCGTTTTTTGCAGCGATCCATTCCTGAATTTTTGAGGCCATCTTCCCAGTAACATGAAAGGTGACGTTCGGGACATGGTCCCAACCTGTAACCCCGAACGTCAGGAAACCAGCTGCGTTGTTAAGGAGGCCTGTCGCCTTTTTTGTTTGGCCTGGGGTTTGGGCTCCTTCCGTTAATCAGCGGGAGGGTAGGTCTGAGTCTTGACGAGCCTCGAAACTTGATTGAAATCAAGAACTTGTTTGAATGGACAAGCTTTGTAACATGTAGCGAACAAGAAGTGTCGTTAATGTTGGCATGCTTTGGCAGAGATTGCCGAATTTATCCAATGACAAAGCTTGATGTTTTGAGACCAGGCAAGTGTTTTCTTGTCAAGCTTCAGAGCTGTATGTGATCAGTGTTGACAGGATGGCAAACTATGCGACCAACATGTTTCTCAAGCATTTGAGCTTTTAAGACAGGAGATATGTTTACTCATCTGCTTTGGACACATCAGAAATTATCTTCATTGTGCCCATTGACCTTTGGAACTCTTTGGGTTCCCTTCTGACCTTTCTCCCCCATTGGGGAGCATTTCGGCACGATGGTCCTCTTGACAAACTATGAAGCCTTGTGGCACCACTTTTCCGCTTTCAACCAACTTGGCGCTTTCAACAGACCATCATTTTTGTCACTTGGTCGCAACTTAAAAAAACAACACTTTTTTGCCACCAGGAACCATGCCCCTTTTTCGCCTAGTACACCTGTAGACCATAAGGGACCTCGCGGGACCTGATGGAACTTGGGGCCTCAACATACTGTGGATGGAAAAGAAATCCGTTCGCACCACGAGACCAAGGGGACTGTTTGTTGGTATTTACAGGCCAATCAATATTCGAGTGTTTCTTAGGTGGTGCGAAATGGATTTTGTCCATCCACAGTATGTCCTTTTTGACACCCCGCAAAGCAACTCAGGTTGCGGTACGGGGTTGCGGTGTCCCGGGTTGTGCGTACCAAGCCCCAGGACAGGAGACGTTTAGGCCAGGGACTGCCGCACAAACGGTGCCAACCGAAACCACCCAAGTAAACACCACCCAAATAGACCATGAACCAAAACCACTCAACACTATGGCTCCATTTTGGGGTGGATGAACATCCAATTGCCACCTATTCTGATGTTCACCAAGGGTACAGGGTTTTGACCCACAGCCAAGTCATTGTTCCTCTCGCGTCTCTCGTTTTGCTTAGGCCCTGGCTATGGTGGCGCAACGGACTCAGTCAAGCTGTCGAGCGGTGACTTCACGGACGACCTCATGGTGGTCCAAGAGCATCTCCGCCGGTGGGTTTCCAAATGAGCCACAGTCAAAACCCGGGGATTGATGAAGGCTAGCAAGAAACAATCCCAGCCAGAAACAGCAGCTCCCGCCTTTGTATTTCCTTAGATTCTGAGTCACCCATTTGTTTACCGGGTTTTCGATTGTGACTCAAGTGGGTCTGTTCTTTTCAGGGGCCCTCCGAAATAGTAGTTGTTTTCCTTTTGGTTACCCCAACACCACCGACAAAGGGGTACATTCAACAAACAGATGCACCCAAATGGGGGGCTTCTACAAATACGGCCAGCCCCTCAATTTACCTGCGCCCCGATCCAACGCCCCGAAACAAAATGCCTAAACCTAAACCCTAAAACCCATAAATCTAAACCCTAAAAACCCTAAACCTCAACCCTAAAAACCAGAAGCCAAAACCCGCAAAAACCCTCAACCTAAACCTTAAAACCCCAAACCTCACCCCCCTAAACCCTAAGCCCTAAACCCTAAACCCAAACCCTAAAAACCCTAAACCTAAACCCTGAAAACCCTAAACCTAAACCCTAAAACCCTAAACCTAAACCTTAAAACAACCCAAACCTGCTTGCAGAAACCTAAACCCTAAAAACCCTAAACCCAAACCCTAAAAACCCTAAACCCAAACCCTAAAATCCCTAAACCTAAACCTTAAAAAACCCCAGACCTGCCTGCTACCCACGCCCTCGTCGTACCACGGGCCCACGTTCTGAAGAGAACACGGGTCACCACGTGTCAGGTATGGCTGCACGAGTTCTGCTACTTAAGTAGTAAAGGGTGCCATGCTTGAACCACGTGCTGGACAAGGCTGGATTAGGGGGTGCCGGCAAACCACGGGGGCGTGGGTAAAAAATAGTAGTTCCCTTTAATGTTTGCATCCTGATAGGGTTCCATTGGCATACCAACCAAAGGGGCTCCACGGTGTTGAGAAGCACTCAAATGATGAGCGCCCGAGACGTCATTGGCCAATGTAGTAGGTTTTTGCAGGTTTCTACTACCAGATTTTATGAGCCAAATAGTATGATTATGGCCTAGCTAGGGCTTGATTGCCATTTTGTTAGGGCCAAAGTCGGAAACAGTCTGGCAATTCGTGAAGGATTCCCTGCTTGGATGTTTGCATTAACCAGTCAATCCTGGCTTTGAGTCATGATTAATCAAACCAAATTGGTCTACCCAAAACCATGTGGAGAATCAAGAGGGCAGATATGCGCCCTATGTCTTGTTGGGGCCTGAGCCTACTCACCTTTGTCTACCCGTGTTTTGAGTGTGATGCTCCCTCTAGTAAATAATACTTATGCAGGTTATAAAATTATATTTCAGATAATTAAGTCATTAATTTACATATTTATGTTTAATATATTTAAATAATATTAATATTATTGCATTATTTACTTGTGGTCTTTAACTGTATATATATATATATGTAGAGCTCAGCTTTGCAAGTGTTTACCCATTTGGTTTTTCTTCATGTTCCTTCCGAGCAGAACGGCTGCGTGGGTGTGGGAGGGATCCGGTGAGTCATAGCCGTCGAACTCCGGACTGTTTGGCTCTGGGGTGACGGCGCTCAACCAAAAACCAAGCCCAGTACTTCCAGTTACTATAGTAGGCAACCAGGTTTGGCTACCGCTAGGTGTCACATGAGTCACAATCAAAACGCGGGGATTGATGAAGGCTAGTAAGGGACAATCCCCACCATAAATAGCTGCGGCCGCCTCCTTAATTCTTGACACGTACCAGGTTTTGATTGTGACTCACATCATGTTTTCGCCTGTAGTGGCTTGCCTGGAAGCACTCGGAAACCACTGAAGTTGAGCTCTCCGACTTGAGGAAACTTTTATGTGAGCCACAATCAAAACTGTGACGCGAAGGGACTACTTCTTCACCATTGGATTTAGGTAGCCCACCGTTGTAGGTTTGATGACGCGGTTCTCTGAAGCGTTTCCACTTCTTCATTTGTTTGTTGTGTGGTTTGTTGTCGTTTTCTGCTTGATCCCCCGAAGATTTCAGTTCTCGCGTAGTTGCGATGTTTTTCTGCAAAGTATCTTGCTGATGTTGGCCCATGCTTGCCAAAAGGTGCACGCTCGATTTCACGAGCGCGTTCAAAGTTGCAAGCCAAGTTCAGTGGCCTCCAAAGATCCAACAGTCGGATTCCCCTTTGGCATTGCCAGCCTTCAACAAAAAGGATGTGCTTCTTGGCAGTTCCCAGTTGTGCCCTTAGGCTTTTAGGTTTTTAGTGTTTAGGGCGGGTTTCCATTTAACCCACTAAACGTCAAGCTTTTAGCAGGGGATCTGAGGACAACCCAGGTTTGTTTAGACAATCGGATGTATCAGACTAGCCCCACTTGGGTGTTGAATTGGGAAACAGTGCTTTTGCCGAACCATATGTGGGGCGCGTCTAGTACCTCATGTTGGAAGTTTATGGTTCAATGAAGGACTGTTGCCTGACCTCCGGAAGTTCTTGAGCCATACGCCAGAGCCAGTCAGACCCTTAACGTTTGTTTCCTACCGTGGGCCCAAACAAATCTTTGAGGTTCCCAGCCATCCACTTAGGCTTTTAGGTTTTTAGTGTTTAGGGCGGGTTTCCCTTCAACCCACTAAAAGTCAAACTTTTAGCGGGGGATCGGAGGACAGCCCAGAAATGCGCTACTTTGGACACAGGTGCGACTCAAACATCCCTATAAGGAGTTGTGTTTTCGGTGACCATCGGTTTTGCTGGAAGTACGTCCTACATTGTTACACCCAGACAAGATAAACCAAATGAACTATGAATCTACAAAGGTGTAAAAACAATTCATGGTGGTTATCGACCCACTAATTGTCGGTACTCAAAAGGCAAACTGTTTAATCACTTGAAAGACATCATACAACTTAAAATAACATACAACAATGCAATGACATTGGCAGCTTTCGGCCCTTCTGAAAAGTAACTTGTTTGGCGGCGCTTGGCCAAACAAGTAAACCAGCTGGCGGATGTGTTCAAAGGGGGCATCCCCCCAATAATTCAATATATATATATATATATATATACATATATGTGAATTCATTTACATACACACACCCATACACATTCATATACATGTGTATATATATATATGTATAGATCAATGTGTGTGGGGGGGGGGCGGGTTCCTGTAAGGAGCACTATGAGGTGGTGCAAACCCCAAAGGAAACCATAGGTTTTCGAGCACGCCTACAGGACACAACACTAACATGGCGCAACTCTAGGTAGATGTGTTCAGATTTTGGTTTAATTTTGGCCAACCCTAATATGTAAAATGCAACATGTACTCTAGGAAGATAGATGTGTTCAGATTATGGTTTAATAATGGCCAACCCTAATATATAAAATATGACACCTCTGGGTAGATGTGTTCAGATTATGGTTTAGTTTTATCTACAAAATATATGTATATATATATATATCGTACCGTGTTCCGTGTTGCTGTCTGTATGGGTCCCCAGGACCCCCCCCCTCCCCCGGCCCGACCCACGTACCCACCCACCCACCCACCCACCCACCCACCCACCCACCCACCCGCCCACCGCACCCTGGCACCTACGGTCCCGCCCCCACCCCCACCCCCTGAACTCGCACCCCGACACCCCGGCACAGGACAAGCCAACCCGCAACCAACCATAAACCAACCCTAAACTAACCCTAAACCAACCCTAAATACACCCTAAACCAAACCCTAAACCAAACCCTAAACCGTAAACATCTTAACCTAAGCCGACCGTAAATCAGCCTAAACCGACCCTAAACCAACCCGAAACTAACCCTAAATACACCCAAAACCAAACCCTAAACAATAAACCCTAAACCTAAACCACCTAAACCAATCCTAAATGAACATAAACCAACCCGAAACTAACCCCAAATACACCCAAAACCAAGCCCTAAACAATACACCCTAAACCAATCCTAAATTAACATAAAGCAGCCCTAAACTAACCATACACAACCCAACCACAGGACCACAACCACAAGGGTGGGGGGGGGGGGGGTACTTGTCTGACCCATGACCATTGGGGGGGGGAGGGGGCCGCAACGCTGTATCGTATATACACAATATGACATGTTTCTTGAGGAGACCGCAGACCGCGCCTGGCCTTGCGAGGTATGCCGGCTTCTGCCGGCACTTCATGATCTTCCCCAGCAGCCCTGCCAAGTCACTTGACCGACAACTCATCCCTCAAACCACTGGATAGAAATTGGTTCCTGGTCGTGTTTGCTTCTCTTTGCTCCCGAGACAAACACCCCAGAAGTCACAAACACAACCAGGAAGCTTCTCTTTCTTGTGTCTCTTTGCTTCTCTTTGCTAGGCCCCCCAGCTAGGTGCCCTTTTACCCCCTACTAGAACAAACTACAGAAAAAAAGGTACCCTTATTCTAACCTCTTTACTGGAGGACCTAGTTTGCTTCCGAGTTATTTCGTTTTCCGCGAACACGGGTCCGAATTTAATCCACTAAAAGTGAGTCACGTTTCGCGGGGATCTGAAAACGGGCAGCCCAGGATTGAAGGGAAACCCAGGGTTATGTTCCCTTTGACGCACAAAGATGACAACACCTCCACGGCCGCGCAAAAAACAACAACTTTTTCTTTGTGGGCGAAGTGTGGGATGTGCAGGCTCGAAGGCGGATGATGTCATTGTCCTTTAGCATGGGTGTGGACAGGGTTTCAGGTTTTTTGATACGGGACCCTAACTGATGCAGTGGTTTTTAGGAAGAACGGGCCATGTGACTCCTACTTGGCCCCACCGGGAACTCAGCAGGCTGATTTGGGACGTCACCGGCGCCGCTCTTATCGTCTATGACCTCTTCACCATCTCCATGCAGGCACGGCCTCGGCACAGCCTCTGTGAGCCTCAAACTGGGCTCTCGGAGATTCCGTGTTCGGACCGTTTTGCGTGTGTTGTTGTATGGTGTGCGTTTTCGGGGGGCACAGTTTGGAGGGGTAACATGAGCTCAGCCGTACTTGGGAATCCGTTATTTTAGGTTTTGGAAGTTCTATCAGAATTTGCAGACCCATGTGTGTGAACAAGACCCATGTGTTTGATCAAGACCCAGGTGTTTAAAGAGAGAAAACAAAGGACACTCCGGCACACATACTCATTTCGTTTTTGTCGATCCCTTTTGGTTGTATGTAGTTTCCTCCCTGACAAAACCAAGCCCACACACATAGCACCATGTCACGCAGGGCTTGTTGACAAAATTGTCAACTGCCCACCAGACCCACAGGAAACATGTGTTTTTCTTTTGGGGGGCGGAGGTGAATTATGGTCAGGGCTGATGTGGATGACATTGAAGATCCTGTGCCAAATGGGCATACGTTGTTTGTTGAATACTCTTCTTTGAACTTCTTTGGGACAGGGTTCCTGCGCCCATGTTGGGCAGAATCGCTCTTCGGCCCGCAACTCAACCTTTGGTTTGACGAGTCCCAGGTTTTGTAGGGTCCGGGAGGTGCATAGAGGCTTCGGAAGCTTATCTCCTCGGTTCACCAAGGAAGCTGTTGGTCCCCTGTTTCTTGGTGGCGAAGCCAGCCACCCAGTCCCTTAGCTTCTTAGATCCTCTTAGTGTTTAGCGGTTTCCATTTAACCCACTAAACGTTAGTCACTTTTAGCGGGGGATCTGAAAACGGGCAGCCCCGGTTTGGTTTTGGTAACCACTTCGTCCCAATTCACATTTTCCAGGATTGGAAGGATCAGGATGCTTCAGGCAATCTCGCTCACCCAAAGTTCCTGGACTTCACACTTGGGAAAACCAGCTTTAGTGGGTAAAGCCAAAAAACGACGCTGCTTTTGGCCAAACAAGTGCATCTTTGTGAAGAAGTTCAACCTTTGTTTGGCCAAGAAACATAGTGGGCTATCTTGGTGTGGGCTGGTGGCAAGGTCCTGCTCTTTTGTGTCGGCCAATCTCGTTGCGGGAAGGTGAGCTCCAAATTTTCGTGAAATGGCATGGGCCTTTTTTTTCGCCGGCATGGCCCTGGCATGGCAAGCCCACGGTATGGGCGGCTCGTCTTTTTGTTGGATGTTACCCCCGTTTTGGCTGGTTTTGAAGGGGAAAAGGAAAACCGTTGCCATGTTTTTGGGGGACACCCACCACTTTGGGGGTTTTGAAAGGGAAACCCAAAGGAACACCGTTAACCATGTTTGGGTTTCTCCGATTTTGGGCCACAAGCAGACGCTCAAGTACACCTTTGTATCTAACCCTAGGAGCCCAAGACCCTAAATATGAGGGCCTTTGACCCCCAAAGGCCTCAAATACTGAGGTCTTGGACTAGGCTAAGTGTCTATTCCAAGGTCTTCGATCCACCGGACACCCCCCTGACCACCTTCATGCAGTGGCTGATCTTGGTCTACTGGACCCTCGGCCTTGCGTTTCATGCGTTGACGCGCAACGACCGGAAAACCTTTCCGAGGAGTTTACAAGGGTTTACCCGGGAGAAAGGGCAACGGCTGTGGAGGATCAGGGTTTCCCCCCATGTCGCTTGTTGGCATCTCGAAACAGACGGGGCGATCTTGGTGGCTCCCAGCCATCCGCTTAGCGTTTTGGCCTTTTAGTGTTTAATGGTAGTTTCCATTTAACCCACTAAAAGTTAAACTTTTTGGCGGGGATCTGAGGGCAGCCGAGGTTTGAATGGAAACGAGCAGCAAGTGTCAATAGATCAATTTTCGACTTGGGAAAATCCAGGGACCCCTAATAATTCCGTTCCGAAGCGTTGTAGCTGGGGGGGAGAGCGGGTGGGTGGGTGGGTGGGTTGGTGGGCGGGTGGGTGGGTGGGTGGAGGGTATGGAAAGAACGCGGGTCCCTGTTTCAAGCATGTCGAAGCCAATCCATGTTTCAAACTAGTCGACCCTGAACCCCCAGCCCCACACGCCATGTAACTTCTCCGTTATTTGTGCGCTTTTCGCAACTGGAGCTCCAACTGCGCAGTCCCATTTGCTTATCGGCCACGTCGCCACTTTGCCGCAGGTAGTTTTAGATGTCTAAGAGGGCCCGGGGTCTTCTTGCGGTTGAGGGAGCTACCTCATGATGAGTTTTTGCAACGGGCTCTTTCATGATCAATGTTTTTGGCAAGGCCGGAGGCTCCCACACACAGACAGCCCAGCCTGAACAGCTCGGCAAGATGAGCTGGGGCAACCTGCGAAGATGAGCTTGAAGCGACTTGCGTAAGAAGAGCGTGCTCGCGAGCGTGTCTTCGTTTGGTGAACGGGGCTTCGGCGGCAGCAAGCGCAAGCATAGCTGCGAACGCTTGGATGTCGCAAGTGCCCAAAGCTTTGGGAAAGCAAGTCCTTGGACGATCGAGCACAAGCACCAATCAGGGCGAGAAGCGGCCTAAGCGGCCACGCGTGACGCAGGCCATGAACGAAAAAGTGAAACTGGCCTTAGAGGCTGCAAATACCTCCATGCTGCGGTGAGGAGTTGTATGCTCATGGGGTGACAGCGCCGGGACGGGGGGGGTTCTGCCCAATCTACAGGTTTGCATGTCAAGGCCGGCGGCGGCAAAAATTAAGACCACGTAGCATGTCGGGACTTTGAGCGGGTTAGATTGGAGAGCTTCGGCCTCCACCCCGCGCTTGTGCCGACAATGCAATCGTTCTTCGACCCTTAGCCATTTCCGCATGATTTGTTCATCAACAGCCATACTGGCTGAGCATAGAGCCCAGCCGCTGGCGAAACTGGCCAACACCCCCCTTCACTTTGCGATTCGCTAAATTCAGCTACCTGGCTAATTGCGCTTAGCGGCAACAGCCCCGTTTTGTTTCCTGCAGCAACTCCGGCTGACCCAAATTTACACCTTAGATGAATATGTGAGCCAGACATAGCTGCTTTTGGCATGCGCCTGGCCGCCCTTCTGCTTTTTACGTTAGGCTTTGGCCTTTGTCACGGTTTCAAAAAGAATCCAAAAAGAACACTGAAGCTCATTCGCACGCACACCACACCCACTTCCTAGCTGTTTGATACCCCGACTTGAATCCCACTGGACAACTCACAGTCGCGTCAGAACCTGACAGGTTTAGGGTTAGCCTCAAGTAATATGATTTTGGGATTGATTTTTGGAGGGGACGTCTCCCTATGAATACGACGGGTTTATTAATTTGGGGTCAACATTAGTTGTTCCTTTCCTTGATTGTAGCAACCCACTGATCTTCAAACCCACCAGACTTGGTCAAATGTAGCAACCTTGATATTCAAACCCGCGAAACTTGGTTCAAATTATTTCGACCTTGCTGGTGTTTTTCCGTCGCCCGATGTCCCTGAGTTCAAACCAAACGTCGACTTGGCTCAAATTCTTCGACCTTGGTGTTTCCGTCGCCCGATGTCGAGGACGATGAACATGTGCGTGTCATGCCTGGTGGGCTACATCGACAAGGGCATCTTCGTCATGGTGCCCCACAAGGCGTGTCGCGGGCCGCTGGGTGGGGATGCACAGCCGCGTCGTCTTCGTTTGTCTTTGGCGCTGAAAGGAAGCCACCGGGTTTTCGTCGGGTAACTCCTAGGTCCCCCAGCTAGGTGCCCTTTTGCCCTTTTTTGGGAGAAATGGAAGGCTAGGTCCCCAAGCTAGGTGCCCTTTCTCACCAACTTTTTTGGTTGGGACGGTGCCCCTACTAAATAGACTACAGAAAACAAAGTTAGTACCCTTATTCTAACCTCTCTGGAGGACCAAGCAACCGTTTATTTGGGGTCACCCATTTTGCGACAAAGGACTAAGGATACCCTTGCCTCCGGCAATGATGGAAGCTGATAGAGGGCTTTTGGCAGACTACCGTCCTTCCGCGGAAGATTTGGAGGGAGGATACTACCCGTTTGGCAACCAAAACGCTTTCCGACAGGGCAAATCATCACTTTTTGCCTGGGGCCCACCAAACAAAACAAGTGTGTTTGTGTGTTTTAGGGGACCCCGAAAATGCTGGTGTTCGTTTTGGTCCTTTAAGACCACAAAAAAGTGGTACCCTCAACAAACATATGTTGCCGGTGCTTCAGGTACTCGCTCTCATCTTCTGTGGCTTTTTGTTGGCTTGAACGTTGCCTAAAGCGTTTGGTTTCACTCAGGGTCCACTGTCCCTGTTTTGCAAGCGAGCTGTTTGACAAAGGGCCATGCCCGTTGAGCTTGCCACGTTGAAATGTGTCAGGCGCGTAGCTGTTTGCAAGCTTTGAGCGCGATTTGATCGAAGCAGTTGAAATTTCAACCGCTGGGCGTGTCACGGAACTGCCAACATGAGGTTCCGTCAAAATGATTGGCAGTCTATGGTCCCTTTGAGTGGGATGTGGTGCTCTCTAAACAATCCCCAAACAACACCCAACAACTCACTAGTCATGTTCCATGTTCTAGATGTCCTCTTGGAGAACAGGTCATTTGGACCGTGGCTCAAGGAACAAAAGACAAAATCAGGCCAACACTCTGTTCAAAGCCGACCTTTTCGCCTTAGTTGTTCCCTTTTCCACTTTTAGTGCAGGTCCCAAATGTCGCTCGTCATTTTCCAGTTCTCACTCGTCAGATTTCACAAGCCCTCTAAGCCGCGCCTCCACGGCCACAGAGAAGCAGCACAAACCACACCCCGTGCTTCCAGTTGCTTTTTTGGGACAAAACTGGAAGCACCGTGGAACGATGAGCGCCGAAGAGAGAAGCAACGAGCGAAAAAGCGAAGCGCCTCGTGGCCACCCCGTGGGATCAGACTGGACACCCCGTGGTCACGAGGAAAAACCACTTAGGGCCGAAAGATGGCGTACAGTTACGTGTAGCAACGTGATGGCATAATAAGGGCATAATAAGATTCAGTTTGTTTTTCTTGTGAGGGAATAATAAGGTTGAGTTACGACGGTTTGCTCTGTTTTCTTCAAACACATCCGTGACTTGACGCTTGACAGCGGCAGGCTTGATGATTTGGCGGACTGCGGATGGAAGTGCGGTCAAGGGAATATGGGTGCATTCGAGGACGTGAAGAATGATTGAAGAGATCAGCCAAAGGGAAGATCACTGGAACCTTTGGGTTCCACGCGGTCCAAACTCGGGCCAGCCGATGAAACCACAAGTGGAATTTTGATCCCACGCATGGAACCTGCGCAGGAGTCCAAGGAAAATAGACCCCTCCTCCCCGTCATTCGCCAGCTCATTATTTGAAGAGAACAGGCCAAAGACAAAGGCCGCCCCCCCCCCTCAATACATGCTTCTCCAGGTGATGTTTCATCATTGGAAGAGTAAACACCCCCCTCATTTCCCCTCCACATCTCCACCCCGCCACCCGCCCGGCAATCGCCTGTATCTATAGACAACAGGAAACAAACATGCATGCTTTTCTGCCCCCCTGCTTCCGGTTGCCAGTTGACCAGGTGATGTTTCACTATCTGAAGACGTGGTTCGTCATCGATCTGGTGGTGGTGGGCACGGATTGGGTCTTCAGCCTCTCGGAGAACGGGGGCTCTGCCGAGAGCTCGGTCAAGCTGCTGCGCTCTCTTCGGCTCTTTCGCATGGCCGGAGCCGAGGGGGGATGGAAGGGAGGGTGGAGGTGTGAGACTCACTAGGTCCCCCAGTACTGCCTTTCTCCCCCTTCTTCGGGGGAGGGTTCCCCTACTAAAATAGACTACGGAAAAACAGGTTACCCTTATTCTAACCTCTCTACGGAGGACCTAGGAGAGGGGGGGGATGGTGATTGTTTGCAAGATGTAGCGTTTTTTTCTTCTGGTTTTTGGCTGCATCGAGTTGTTCAGTGTCCATGGCACGGCTGGGAGCTTGGAGTCGCAGAGTGAGGAGGTGTGAGAGGGGTTTTGGATGCCGGGGAAAGGCTTGGCGTAGAGCTTGGATCTCTGCGTTGCCGATGATTTTTTGCCTTTGGGTTCTGTCTTTGTTTTGGTTCGGGTTTCCTCCCTCGGCTTCTTTTGATAATATAGTTCTGTGCCAAAAGGCGGGCACAGGTGTGTGTGTGTGTGCGCATTCATCATTTGGTTCAAACGTAATCCTTAATCCTTGGCTTGCCCGGATACCTCGGGTTGCGCAAGTCCCCAGTGGCTTCCCTGTAGGCCTAGGGCTATGGATTGGGACTGGCCTCCATTTTGCACAGCCCAGTTTGTGAACATGAGTTCGCGTTTTCTCTTTTCGACACACGGCAACCAGCCAATCGCCGATTGGTATCTTCAGGGCTTGGGGTGAAAGGCCAAAATCATCGTTACCGTTTGTTTTGACGGTCTCACTTCCTGAAAAACCCGTTGCGCACTGTCTTCACTTTCTAAATCTTTACCATTTGGTAAAACAAGAAGTTAGACTTGCTTTTTGGCAGATCCACTCAGTTTGTTTTTTGTGCTTTTGGGGCTTTACCATTTTAGTGGTAAACAAGAAGTTTGGACCTGCTTTCTTTGGCTAATCCCTTCAGGCAGCTTCCTTGTGCCCCACGAATCGGTTCCTTGGAGTGTCGTTTTTCGGTTGGCGCCTGGGTTTCGAGCGCCCCGCCGTTCGGGAGGTGCGGCTGGTGCGGATCCTGCGGCTGCGGAAGACCATGGAGAGCGTCAGCGATTTGGTGGACTCCGAGCCGCCGGGATGTTGACTTAGGGCGTGGAGTTCTTTTCCCTCCCTGGTAGCGGTTGATTCCCCATTCTTTTCAACCATCGTGTAGGTAACCAGGTAACCGAAATGGCTTCCATTTGGTTAAGATAATATTTATGTTTTTCCCTTGTTGGTTTTGAAGGGAGTCGAGTTCACTACTGGAATTGTTTTTTCCAGGGGACTTGAGCAAATGGCTGGATGGCGATGGGTTTAGGGTGCCAAGCATTGGTCCAAGGTGAACATTGTTTCTAGGGGTTGATTCCTTCCAACCATTCTTTTCAGCCATAGTTCTTTTCAAACACCGGATCTGTTTGGGTTTTTGATGGTATCCTGAAAAGAAGGATCCCTGGAAATAATGGGGAAAGTAGCCCTAGATTGTGGGTTTTCAAGGGACCTTCAAGGCTCGCTCCCGGAGTTCCGGAGCTCGGACTTCAATCGTTTTGGGGTTTGGCTTATGGCCCCTGTTGGTTGGAAATCAAAGGGATATTTCATGGACAGGGGACATCGTTGGCTCTTTAGGGGATCCAAAGCCATCTCTCACCGAATCCCCTTGCTCGGTTTTCCCAAAACACGACCCTAACAAGGCCTTGTCGGGTGTGTGTGTCAAAATAGACGGACCCAAGACATGGGCGGTTGCCTTGTTCGTTTCCCTTCGGAACCACCCCCAATTGGGAACCTTCAAAACACACAGAGACACAGACACAGAGACACCGACACACACACACACATACACTCACTCACACAAACAGACACACCAACACACACACACACACACAGAGAGAGACACAGACACCCACACACAAACAAGCACACACAAACACAAGCACAACCACCAACAGACACACACAAATACAGAAACACAAGCAAAACACACAAACACACCACACACGCACAAAGACAGAAACACAAACACACACACACACACAAACACACACACACACATACACACATACACAATCACACCCACATACACATACACACACAGACACACACGGAGAGACACCAACATAAACACAGGCACATACACAACACGCATACACACACATACACAAACACAAATACAGAAACACACACACACACACACGCAAACAGACACGCACAAACACACCCACACACACACACAAACAGCAACACATGCACGGAAGCGCACACACACACACACACGCACACACACACACACACACCCACGCACGCACGCACGCACGCACGCACGCACGCACGCACGCACGCACGCATGCATGCATGCACGCACGCACGCACGCACGCACGCACGCACGCACGCACACATGCACGCACAGAGACGCACACGGACGCGGACACACACACACACACACACACACACACACACACACACACACACACACACACACACACACACACACACACACACACACACACACACGCCCGCGCGCACGCGCATGCGCACGTGCACGCGCACGCGCACGCGCACGCGCGCGCGCACGCACGCCCACGCCCACGCGCACGCCACCGCGCACGCGCACGCGCGCACACGAACACGAACACGAACACGAACACACACACACCCGCACGCGCACGCGCACGCGCGCGCACGCGCGCACACGCACACGCACACACACGCACACGCACACGCACACACACAGACACACACACACACACACACCCACACCCCACACACACACGCGCACGCGCACGCGCACGCGCACGCGCACGCGCACGCGCACGCACACGCCCACGCCCACGCCCACGCGCACGCGCACGCACACGCCCACGCCCACGCGCACGCGCACGCGCACGCACACGCACACGCACACGCACACGAACACGAACACGAACACGAACACACACACGCACCCGCACCCGCACGCGCACGCGCACGCGCACGCGCACGCGCGCGCACACGCACACGCACACGCACACGCACACGCACACGCACACACACAGACACACACACACACACACACACCCACACCCCACACACACACGCACACGCACACGCACACGCACACGCACGCACACGCACACGCACACGCACACGCACACGCACACGCACACGCACACGCACACCCACACACACACACACACACACGCACGCACACGCACACACACACACACACACCCACACACACCCACACGCGCGCGCGCGCTCGACAAATACAGAAACGCACACACGCACACACTCGACAACTACAGAAACGCACACACACACAAGAGCGCACACAATCACATACAAACGCAAACAAAGTTGAGGGGGCATGCGTGCAGGAACCTACTGAGGTGGCTTGGATCCTACGCACTTTTTGTGCTACCAGCGGAACCCCCTCGCAAGTTACTGACATGGTTCCAGAGTGGTGGCCAGTGCGGTGGGGATGACCCACTTTAGTATCAGGAAAGTTTGATTTCCACAGCCTGGTTTGATTGTTTGATTGGAAAGCGTAGCTTGGACGAAAAGCAACGTTCACGTTTGGACATCTTCTGCAGTAAATGGGGTGGCATGAGGGACACCTCCCCAATTATTGTGGTTGTGTTGTGTGTGTGTGTGTTTGTTGTTCTTTTGGTTGTGTTTGCTTTTGTTTTGCTTTTGTTATGTTTTTTGTTGTTGTTGCGGGGGGTTCTCACGGTACTCTCCAAATTCCTATGTCATGGGAAGCATGTGTTTTGGCTGTTGACCATGGCTGCTCGGCGGTGCCCAGTTGTGTGTGTGTGTGTGCTGTCTAGGTAGCGCCATAGCTTACTTTTAGCTGATAACCTTTCTTGGGGAAAGCACCCACGATGACGGTGCCGCTCTAAAATCTGCGATACCAAATTTTGTTTTGGTGAAGGCACATTATTTTCAATCAGCTAGCGATGCCACTGAGTTGCTAAGTAGGTTGCTGGATTTGGCCACGCCGTTGGTGCAGCAGCATTTCCGCAGAATTCGAGGAAGGCAAGGCACTGACCAGTGGCTAGTTGGGTATGCTAGCTTCGGAGGTCCTAGATGCAGGGGGGGGCTCAAAATGGCGCTGTGCCTTTTGGTCGCCTGTAAACCAACCTGCAAAGGGCTCCCTCCAACAACACGCATCTTTGGCTATTTGTTAGTGAGCAAAAGCCGGTAGTGATAAACGCAAAATGTGTGAAAGGCGTGCGACGAAACATTCTTCGGGAGTTGTTCAGTGGGATTCTCGCTGGGCACAATCCTTCTCTCTTACGTGGGGTTGGGATTTTTGTCAGGTATATCAGCATCATCGTGAGCATCTTCAAGATGCTAGCGCTGCTTCTGATTGTAAACCACGTGCCTCCGTCCGCGCTTGGATCGGATGATGCACGTGACATCCCCAAGGATCCAAAAAGCTTTCAGGAGGCTCCTTTCAATGCGGTGGGTACTTAACTATTCCGCTCCCAGGAATGTATGTCCAATCGTTTTCCTTGGGTGTGTCCTTTTTTGAGGGTACCCCCAAAATTGTGGTTTTCCTGTTGGTTTCCCTTTACAGCACAGCTCACAACAAACGCACACACACACACACAGCCTGGCAAATTGAAGATGTATCACCTTCGCCGGGCCGCGGTTTGTTTCCAGCCAAGTGTGGATCATTCCTGTTGAAAAGGCGCCAGCGAAAAACGGGTCCCTTGATCTTCGAGGTTGGTGAACAACAATTGGGGCCGACCGTGGGCCGTGGAGAACTGGCGGGTGTTTTGTGTTTGTTTGGTCCGTGGAATTTGTCGATGTGTTTACCCCGAAGGACAACAACCGGCTTGCAAAGAATGAATCCGGCCGGCTTGGAAATACTTGACAAAATGTGCTATTCGATGTGCAACACCCACTGCTTCCAGACAAGTCACTATAAACAACCATGTTGCCTAATAGAGGTAGCTGGAGGCACGGGGTAACACAAGGGCAGCTCTATGTGGGATGTGATTCACAACTAGCTGGATATTTTGTTCATTCAAAAAGCCTTAGTGTTGGCACACAGTGCTGATATCACTTCTTGTTCAACCACAAGGTATATTTGATTGCAAAGGTCCGCTCATGCCGGCCTACCATGGGACGCTGAACAAAAAACAAACAATGACCATCTTGCATAGCGACGTAGTCGTTTCAATTTGGTCTTGAGCTCGTGTTCCAAGCAATTTGATGGCAGATTTTGGCTTTTGCCCCGGATGCAGCCATACTTGGTTACCTACTTTAGAGGCTTGCCTGGAAGCACTGGGTTAGCAAAGCAATCATTTTTGTACGAGGCTGATTTCACTTTTGCTGGATTGCCATGTTCATGGATTCGTCATGCCGGCTTTTTCCGAGAAGGAATCATGAGTTTACCACCGCACGGCCGGTTGAGTTGTTGGTCAGGAGCTAATATGATAATAGAAATTATATTCATCCTTCTGTGCACATGGGCTTTCAGTTTTGTAGTACACACGCAACATGTCCATGTTGAAACCCTTCTAGTGGAGTTTCTTGCCGTAACTTCGCGCAGGCGAAGGGGTTGGTTCGCGCGAGCCGAAGACTCAGTTGCCCAAAGCGAATTGACCTTTTGCCCATTTTTTCCCGTTTTGGTCTATTTTTTGTGAGGTGCCAAAAGGTGATCACCTTGTATTTCTGGGTCCTTTGGGCAAGTGAGAACAGCCCGAGGTCATCGCCTGCTTCTGGTTTTGGATCGGCGATACTGCTCAAGGTTGGGTTGTGGCGCATCACCTGGCGGGCGAGCAGTGGGAGTACCAGCGCCACGGAGGTTGTTAAAACCGAGCGCTCGGATTCGGTCGGAGCAGGGTATACAGACTCCCAGTAGAATGTGTCCGAAGGCTTGTGAAAGACCAAGTCCTTGCGGCCATGCATTGACTCAGGGCGAAATGAGAAATGAGAAATGGGCAGTCTGTTTAAACAGCCAGGACCAGCCTTCAAGGCAAACCAGGCCTCTTCTACTGGACACCTGGCCTTAAAGGGAGACCTGGCCTCCAGCCTTCAGAACCCCACAAGGAGGTCGGCTGCAGTCGCTGAAACATCTTTCTGCCCAGCCCGTTGAAGGCTTCCAAATCGTTTGGCCACGGTCAGACGTTCGACCTCACCTGTTCTCCTGTGGCAAACCAAGCTTTCCGGACCGGAAAGCATGCTTTCTAGAAATTTCAAGGTGGGTTCCTCGATCTTCAAGTCAAAAGGTGGAGGTAGACCCTGGAATTGAATTGGTCCTTGGCTCACCTTTTCGACTTTCCGCTTCTTTGGTTTGCCATGTTTTGTCAGCCAGCAAAACACAACCTTGTGCAGGGGGGTCTGAGTCTGGCGCAGTTAAGGGGTACCAGGGATCTTTAGAGTTTAACTTTTCGGGAAATAAAGGCGTTTTCACTAAACCCCCAAAAGTTAAGCTTTTCGCAGGGGGGTCACCAGCAACCAAGGGTTGGTTGCAACACGTTTTGCCGAACCCGTAGGTGTCGAATCCCGAGTCGAATCCAAGGTACACCACCAGCCTGCATTGGGCCATTACACAGTTCACGCCGGCATCGATGCACGTCCAGCCTCAGAACATTGATGAGACTTGGCTTTGCGCGATCTCAAGGTTGCTGGTGTAGACTTAGGATACATTTTACCATTTTACCAGTGACTCCATGTCAAGCAAACAACAACATATACATTCCATGACTGAGCCTAACTCTACTCATGCTTTGTTTTTTGATCCTCCGCTGTTCGCGTCGAAGCCGCTGCAGCGAGGGTACCGCTTCTCGCTGTCTCTCCGCGTTGTGTCTCTTCCACGCGCCAGCCATGTTCTCACTTCCTGAGTTCGTGAGCTTCAAACTTTTTGGGAAAACCATTTTAGTGGTAAATAGAAAGCCAGTGAGTGTCTGTGTTTCGCGATTTGCGCAGTCTTGGCCAGCTTCGCCGGGTTTCAGCTTCGTCCTTCGTGCACTCATGTCTACCAATCAGCCTTGCAGATAGAAGCAGACGTGCTTTCCCAAAAGAGGTCCCTTCGTAAACGGGACCCCCCCCAAATGGCTGTGGGTCAAAACCAATTGGATCCCATTTTGGGGTTGCACCACCCATTTTAGATCCTATGTTAGTGGGGATTAGGATGTTCACTGGATGTTGGCATGGGCTTTTGACCCATGACTCCCATGACCAAATCAGCCCTTGGTTGATTCATGGTCGAGCAGATGTTCCCGTGCTCAGAGGGATGAGTCGAGGCTCCTGGCGTGAGCTGCCATGACGGGAAGTCACCCCTTTCCAGGGCCATTTCTGGTGGAATTGGGTGAAGGATTCATGGGACTTGCTCAAAATCAAACAACGATGTGACGAAAACATGGCTGGGGTAGACTTAGGATACATTTTACATTTTACCAGTGACTCCATGTGAAGCAACCAATAACATATACATTGTATCATTGGGCCTAACTCTAATCATGATGGTTTTGTTGCTCTCCAAAGCTGATGACACGCGACCCCCTTGAGATGTCGGAGTCTGATTTGTTGACTCGCGGGTCAGGAGCGCGCCTTTGCCATTTCTGTGGTGGTTTTTGCCCTGGTCGGCTTCTCCTACGCGCCTCGGCTCTTGGCGAAGTCTCGGCGGGGTTGTTGGAGCAACATCCTCAACATATCTGGCTGTGGGTCAAAACCAATGGTACCATTCTGGGGTTTTCGGTGCACCACCCATCTTAGTTGTTTTTAGCGGGGATTCGGATGTTCACTGGTACGGGATTTGGACCCATGGCTATCTCTAAAGGGTGCTTTCAAATTGCTCTAAGGAAAAAGTCACAGTTTGAGAACCCTTTCTTGCTATTTTTTTTTTTAAAGTTAAGTGGGGGTGAATTTGGGCTTGTACCATGGGATTCCCAGACCGTCCAATTTGGATGCGCCTTTTTGAGAAAACGGGGAAACCAAAAGGAAACGAGGACATTGAATGCCCTCATTGCTGGTGTGTGTTTGCTTCTTGGTTTGTACACGGCTTGAAGCCAGGGAAAATGACCCGAGAAAAGCAATCCCTTATGGTTTCCTTTAAGGGAATCCCGAAGTTCATTCCCAACACTGTGGGTCATTCTCTACCTATCGCACCAGCAAGGTCTACTTGGTGCCCGTATTTTCTTTCACGCCGGGTTTTGGTGACTCATCACTCATGGGGGGTCAGCGAGCATCTATGTCGCGTCTCACCTGTCTTGTTTCTCCTTTTTTTTTTAGCGGAGGTGGGTGGTCTGGTCCTTTTTTGTGACCCCCCTCCTCCTCGCCTTTCGGCTAGGTGGGTCTTCGGAAACCAGAAGGACATTGCAATTTGGGCCGCCCCTCATTTTGAGGGACGCACACCCAAAGTCTTCTCGGAGATGCAAGTTGTCCCAACGGACTGGACCCCTCCCTCAAGGTCGGGAGTAGTAAACAAAAAGCTGCAAGAGGATGAGGAGCATAGGTGCCCTTTTCGGTTGATTTGGTTGAAAAATAGAGGGCCCTGGTTTACCTGGTGGTTCACTCAACTACCAGGGCCATCTATTTTCCAAAAAAGGACACCTATGACAAGGAACAACAACTCAGTGCCTGCGTTCTTGGACTTTCTACTTTTTGGGAGGATCATGTGGGGGGTGGAAGTGAACAAAAACGATCACGCCGAGATGCATCACATAGTTGGTCTGTTTATAGAGCCTCAAATAGGTGCATGCTTAAACGACCCCGGGGATGACCCCCAGGCCAGTGAATGGGTTAAGCAGGCAGAGCTTTGTGCTTTGGAAGATCAAAGCGCGTCAAAGCAGCGTTTATGTTAGGCCGATCTCTGGCACCTCAAGAACGTTCCTGGGTTCCCAGAAGCGAGGGGGTCAAACTCCTCGAAAAAGACACCAAGAGGTTACAGGGGCTGAGGAAGGGAGGGGGGCAGGGAGCCCAATAACAAGGCCTTAAGTTGGCGCTGATTTCGGCTCCCTCTTCTCCCCTCCATCCCCTAGAGCCCTTGAAGGTTTGAAGGCTCGAAATTTGAAGATGTGTTTCCGCCCTGAAGACCCTACTTTTTGGAGCGACTCAAGACCCTACGTTTCGGGCTTCTGCCCATTTTTCGGATTTTGGCTTCACATGGCCAGATAGCCCCGTTAGGTGTTTAAACTTTTGTTTGCTGAACCATGTTTCTTTTTGACCTGACATTTGAACATGTTAGCTGGTTTTTACGGCACGAGCAAATAAACAGGGGTTATCTATTTTACCACACAATGGATCGCAAATGGATCGCATAGAGGTTTCGAATCAGGTAAACATGTGCCCCTTGAACTCACTGAGTTCCGTTTCGGACTTGTTCTGCTTTTGGGGACCAATTGATCTGTACCCAGCGCTTCCTTACCACTATAGTAGGTAACTAGGGGAAACCATCATGTAAAACGTACAGGTAGAAATGCCTGGTTGCCTACTTTGATACAGAGGCGAAACGGCCTTAAGCAAGGTAAAACGGTAAAACAAAGACCCGGAGTTTCAATCCACTATTAAAACAATGGGGGTTCATATAACCACCATTGTGTTCAGGGTTCTCATCATCCAAATTGCGTCCCCTTGGGCCATTCATTGAATTAGGGTAAAAAACTCTAGGCAAGAGTCTTTTCTTTTCTGGGGCCATCCACTGACCCCCTCTTTCTCATGGTTGTTGTTGGGACCTTTTTTTACATTTTTGCTTGTGGTGGTTGAGTGGTTCCAAGCACTTAACTGCTAAAATGAATTGTTACCTTTAACATGTTACCTGAAATTTGAAACATGTTACCCTTATTCTGACCAATCCAGCTGACCTGAAATCTGAACAAGTTTCTGCTCCTACGTCAAGTTCTCGGCGCGCGCTGATTCGAACCCCGAGGTGGTCGGCAGCATCTCCGGGTCCCTGGCGCAGCTGCGAGGCGGGAGACAACCCGAGACATCGGAGGCAAGAAGAGCGCCATGTGCTGAGGAATATCTAGGTCCAGCTAGTTGCCCAAGCTTTCTCACCCCTTTTTGGTTGGGAGGGTTCTCCTACTAAAATGTCAACATGTCAGCATGAATATGTTACTTGGATAGGTCCCCCCAGCTAGGCGCCTCAGCTCTCCCTGACGTGTTTTTGGTTGGGAGGGTTGTAGTCTACTAAAAGAGACGACAGAACAAAAGTTGGTACCCTTTTTCTAACCTCTCTACTGGAGGACCTAGTTGGTGGCAATCCCAGCCATCCAGTTGAACTTGGGTGTTGAGTTGCTTTGCTAGTTGGTTGAGTGGTTGAACTTCCACTGGGGATGACTAAACCAACATGATGGAATACTCTCCCGCAGATTAACATGGAGCCCAGAAAATTATTTATTTCGGACCCCCTTGTGGGTTCCATGTCAGTTAGCTGGGGAGTAGTTCTATCTTTGCACAGGGTACCGGTACACGGAGCAAATGGATGTGACTTTCCGTTGGGACCCCCCCCCCCAAACATGGCGGTTTTCCTTTTGGCGTTCCTACAAAACCACCTCCATCTTCCACTAGCTTGAGTCCAAGAAACAGAATGAGCGCTATATTTCTAGTCGTGCTAGACCAAAAAAGCAAATAACATACAGCACGTAACCCGGGCTGTCCTCAGATCGACTGGAAGCCAAAAGGAAACCCTTGCCATCGGGGAGAAAGCCGCCCGAAATGCGCAGCGCAACTGGCCAGTCTAGCAAGTTCTAGTCGGTTTCCCACTTCGTATATGCTGGTGCCAAAAAGCAAGGTGTTTTGGGCACGGCTCATTTGGGTCCGTCCAAAAACAGGGATTTGGACAATTTTGTTAGGAAGCTCAGCTGGGGTAAACCAGCTTATTGACGAAAGCCCGTGGGGCTTTGTTTAGCTCTGATGTGTGAGCTGTCTTAGTTGTGCCAATATGTTTGGAGCAACCCCATAGTATCATTTGATATGAATTGCCCAATTTGATAGGACCTCCAATTTTGTTTTGTCCTTGGATGTCCGAAAGTTACGATGTTATGCTTCCCTGTTTCGTGAACAAGTGTTTTTCTTTTTTCGTGCAACTAGGTCCAATGGTTTACATGTGGGTTAGTCTCTCAAATTTTCGGGGAACACGCTTCCCGAAAAGTCTCTTTAGCATGTTTGGGCCGAAAAGGCCCCAAGCTTGCAGCTGGCAAAACAAACAAGGGGTATAGCCTTTCTTCCAAGGGGATTTTTTTCTGAAGAACTGGGGGTTTGATTCAAGGTTCAACAGCATTCTTCCAGGGAGCCCTGGTTTTAGAGTCGGGACGCCCGGCAGGCCCTTTTTTTAAGTGTTTTACAGCTTATTTTTTGATTTTTTCGGCACGAAGGTCCGACTCCGCCAATGTCGTTCATTTTGTTGCATTTCTTCGGTGTTAAGGAGTCAACATGGTACCCACACATTTCTCGCCTCTCACCGGGCGCCGGGCGCCAGGTATGACGGAGAATCGGGCGCGGCAGTTCTGGGAGTTGCGCCGGCACCTGCGGAAGAACAAGGCGCCGGGTTTCGGCGCACAAGGAAGGCAGCCCTACGTTGTCGGGGGGTTCCTTAGAAGACTAGGTCCCCCGGCTGGGTGCCAACTTTTACCAACTTTTTTGGGGATGGTTCCCCTACTAAAATAGACAGAAAAAAGTTGGTACCCTTATTCTAACCTCTCTACTGGAGGACCTAAACTCTTATTGTTCATGCTTGGGCCCCGATCGGCGGGGTTCTCCGTGGGGTGTGCGTTGAAAGGGTGAGCTTTAGGGGTAGATGGAACGTCAAGGCCCAAACTGGCAGGTGGATTTACCACCTGGTTTGATTAGGCTGGTAGAGAGGCCTATATATGGGTCTCTCAAAATGAGGGCCCGCTTAAAATGGTTGGTGGTTCCTTTTGGTTTTGAGAGAGGCGAATCCATTTTGGCCTTTCAGGTTGAAGACTGGCAGGCTGCGCGCTCCTCAAGTGGTGATGCCACTCTACCAATTGGTGTCTTGTTTAGGTTGGACTCCCCCCAACAACGTTGGTTCTTCTTTTGATTTGGAAGTGAACCCCTGAAACGCAAGGAGCAAAGAGGTGTGTCGTTTTTGAGGGTACCCTTTTCGGGATTGGCTGAACGGGGAAACCAACAAGAAATGATCATTTTAGGGGGGTCCCCCCTATTTTGAGACAAGCCCACATCTCTTGCAGTATGCTTGGGGGATTCTTTCAAGTTGCCATTGGATCATTCCAGGCGATGAAGTTCCCGTCGTGTTTTGGAACCACCTCCAGGTCCGTCCCCGAATACCTGAGGTTTGCCCCTCTTTGAGTCGGATGACTTCCGTGACTTGCAAGAATCCTTTATCCACTCGTCGGCGTCTGAAAGATCATCGTAATGGTGCGACTCGAATCCCCTCATGCAGTAGCAAGATGGGGAGTAACCAAATTGTTCGTGGCTTTCTTCTTCGTGTTCGAATTGGTTCCCACTAAGAATGAACGCCTTTGACCCCTGCCTGCTTGGGAAGTAAAGAATAGACCTCCCTTTACCCTCTTTACCCAATACCCAACGATTGAAAATATCACGCCGCGAACAAATGCGCAGGTGTCGATCACGCTGTCTGCTCGAATTCAGAAGTACGTGGAGCATGTCATGGAGAGCCACTCAGGTGAAACCTGGAAGACTTGCTGTAGTGAGTGAATTACACTTTTGTTCATCTCTCATTTTGTCCACATTGAATGAGTTGAGGGCTTAGAGTTTATGGTTTGGAACTACAAGTAGCTTGGAGACGCTACGAATTAACAAGGAACCCCCTTCAAAGTGGTTGGTGGACATAACCCGGATTCAACGCTTCTTCATGCGAATCTGGCAAGAACATGCCCGTACACTCTCATGCATTTGCAATGCATAGGCATCGATCTGGGGTCATTATTTTGAGAACTTGTCTGGAGGTTATCTCAAAGTCAGAAAATGAGGTTGTTTCCTTAGGGGGTGACTTTGATCATGGCAAACTAATGCGGCCAGTCGATTAGACAACCTGTGCTGAGGGTTTGCCGAGGTCAAGTTGACCGTTTTTGGGGTTATCGTCAGGAACTGGGGTGTGTCTCCTTTACCACTTGGGGGGTTTTATGGTCAATGGGAACATATTGGGTCCCAACCTCTAACATCCCAAATGGTGGTTTATGTGGGGAATAACCCCCCAATCACCTTATTTTCGGGTGGGTGAAATATTTACTCAGACTAACATGGAACTTGACTCCTCGGGGTCCTGGAAGACCATCTTCCTTTAAAAAGGGCCCTCTTGTGACTTCCATGTTCGTGGACCAGAGGGTACGGCTGATTTGTTTGCGCGGCGAAGGGTGGCCGCTTGGGGGTTGGTCTTTAGGTTACACCCAAAAGGCGTCTAAATCCCCCCTCAGTGTCATTTGGGTGCAGAGCAGTGGAGCTAGGCACGACCCTGGTAGAAGCGTATGAGCTTAAAGCCCAATATTTTAAAACTTGCGTCCGAACAGCGTTGGGCACCCTGAAGCTTCAGCACTAAACTTGGTGGCGAAGCCAGCCATCCGGTTCCTTAGCTTTTCAGACCCTTTTTAGTGTTGAGTGGTAGTTTCCATTTAACCCGCTAAAAGTTAAACTTTTAGCAGGGAATCTGAGGGCAGCCCAGTAAAAGGGGCATGCATGTTTCTTTGGCAAGCTAGTTGGTGTTAATGGCTGTTGTGGTTTCGCGGTTTGGATGACTGTTCCACGAGGTGGTCCCAAGAAGCTTCCACTTGGCTCTTCAGCGTGCTCGGCAATGGCGAAATCACGAGGGCGGGAAGAAGGACATTTGGTTCTCCCAGCACTCCCCAACCACTGCTTGTTGGGCAGTACCCGGGATTTTTATTGACTTGGTTGGAAAGACCAGCAGCTGACCAACTCTCTAGCCTGCTTTGGGTGTGATTTGAGTCCTTGGTTCCATTTACCAGGCTTCTATTTTGGGTACTAGCCATTCCGAGGCCAAGAGGAGAACGTGCCGGCGAAGGACGTCAAGCTCTTGGCGTTGCTTTCCGAGCAGCTGCAGAGTGAGCTGGAGTGCGACTGGAGCGAAGTTCTAAGGGGTTGATTTCAGGATTCCAAAGGTTGGTTGGGGTGGGAGGGGGTTGGTGGGTGTGGGGTTTGGTGGGGGGGGGGGGTAGGATTTCCTTTTCCATTTAAGCTCAGCCATCGTTCTTTTCAAAAACCGATCGCCATTTCCAACCAGGGTTTTTGGTGGTTTTCTGGAAAGAAGGATCCCTGGAAAGAATGGGAAAGTTACCCCTAGAGAAGTGTGAGCAGTGCTGAACACATATGAGTGGTGGCTCCTCCGAAAATGGTCTGACTCCCCCGTAAATTTTAAAACCATGGACTCCGGGGTCAGTATTCAGGGACAATACGGTGCGGATGTCCTCTCTTGTTCTCATAGTTCTGGGCGCGCCGTTTTTTTATCCCAGGTATTTAGTAGGACTTGCCAGAAAAACTGGCAATGGGACCTGGGAATCTGAAAGGATGCTGTCTCTAGCGAAGCCAATGATTCTGAAGGCCCTCCATTTTGACACGACCCATAAAACAACCATCATTATTGTCAAAACCAATCCGCAAGCTGTTTGGCCGTGGGTTACGAAAGGAATCGGTCAGTTGTTGACTTTGTCCTCCCCCAGGGGGGGTTTCCCAAAGCCGCGATGCCCTTTGAGTTGGTGAAACCCAACGGAAGAACCAAAAACCAATCCCACCATTGAGCCATTGTGCGAAACGAGGTCAGTCCTTGAGCCCCTGAGGTCTGCGTTTTTGTTCACGAGCTCGCCGAGCGTTTGCGGAGTTTTTTCGTTAGGACCAACTTGCGACCTCCCAGCACCCGAATTCAATTTGCGGGTTCCTTTTGCCACCTGGTTGCGGTTTCCATTATAACACTGCAGTTGTCCACAGATCGCAGATTTGGGAAATTCGAGCAACGGCCCACCTTCCATTGAACTTTTTATCTCACATTGAGCCCCTTGTCAAGTTCTGGCCGACGCTGTTGAGAGCTTCTTTGCTTTCAGGTTCACTGGATGTGGACCAGAATCTCAGCACAGCCACAGCTTGAGACGTGGTGTCCTCTTTCAACTCTAGTCTTGTGACCGAATCAACTACTAGGTCCCCCAGTAGTGCCCGTTTACCTTTTTTGGGGGGAGGGTTCCCCCACTCAAATACACTACAGAAACAAGGGTACCCTTCTTCTAACCTCTCTGGAGGACCTAGATGAATTCTTGGGAGAGGTGACACGAGAAAAGTAAGCTCAGATATCCCCAGCATGAGGCACCGCACGCACTCCTCGGAACCCTCCGCGGTAGTTGCCCCATGCGTCCCAACCTCAGAACCGCCCCGGCCCACCCTGGAGCCTATCTGTGCAAAGACCCCATAGCATGAACAGCGGATGGGGTGTAAGCACGAAATTCCGCCGTGGGATTTGTTTTGTGGCCAAGGTTTTTTGTGGCCAAGGTGAGTCACAATCAAAGCCCGACCAAGTGAAGCTTGGGAAGGGACAGCTCTCCGGCCTTTTGACATGATTCTGGTATTAAGCCATATTAGTACTGGGTTTTGACTGCTCGAACGAGAACCCAGGATTGATAAATCCTTGGAGCAAGACAAGGTCCAAGCCGAGTTGATGTTTAGTATGACTCAGCTTGCCGGTTTTCAGCAGGGAATGAGGGAATGACCCCTACCAACCATCCCCTTGCGGCTTCCTTCAAATGGATGCGTGGTTTTGTTCAGGGGACTCCCCCAAAAATGGTGGTCGTCCTTTTGCCTTTTGGTTTCCCTTTACCACCACCAGACAACGGGTACCCTCTAGGAACAGGTCCGTCGGCTGAAGCCAACACGCCGCTCGATTCCTTCCCTTCCGAACCAGCAAGTGGGCCACAATCAAAGCCTGAGTAGATGAAGGTTATAAGGGATAGTGTCAGCCATAAATGGGTTCAGCCGCCTTGTTCAGTCTTTACCTGGTTCTGAGTAGACGATTTTAATACCAGGTGTTCTTTACATGGTTCTGAGTAGACCATTTTAATACTAGGTGTTCTTTGCATGGTTCTGAGCAGATCATTTTAATACCAGGTGTTCATTCCGACTCAGGTGAGATTTGCATGCCCCACTTCTCCGTGCACCCGCTCTTTGCGCGGCTCTGTGTGGTGTCGCGTGTCACCATCCACCGCTTGGCCAACAACGCCATCGTAAACAAGCAGTTGGCAACTCACTTCCCAAAATGGGTGACCCGGGTGTTCCTTTTGGCTTCCCTTTCAACCAACCTTAAAAAGGATAGTCCTTTCGTGTTTTGTTTGGTTTCCCTGGACATTCCAACGAGAGCGTTTTCTTGTAGTTTCTGTTTAGCGCCTAAGCAAGGAAAACCGCCCGCAAATTGCTGACCTTCCCGCAAAAAGCCGCACACCGCCCGCAAAAACCGCATAAAAGTGCACAGCCACGCAAAACGCCTAAATCGCCCACAACGCCTTGAATTGTGAAACGCCCGGGAAAGGGTACGTAAAGGAATGTCCAAGTCCTTTGAACAGTAACCCAAAAAGGGTTCCCTCAAAAAAGACGAGCCAACCACATGGCTAAAACCTTCTTTCCCATTCCACAGACAACATGTTTCCTGTTGTCGGCCAATTTGCAAGGATGGTGCACATTCTCCTACATTGAAAACGCACGTGGGACAGATGATGGCATATGATGTGTGTGTGTGTGTGTTTTTTTTTTTTGTTTAAACACGGCCAAGCTTTGCTCTTCAAGGTCTTCCCACGTTTTGGATGAATATTTTCCATGAAACACTTGTTGAATCGAGAACAATGTGTGTAACTTGTCATGCTTGGCTTTGGCCATGGACAAATAGCTTCCTATTTTACACCAACCCAAAAGAAGGTGCTTGCAGAATGTTGTTGTTGTTTTTTTTGGGGGGGGGCTGGCCACATGCCCCAGGATGGTCTGGGAGTTAAGTGGTTATACGAGAATCCCGTCAACCTGTCTGGAGTTGCGAGCCATTTAACCAACCCTGAGATTATCGAAGTAGACGTGGCAGCACACCCGTTTGGCACTCGTTTGTGTTGCCAGTGGTCCGATAAAAAGTTTGGGATCACGGCTCGCTCGTCGTTTTTCTTGGTCTCCGGACAAGGCAAGAACGGATACTCTGTTCATTCCCGGCGAGACTGCCACGCACATGTACATTGTGGTCTATGGGAGGCGCATGTTTGACCGAATTGCAGTCAATGATGTCAGAGCCATGAACTTCTCCGTCCATGCGAAAGAGAAACCTAGAGGACCAACTCAAGGGGTCCCTTTTGATACGCATCGAGTCGCATCCGGAGGTTTTCGGTTGCCGAATTGCTGTCCAAAACCACCTTTTGGCTGCAGGGTTGCACATCGGAGCATGATGCATACGTATTTGGCCATTTTGGCCCTGTCTTTGACTTAAAGCATGGCGAGTTGCACGCTTTGTGCCCGGTGCATTTGTTTACTTTTTGGGGGGGACCACTCTTGGCCCATGCCATGTGAGTCGAGATCCCAGGTCTTTGAGGCAATGGTGGCCGTGGCTCATGTACTGTTTGTGTGAAAAGTGCCAGGTTTCAACACATCTGCCCAACAAGTCCGAAATTTCGGCGAATGGTGAAAGTTTTTTTTTCCGGAAGGAGAGGGCAAATGTTTGAACTGTTCGTTGTGGCAACCAACCCTGCCAAGACTCCCCAGCCTGTCGGCGAAAGTTTGACCGCCGCTGGGCTTCTTTTGCCAGGCTGGTGTACAGCCGCATGGACTCTCGGGGTGACGAGCACAAGGAGTTGGTGGACAAAGGCCGGTCCGATTGACAGAAGAGAATTCTGGACTAGGTCCCCCAGTAGTGCCCTTTTACCCATTTTTTTCTGGGGAGGGTTCCCCTACTAAAATAGACTACAGAAAAAGGTTGGTACCGTTATTCTAACCTCTCTAGTGCTAGTGGAGGACCTAGTGGAGCAAAGACATCCTTACTTGCTGAAGTTCAGGACTTTGATTGTTTGGGGTTTGGACCCTTTTCGTGGTAAACAAAGTTTGGGCTTTGCCCCATCCACTCAGAAAGTGAGCTTTTTTTCGGTCTCATTTTCCCAGTTTTTTTCTTTTTCTATTTTTTTTCGTTTGGGACTTAGCTCTTGGTTTGGTGAGCATCGTTCGGTAGTGAGGGGATCAGTTTTGTCACTATTTCTGGGGGATATCAAGGTTAGAAAGGGTGGCCGTGTTCTTTTCGCCTACCACTTGGGGGGTGACTTTGATAAAGGGGGCCGTCATTGGTAGTCTACCATTGGTTTGCTGACATGGGGACAGCCCAAATGTCCCACAACAACATCAGCAGCTCGGCCCAATGGTCTCATATGCTCTTGGGGAAGCCCCACTCATCGCATAACAATGGCGAGAAGGACCAGTTGGGATGGATTCTAACCGAATTGAATGCTAGTTGATAAACCAGTCACTTGTGCAAAGTGGACTTTGCCTATCTTCAATACTGGATAACCCACCACTACTGAGGATTGGCAAAATCTCTGCCTGGCTTACAACGCAGGCAGTATATGGGCGTGTGTTAGAATAGGGGGCCCAAAATAATTGTGGTTGGCGTCTTGTTTTCCTTTGACATGGGCCCAAAACAAAGGCCCTCAAAACCAGTGCCCATGACACACCCATAGGGTAGCTATATGGGAAGTGAAAGCACTGGGTTAGAGCATGCGAAACTTGCAGTCCAGCACCTGAAAGGATTTTGTTCATCCGGTACCATAGCCACCTGCCAGTACCAGTTCGGACCTACAGTGGACGGCATCTTTGACAAAAAATGTCACCTATACCAGCCGCTCCAAAGAACTATTTGGTATAGACCAACTCTCAAACATAGCCATGCAAGGTCATTTTTGGAGTATCCTTCCTCCCACAAGCATGGAGGCTGGCGATCGGAGGGTTGTTTAAGACTACTTTCCTTTTGGGGAAGCCCGCTGTCCACTTCCTTGATTGTTGGAAAGCAAAAGGACCAGTTTTGAGAGGTCCACATCGAACTTTGAGAACCCAAACTTGACCACCCAACCAACCAATCAACCCACCCACCCAACGGTGCTTTTTTGGGCCGAAACGTTGCCAGGAGAGGATTGGATCTCGGAGCCGGTGCTTTGGACACCCAGCTGGGTGCACCTGGGCCTGCTGATGTCGATGACAGAGCCTTCGTCGGAATTCGCAGGGAGCCCTCGGTGTGCTTCTTAAGGTGGGACCCGTCGGTTTTCCTTTCGCAAGCAAGGGTTATGCGGGTCCAGCAGACGTTCCCGTGTAGTCGAATGACCTCTTTTGCTGGCTGGCTTTCAGACACGAGCAACCAAGCATGTCTACTTTGCCACAAATCAAAGGATCGATGAGCAAAACCCCTTGTAAGTCGAAGAGATTCCCAGTGCTTTCAAGCAAGCCACTTTTGTAGGCAACCCTTCGGTGTGGCTACCTCTAGGTTTTACATCACGGGGAAGCTCCTGGTTACCTAAAAACGCCTGGAAGGAAGCACTGGGATTGCTGTGCATAAGACGCCAACCGGAGATCCCGTTCCAACTCCCGATCTAAGCAACCCGCCTGCTTCTCGCGAATCCCAGCGAATCCATCCATCACTAGGGACCCAGGGACTCAAAGCAATGTTCAAGCTGGGATGTGGTCGACCCCGGAACCTCTGGGAGGGCGTCTTGTTTTTTGGGGGTGCAACTCCAGGGATTCGGACCCCCATGGGACACGCCCCCCAATCAATATCAGCTCACGGATTCTGAACCGTTGAACTCGCGCCAACGAAAGAAGAAAGTGCAGCTTTTTTGCGCGGGGGTTCCACTAAACTTGGTCAACTGCCAAAAAATAACTGGTTTCCATGTTGAACGGATCACTGGCTGCAACTAGATTTAAGCCTTAAGCGAACAGAAAAAAGAAGAGAGAAAACAAACATGTTTTTATTTTCTTCCAAATGCCATCGCTTGGGCGTTCTCTGGCTGTTTCCGCAAAGTTCCATTTGCCGCGAGAAGGATAGAGCATTCTGAGCGGTCTGATGAGCCCCTTTGCGTTTTTGTTTGGTTTCTACTGGGGGTTGGAGGATATACATACCTAGGTCCTTTAGTCGTGCCCTTTTACCTTTTTTTGGGGAAGCCCCTTTTTGGTTGGGAGGGTTCCCCTACTAAAATAGACTACAGCAAAAAGGGTACCCTGATTCTAACCTCTCTACTGGAGGACCTAGACACATTCAGATTAAGAGGAGTTGCCTCGACTCGTTTCTCGAGATCCTTCCTGGTCCATACATCAGGTTTGAGCCCCTCGTGTATTTGCTAATTCGCTTATTTCAAAAAACCAGTCACCCAACGGTCACCTACGTTTATTTATGGGGGGAGGGTTCCCCTCCAAAAGGGGTCTGACTCCCCACTTAACCCACGATTTGTCACACACACACACACACCAAATAACACATTGGGGTTGATTGATATGGGGTCAATATTAGGGGTTGACTGGAGACACTTCAAACACAGGATTTCATGCTTGGTGCATTCCTTTCGTAGTGGTCTGGTGGGCTCATGCAATCTGCACTGCTATTGAATTAAATCTTTAGACTTTAACTTTTTTTTTGATTCCGCTCATGTTTCCTTTTAACCAGCAAACAGTTCTCAACTTTTTGCTGGGGGATCAGCACCCAAGCAATGAGCCGAGTTGTGTGCCCGAGGAGAGTGAGCTCATGGTGCTTGATCCCACCCAGTTCGGCCGGATCGCACCTTGGCAAACAAATTCGGGACGGGCTTGGCCGGGTCTGCTACGCACCGTTTCTTTTGGTGCCGCGTTTTACAGACAAGCAATCAAACAAGCATGCCAACAAACGAGCAAGCCAACAAACAAACAAACAAACAAACAAAGACAGAACTTATTCGCCTCCCCTAGATTCTAGATTTTTGGCTTTTTGAAAAGGCCAATCTGGTGGCAAGCTTGAAAAGTTCAGACAGTGTTTGGCCAGTTGTCTCAGGAAGTTTGATTGCCATAGCCTGTATTCAAAAACATGTGCAGCGCTGTCTTCCATAGGTACCTGAGTCTTTGCGTCAACTCAAACCTTCAGTATTAAACCAGCAAACAGACAAGCCAGCAAGCAACCAACGAAACAAACAGAACAGCGCACAACCAAACAGACTGAAAGACAAACAAACAAGCAAACAAACAATCAAACAAACAGACAGACAGACAGACATACAGACAGACAAACAAGCAAACAATGAATCAAACAAACAAGCTAACAAGCAAACACACAAGCAACGCAAATCAAAACAACACAAAGCAACACATAACATAACCACGCACATTGTAAGGTGTTTCTTACTTGATTAAAAACCGACATGGCCGTGTCCTTGTTTGAGGGTATCCTTTGCGGGTTAGGTTCAAGGGAAACCAAAAGGAAAGTAACCATTCTGGGGTTCCGCAGACAAACCCATATAGATTCGACTTATCTTTGTAGACTCAGCTTGCAAGGAGAAGCAGAAATGCAACGAAGATGCGGTGAATGGTGTCCCCAATCACGTGATGTTGCAGTTAGAGTCTGAACGCAAAGAAGAGGACCCCTGAACATGTAAAAGATCATCTAGGGATGTCCGCAATGTCGTTCCGCACCTCGAACTGCTCTTACTACATGCTTTCATCTAATCCGGCGCAAAGCTGATACTATGTAGACATGTCGCAGCATGTCTCACAAAACACCAGGTCAGTTGAGAAGCAGATATTTAGTGGATTCCGATTGGTTGAGAAGTTCAGGCAGAAACCAAGATACTGCTCCGGATGGATCCAAAACTTGGGACAAACCTGAAAGGTGAGGTAGGGGATGGAAGCTTGAACTGGCCTAAAACCTTGGATTTCATCCCGTGTTGCTTGGGGTGTCGGAACCCCCGCGCAAAATCGACAAACAGGTGGCACCCTCGGTTCTGTTTAAAGCTTGTTTTACTCTGGAAGTCGCTCCAAACGGGATGTCCCAGGTGTTTAATCTCAGGGTGTCATGAAACAGAATCGTTGTTTGGCGGTTCCCAGCGTTTTAGAGCTTGGAGGGTTTTATGACAACCCATTGGAAGTCTAGCTTGGAGGGACCAACGAACCTCTGAGCTTAGACCCAAAGCGCCGGTAGGTGAATCTGAATCCCGACGCGGCTGCTCTGGCGGGCACCTACGTGGTGAGCCTTGGGTAGAATGGATGAAGCCGTGCGGGATAGGAATGCTCCTTTTTCCATGTCATGGTACCAACTTGAATAAAGACATGCCCATATTAATTTTGTTTTTTCGGCGGCACCCCCCCCATTTTTTCCTCCTAGTTGTGCGGGATAGGAATGTTCCTTTTGCCTTGGCGATAGCGCACAGAGTCTGTTCCACGCAGTGATCTTTCGGGGGGGGAAGAAGGAGAAGGCAACAAGAAAGCAAACAAGTCAGAAAGGGATTTTCCTTTGGGAACACCCCAAGCAGACAGGGATGCAATTTAGGGTTGAGGCCAAATACTTTCGCAGCGGCACCAACTTCTGGCTTGAATTTTGCAGGTCATTTATTATAAGCCACAGGTGCCTAAGCTAGCACGAAGCAACATATGGGTCTGTCTTTATTCGAGTTGGTACCCCCATGTGTTCTGGTGTTGAACGAGAAACTAAGAGGAAAACCGAAGCCATTTTTGGGGGTCACATAAAGACAAGCCCATATGGGGGTTGATCAAAAGGGGAAGACCACCAAAAATATGATATGTCCCACTAACTGGGAAAAGTTACCCTTGGTCATTTGGGGGGCAGGAATATTGAGCAACCCCCATAGTTGCGTGCCTTTTTAGCACCCAGCGGACTTTTAGGTGTTTGTGTAGCGTTGGGAATGCTAGCACAAGAGTGCGGAGGCCAGAAGGAGGAATTCTGTTGGGCCTGAGTCCAATTTGGAAATAGGTCATTTATTGTGACTTGGCTGGTCCTTGGTAATATGTTAACTCAGCTGCTTTCCACTAACTCGCAAACACTGGGAGTGCGTGCAGGGGGATCATAGACCAACTCAGTTTTTTTGTTTTGTTTAATTGTTTTAACTGCTGAATTTCTGATTTCGTGATCTGCCTGGAAGCGGAACGACAATCTTAGGCGTCTTTGTTGAAATGATACTATGGGTGTGTCTTTTTTGGAGGACCCCTCAACAAAATGGTGGTGTTTAAAGCCAACCTGAAAAATGGCACCCTTCAAGGAAGGCCCCCCCCCGTATAAGCTGAATAGGATAGCGAACATCTAGTTGGAACTGCATTTGCCTGAGCAAACTACTGTGACCTCAGCTACTGTGTGTGTGTGTGACCTCATTGACGTTTCCTTTGATAGGGAACCCTAGTTTCAGGTTGGTGAATTTCCACTCACTTGCCGAGTTTCTTGACGTACAAGGTTGGGGAAGGTCATGCAAGTCGCAAGAACAAGTCTGAACTGTTTCTGCCCAATCCACTCGGAAACACACACACACACAGCAAACCCTCAATCCTTGGGTTACGAAAAGGGTCCTACTTTTGTGGTTTTCCAATCGGGATAGTTTGGATCCAGCACTCCATTTTGAACAGCCCGAACAGTAGGATTCCAGAGGAAGCAACATCTACGCTCTCGCGCCGCCGGATTTCATGTTGAATTGTCATCTTCCCCCGTGTTTCCAGTAACTGTACCACTATAGATAACCAGGGGTTTCCGCATGACATAAATTCTGGTAGCCATACCGCAGGCTTACCTATAGCGAAACCCTGGAAGCACTGGGGGTTCTGTGGGACAAGTGTTTCAAGGCAGGCCGTTGGCATCGGCTCAAAAAGAACATTGCCCTTTGCCAAGACTCATATGGTGTTCTCGTTGGTTTCAAGGAAGACCGATGTATTTTTTTCGGGGAGGGGCCTAAGAAACACACACACACACATATAGTGTGTTTGTCGCGGATTTGTTTCTTGGACACGTCCAAGGGAACAAACAACTGGCCAAAACAAGAAGCATATTCCTTACAATGATTACATGTTTGTCACGAAATCTGAGATTGTGATGTGTGCCACAATGAAAACCCGTAATGTTAACCCTGGATTAATAAACCCCTGGTTGATTAATAGGGGGGTGTCCCCTTTTAGTGGGGATTCATCACTTTTCGAGGGAACACTTCCCTAATAGTGGGACGGGTTTATTAATCCTGGGTCAACATTATAAGTGAAGAGGGGACACCCCCAAAAAGTAGGAGCGCTCCTTCAAAATCAGGAAACACATGTGCCCTTGTTTTTCCCACTCACTCTCTGAGTTCCTGCACTTTCGTCACTTTTTAGGTGTGGACCATTTTAGTAGTAGCAACCAGCATTTTTCAAGTGCTTCTTCCATTGTCCAAAACCTATGTCCAAAATGCGGTGATTACCCGGGCGCCGGTAAAAGTTTGGTTACTCTTGGCCCATCCACGTGAGCCCCTGGAAATCCTCCCGTCAACATGGTGTCTGTTTTGTCGTTTTTTGAAGGGAAACCCAAAGGCAACCGCGCCATTGGGTTACCAACCATAAAACGAAGGGAGCCCTTTTGGATAGTGACTTGAGGAAACCAACAATCACTTTCCCATATATAACCTAGAAAACAGTTTTATGACGCCCAACCCCCCTTCATTCCAAACAATGTGCCCCTTACACTTGGGGCAATGCACGTCAGGCAAGCGGGTAACACTCATAGTTCTAACCCACAAAAGCCACGGATATAAGTCTCCTTCAGTGGGCTATTGCACTGGGTTATTGCACAAGGCTTTCGCACCACTTGTACCGAATTGATCGCCCCTTTAAGTACCTTGTCACAGAGTTCCCTCTTGTTCTTCCTTACGGCTGAATGCATAGGTCCATATTAATGGGAACCCATGGCCATTTTGGAAAAAATCTTTGGGGCTGATTTCCCATCAAGCCACTAAGATTTAATTAGGCCATAAACTAGAAGTTCATAGCATGGGGTTCCTGTGCGGACGAATACATTTCGCCTTTGATTCTTAGGAACTTCATCAAGTGGATCAACTCTGTGCCGCGGGACTCCTTGTCGGACATCTGGCAGGGCGAGAACGTGGGACCCAGGGTGGCCTCCTTTATGGAGCTTCCGCGAGCGAGCGAGCGGTCGAACGTTTTATTTTTGTTATAATTTTGGGCTGTTTCAAGGGGTTAAAGTCAGAACCTGGTTGGTGGTGTTCCTTTAATCCAAGGGGTCGTCTTTGTTAAGGTTGGACCTCCAAAGTGGTAGTCGTCGTTTTGGTTTTACCCCTTCAAATTCTAAACACCCTTGGGTTGTTCAAGAGGATTCTGGTGTTGTCCATTTGTTTTTTCCCATCCGTTGGGAGTTTCTGACAATTCGGTGTGTCTTGTTTTGGATGGAACTCTGTGTTTGCTCTTGTATAAAAGGAAGCCAACTGGAAATATATTCCTTTTGGACGGTCCCCCAATTTTCAGACAAACCCATTTGGGTATGGGGCAAATTTACCCCACCAGGCATGTTTCCACTTACTAGGGCAAGCCATTTGGGGGTTACCCTATTTTTGATCCACAGCATTTATGTTCCCCGTAAGCCTTTGGCTTGTGTCTGGTGTTCTTCCAGCCTTTTCACTCTGTTTGATTGCTTGTTCCCTTTGGTTTTCTTGGTGGCTCCCAGCCATCCGGTTCCTTAGCTTTTTAGATCCTTTTATTGTTTAGTGGTTGTTTCCCATTTAACCAACAAACAAATAAACTTTTAACGAGGGATCTGAGGGCAGCCCAGTTTTGTGGCGGTTTCTGGTAATTCCACCCCTTTGTTTCATATGTTTCCAGCAGTTTTCCCAATATTCCCTCGTTCTCCAGTCAGTATTTCACTCATTTTCCTTTTCGCTCCAGTTGTGTTGTTTGTTTTCACATTTGTGCGATTGTGTGTCCGCCTCGTTCCCCCTTTGCCCAGGTGCTTTCCCCCTTGCGCTTATCGTTCATGAAGCCTAAGGCAGCTAGTTTTAGAATTCGGAACCTTGAGAATTCATGCAAACTAATGAAGGGGGTATCCTTTTCTTCCAGGGAAACCCCTAAAGGATCTCACGATTCAACAATCTGTAGTGATTTTGCCCTTTTACCACACCAGCCCAACTAGTGCCTGTGGATTTTGTGCACAGTCCTGTTCTTGAGAAGCTGGCGGGTGTTCAAAGGACCAGTCCTTTGAAGGCTATCCCCTTGTTATCGGTGGTTGTCACAAGGTGGCACACCCCCAATCAAAACCCGGGTAATTGGAGGCTTGCGGGCAATGCCAGACATGCGGATATCCATGCCTTTTCAATTCTTGAAGCATGGGTCTGGGCTTACGACCATAGGTGCCCTTTTTGGTTGATTTGGTTAAAAAATTAAATAGAGGGCCCTGCTTTACCTGGTGGTTCACTCAACTACCAGGGCCATCTATTTTCCCAAAAAGGACACCTACGACTATTTTAATATCGCGTAATTGATAGGAGCTGGATGTGGACCATATTAAGAACGCCAAGTCCTTGGCCGCAAAGTTCATGAACTGGCAGAAGCACCTGGACGGAAGTGGCAAAGAGACAAAGGCCGGTAGGCGAGTAACCCCATGGATGGACCTGGGATGTTTTTCTCGGGGGAGAAGAATCCCCGTGCTTATATTTTGTGCGGGAATCCCCCCCAATCAAAGGCGAGTCTTTGGGAAGCTTTTTCGGGATGGACTTGGCGCTCACTGTGCTTCGCGAAGCCGAAGGCCATCCGATTTGGTTCAGCTGAGCTTTTTGGATCGATCCTTTTAGTGTTTAGTGGTTTGGTTTCGGAATTTCACACCCGAAACGTTAGTCACTAGCGGGGGAGCTGAAAACGGGCAGCCCAGTTCTCTTTGCTTTCTGTTTCTCTATGCATTGATTTGCCTTGCTTGCTCCCCAATCCAAAAAAGTCTTAGGCGGGTCTTGGTGTGGTTGGTAGGGTGGGGCAGCAAGTGTTGCCCAGTGCCCGAGTACTCTTTGGTTTTCGTTTGAGACAACCTCTTATGCTTTTGGAACATGAATGCCATCTTTTGGCCTTTTCGACCCGAGCAGAATATTTTAGTCGTTTTACATGTTTTGTGAAGAACCGATTTGGACCACGGCTGCGCTTTCAGTACCGACACCGTTCACAAACCCTGGCTTATGATTCGACACCTCCTGTAAATGCCGGCAAACGTTTTTGGTTTCATTCCCGCGGTTTCATCACGTGCTGCGAGTTGGATTTCGCAACCATCCGCAGCATCCTTCACGTCTCATCGAGTTCTAGGTATTTGATAGGCTTCGAGTCCAACTCACGTGTAACTTGGCGTATTTGTGCACTGGATGTATAGTTTAACCTGGGAGGGCAATGACCTGGTCCAACAGTACGGCATGAGAGAACAATTGGATTTCAAGCTTGTGTCCAATGCCTGTTTTGGTGCTCCTTGTGAGGGTTCCTGCAAAGGAGGAAGCCTTTTTGGGGACCCTTTGACACCCTCAAGGCGAAAGTCAGGGGCGCTGAACTTGGTGTGGATCCTTTTGAGCAAGTGCTTCCAGCTACCACTAAAGTAGGCAACCAGGTATGGCAACCTTTAGGCTTTACATCGTGGGTTTCCCCCTGGTTTTCTATTACGTGTAGTGGTAGCCGTAGCTGAAGCAACAAAACCATTGGCGAATCTAGTTTCTAACATGTTTCCCGGTCGACGCGGCTCAGGAACAGCTGAGGGCGCGGCGTCAACCCGGACCCAGCTGGTGCGATTTTGTGTGTGTTGATATATTTCGTGGCCAAGCAGGGGTGCTTCTCACTAGGTCCCCCGGCTAGGTGCCCTTTTACCAATTCTTTTTTTGGGGAGGGTTCCGCTGCTAAAACAGACTACAGAAAAAAAGGGGTACCCTTATTCTAACCTCTCAAATCTGGAGGACCTAGTCTCATGTTTTGGCTGAGGATTTCTGGTGTCCGGCGAGGGATCCAAGGGATCAAATTGGGCTGATGGCTTAGGGGCCTCTCAGAGAAGAGCGCCTCAGCCAGGGGCTTGTGCTGTCAGTCTCCCAACATCCCATTTGCAACTCGCAAGCTCGGGGTCAACTTGCACCGGGACTTGGGTTTTTAAGATGACCGATCACCTCTTCCGGAGATCTCCCTGCAATGCGCGGCTGTTCCTTTGAGAATGATCACTGGGAGCTTTGATGGCACAGACGCTTTTGTTTTTGGCTTCAATAGGAAGTCCCTGGCCCTAAGATGGTCGCCTGGTCTTAAGGCCAACTTGGCTTCTCTAAGAGAAGCTGTGCATGCGACAATCTGACGCTGCGCGCAACGCGCTGATGCTCAAGCTTCTACATCACGTGATGTCAATCCCGAATAAATCAACTTGACTTTGATTCAACCCTCAAATCCTACTCCAACCCTCTCCAACTAAAGTGAAGCCACTCCAAGTGGTCTATCCCACTCCAACCCTCAATTCCTGGTCCTCCCAAAAGGTGCAATAGTAGCTGGATGTGTCATGTTTTAGGTTGGAACCCCAATGGCTCCGTTTTCCAGTGGTTTTCCTCCACCGCAAAAAAACAACGTAGCCTCAAAACAGACACATCTATCTCAAGGACGCCCAACTCAACCCGGGACCAGGGGTTCATGAATTCTCCCGCGGTTACTTGCTAGCATTCGTTAAGTCCTCATGTCGAAAGCCGTCTTGGTTCCTGGTTTTGTGGCTCTCGAGCAAAAAGACGAGCCACAAAGGCCAAGGCCACCGCAGGTGACAGGTTTTTTTTGTTCGCTGCGAATAGTTGCTGTTTAGCAGTTTGGCAAGGACCTCCGAAACACCAATTCGTTGGATTCCTCTTGTTGTGGTTTGTACAAGGGAATCATCATTCAAGGAATTTTTTAGGTGGTGCGAAATGGATTTCGCCCATCTATGTTATGTTTCGGCCCATCCACTCAGGAGACCATGATGCTGACTTGTTGTCCATTTGCCTTTTGAAACCAACACTGGCAAAGAGACTTGAGAGTTTGATCAATGAAAGCTCTTCCTTTAAGTGTTGTCCAGAATGTTCATTGGCCAGCACTGCGGCCCACATGTGTGCAGTGGGTTTGGTCATTGTCTCAGCCAGTGCACTTTGTGCTATGCAAAGTTCAGACTGCCCATGCCCAGTGCAACTTGAGGTAGTCCTCGCCGGCAAGAAATGTATACCCTCAAATTAGAGCTTTCTGATTGCATCGGGACCGACACGACCAGCATCAACAAGGTCACGCTCATCAATGCAAGTCCGTGCTTACACAGGGCCAGCTCTTTTTGAAAGCTAGGTTATCAAACACGTTTCTCACCTTCCATTTCCCTCAAAACATAAAATAAACATAAAACCCAAGTCTACATGGAACATGTCATCGCTTTTCTCCTAGGTTTTTTGCTTGACCGAAAGGAAACACGGTGAAGCCCGCCATGCGGATCGGTGCATTGGCGCTGGTGCCGCTTGCGCTCGCGGTGCGGGAGCTTTCGGTCTCGCCATATCCCTTCGGGGGCAGCAGCAAGCCGGATACCTACTTGGCCCAGGCATGGCCAGAACCCGTTTCACTCACTCCAAGTGGTTTGTCGCCCCTCCCCCCCCCGCCCTCCCCCCCGCCCTCCCCCCCCCAAAAAAAAAAATGCAAGTGGATGTTCTTTTGGTTCCCTGTACAACCACCCAAAGGGGTGTCAACTCAAAGCAAAAAACATACACACCCGAGTTGCCACCGGCTGGTGACGTTTCAACCATCCTAGGGGAAACGAAAAAGCAGAAATCAGTCAGTAACTCCCAGCCTGTAGCCTCCAAAATTTCTTCTTGGTTCCCTTTAAAACTACTCCCACAAGGGTACCCTCAAACAAAAACACTCTGGGTAGCAACCATGGTTACAACCGTTAAAAGGGAGGTTTACTAAACACTTACCAAGTACAACGCCCCTTTGAGTACTACAGGTTCCCCTGAAGCCTCCAAAATGGGTGGTTTCCTCTTGGTTCCCTTCAAAACCACTCCCAAAAGGGTACCCTCAAACAAAATATCCTGGTTCCCTACAGTGGTATCTGGCTATGTGTCAAAATTAGACCACCAGGGGACCGCAGATTTTAGTCCTTGCTTCCATTACCCACCTTTTGGGTACCTATTTTTATGTTTGACCCATACCCATCTGCAAAATACCCTCAAACAAAAGCAATCTGGGAAACAACCATGGTTATAACCTACCTTACTAAACACTTACTTATTACAATGCCCCTTTCAGTACTACAGTGTCATCTGGAGGCCCCGGGAATTTTCTGTTTTTCGGCCGAGGCTTCGGTTCAGTGCAACTCGCTCGGCGTGGGCGTGGACCTTTCGTTGGGCGTCTGGGAGGCGGAGGTGACCTGCAGCGCGTTGCCGCGGTGCGGGGGCTTCATCTACAAGGACATTCGAGCCCAAGTGAGCGGATGTGGTTGTCAACACCGTTTTGGGATACTCGTTGGAATGTCCAGGGAAACCAAACAAAACGCCACTTTGGGGGCTCTCTTAGAAAAGGCAATGCTTTTTGAGGTTGGTTGAAAGGGAAGCCAAAAGGAACAGCCGGGTCACCCATTTGGCTGTGACCATCCATTTTAGAACCTATTTTAGTGGTTGGATTGGGATGTTTTGGATTTTGACCCATGGCTGAGTCACCATCAAAACCGATTCGAGTATGTCTCACAATAGGGACTGCCTCCACATCAAACGTGGAAATCCTTTGGGGTCCCCGGCTTCCCCTCAAAACCAAAGAGTGTCACAACCTAAACCGATTCGGGTAGATGACCTAGGTCCCCCAGCTAGGTGACCTTTCTCACCAACTTTGTTGGTTGGGAGGGTTCCCCTACTAAAGTAGACTACAGAAAAGAAGTTGATACCCTTATTGTATCCTCTCTACTGGAGGACCTAGTGACTCGGTTAGTAAGGGACGATCCCGGCCATGAATAGTTCCGGCCGCCGTGGTATTTCTTTACATGGTTCTGGGTCAATCGTTTTAATACCGTGTTTGGATTGTGACTCAACTGGGGTCTGAACGGTTTTGTATGGGGTCCCACTCCTCACTCCTGAATGGGTAAGGCTGGGGATGTTGAGTCACCTGAAGAATTTGAGTCGCCTTACGTCTCACGCCTTGAGTTCATGGACTTTTGTCACTTTGTTTGGACCATTTTAGTGGCAAAACCAAAGTTTGGGTAACTTGTTTGGGCCAGTCCACTCAGGAAGTGAGGGGTAGATTGAAAATGCATATGTTGTTTTTCGCGTCCCCGTGTTTTTTTGTGTGGCACTGGACAAGGTGCCTTTTTGAGAGCAGGATTCGATTCTGAAACCCTCCTGTGCACTTCCTTGATGGTACGGCAGATGGAATGGCCAGAAGGGTACCCCACCTCAATGGGTGTAGGAAAGGAAACATGAGTCCAAGAATTGCGTACCCCCCAACATCCTGGATAGTCGGGAAATGGTAGCGCATGTCAAATTTGCCTTGGAGCAACCAAAAGGGCCAAAAACAACGGAACCTGCTGCTTGCTTTGCAGGCCTTTATTCAGCACCCAGGGAGCCCCGCCCATGGTACTTAGATGGTCTGAAAGTGATTGCTAGATGGTTAGAGTTAGAGGGTACCATCTAAGTACCCGGAGTTTCAAAGATGCGTCCAGGAGGGTAATTCTCGAAGAGATTGTGGTCATGAAAAAAATGGTGCGTGCAATAGTAGGCGGTAGCAGTGCACAAACAAACATATTTACTGGTTTCCTTTTGGTTTGCAGTGAACAAGCAATGTGTATTCGGTGCAGCGTATCCCAACCCAGAAAGCGTCCATGGGTTTCGCCATAGTAGGTAGCACCCTTGTATTCGGTGCAGCGTATCCCAACCCTGAAAGCTTCCATGGGTTTCGCAGGTAACTCTTTGGGGTCCTTGCCTCTAGGTTTTAACATGGATGTTTTCCCTGGTTAGCTTCTTCTCTTTTTAAACGGCCGCTCGGAAAAGGCCCTGGTGAGCTATGGCGAAACGCCAATGGGAAGCCCTGGGCAAGATCCACCGAAAACGCGGCCCGCGGCCCAATGGACTCCCGGACGTGACTCTTTTTAATGGGGATATTCGTGCACAAATCTGGTCAAAGCAGCAGTCCGACCATGAATCAAGTCAACTCAACGTGGCTCCAAGGATCGAAACGGAACAGTTTGCAAATTCCTGTCCAACCAGCGACCCTCGTGTTCCCAAAGTCACCTGCCAGTTGCCCTCCCTCTTGTCAAATGGCCCCCTAAACATCCGGCGGATCCTACCGCCCTGACAGTTCCACTGGGTGCAACCCAAAGTATCTCAAAGAAGGTCACTTAAACGTGGGCATGGGTCAAAATAAAACCACCAGGAAACCGTCCTGGTCTCCATTTATCAGGGTTTCAGGGAAAATACCTACGTTTGACCCACCCCCTTTTGCTGGGTTGTCTTAGTAGGATGGGCAGCTGGAGAACTACTGCCAGGCCCAGAGTTTCGATTCCGCAGCTCGCCTGCCAATCCAGATATCTCTCGCCGCAGTTCTGCTCGTTTCGGGTGAAACGAGTGCGGGGGACACCCAGCGCCTGTTGCGTGCGTTGTTTTGGACGGGGCGAAGGGCCTTTAAAGTAGACGGCCGAAGAAAAACGGTGCGCGGTTCTTCCCACTGGAGGTGCGCTTAGAGGAAAGTTGGCAAACGAGGCTGAAGGTGGGAGTGAAAGAGCGCAGAGTGACATGAGTAGCAATCTGGCCTTGGGCCACCTTGTTTGAACTTTTTCGGCGAGGCCAGGGGCAAAACGGGGTAAGAAAAGACACCCAAATCACCAGCGCCCCAACGACTGCTTTTGCCCATGTCTACAATCTCAAGTACTGTTGGTTGCGGGGGCTGCTGGAAGGGGCGACCCATTTTGGGAAACAAATGGAACCACCTTTTGAGACCATCTCCCTACAGCCGCTTTGTTACAGATATAGTTGGTTTCCAACTGAGAATGTACCCGTTTGCCATGTGACAGCTTTTGGATCTCTGGTCACACGCCTTCTGCTTGTGGAAAGCGGTTGTAGCCTCCCAAGACTTCCAAGAGGTGCCTGGATGGAAGCCATCGCTTCAAGTCCTACACAAACAACCCTACCAAAAGGAAGCGTCCTGGCCTTTCAAGCAGCCTCCAGTGGCTTGCTAAAAGGCCCTAAATGGGTTAGAGCGGGGTTGGGTACTTCAAGACCAAATCAAGTCACTCACTGTTTCTGGACTTTAAACCTTTTGGGAAGACCATCTGGTGGCAAATAAAAGTGTGCTTCCTTTTTTGGCGAATCCACTCATTCGAAAGTGAGGTCATGGTCAAAGTTAGTACCATTTTTCTCCGCCCCCTCACTCAGGATGCGCTTCGAAACGCCTCGGTGGGTTTCGTCCGCCACGTCTACGACCACGGCTGCGAGCTACGAATCCGCCTGGAGGACTCCATCGCTGGCCTGTCCTTCACCCGGGCGGCCTGCGTGGGTTCCGGCCGCCCGCCCAAGGCGCGAGTGGAGCGACGCCAGGCGCCGAAGTCCTCCGAAAATCTCTCGCGGAAGTTTGGGACTATGGCCACCAGTCGACTTTTGGATGCTACTAGACTAGGTCCCCCGGCTAGGTGCCCTTTCTACCCCTTTTTTGGTTGGGAGGGTTCCCCTACTAAAATAGACCAGAGAAAAAAGTTCGTACCATTAATTCTAGGTCCTCTCTACTGAAGGACCTAGACTAGAACCCGTCGCCTTTTTTCGGGTTTGGACAAAAGGCCACCAAAATGCACTTGAGCCACTGGCTCAACACCGATTCGGGTAGATGAAGGCTTAGGGAGAAGCCCCTTGCCATAAATGGGTGTGGCTCAAAATTAACCAGCAGGGGTTACGCAGGTTTTGGTCCATGTTTCCACTTACCAGGGTTCCATTTTGGTACCGGTTTTCTGAGCCACAGCCAAATGGGTGCGGAAAAGTCCGCCTTCTTAGTTCCTTGCTTGGTTCTGGTTTTGATTATGACCCACTTGGACTGTTTCGGCCGGGTGAGAATTTTAGTCAAGAGCCTGGAAGCCCCGAAAGGCGGCCGAAGGGATTTGTTCAGGAGGTGTCCCCCAAGCGTACAAACCGAGTCACTCACTCCCTGAGTTCCTGAATATGTTGAAAAAGCATTTTAGTGAGCAACAAGTTTGGTTATAGTGGTAACAACAAGTTTGGTTTTAGTGAACAAGAAGTTTAGTGAACAAGTTTGGTTACCACTAAGTGGTAACAACAAGTTGGGTTCTGTGGGGCCTATTGAATTGAGTCGTTTGGTGAAAATTGGCTTCTGGGAGTTGAGAGACTGATGACTTACCTCTGATCCAGCCTCCAAGAGCCTTGCCGAAGACTTGGCTTCCGAGAGGTTTTGAAAAAAAGTTCCAACTGGTTGAGGATCGGAGGCTTTGTATACCGAATGCTACTTTGAAGCGGACTCCTCCAACCCAGCATAGACGTGGCGATAGATGATCCAGGTCGCGCCGCTGCTTTGGAAAGCAGCGCTCAGCAAAGCAAGGGGAGTCAAGTTGTCGAGTGGAAGCGATCTGACCAAGCCGAGTGTCATTGCCGATGCTTTTAAGGTGGTTTCCAGTTCCCCCCGAACCACTACCCCCAGGTTTCAATCAAATATACTATATAGCCGCAGAAAGGAAATAAATATATAAATACCCTTTTCTCCTGGGGGTGGTGGTTTGGGATAGTGGCACCATGTAAGAATGTCATATCTCATGTCAACATGGACTTGTGAGGCGCCCAAAGCTGCGGTGGTGCTGGAAGGTTCTTCCTACACCGTGGGTGCTGAGGCATTCATCACGTCTCAAGAGGCGCAGCGTCGAGAGTGCGTCGAATGAGAAGGCAGAAAAACCCGCAGTTTACGGAGAGCTCAATGAGTCAGACGAGTATACAGCTTCAACTGGTTGAATTCAATGGGTGGCTGGGGCTCGCGCGATTGTGATGTGTGGATCTGTCATCATGCACGCGGTCAATTTGAGAGGGACGTGGGGAAACACAATGAATCTCCCACATAACCAAACAACAAGCTGCAAGTTGTGGGCATAAACAGACAACATGCGGCAAGTTGTTCAGAAAGTTATCCTATGTTCACGGACAAGACCATGTGGGTTTTACGAAGCGGTTTCTGCTCTTGTCACGACTTGTCGCTGACTTCGGCAAAACCTTTCCCGGGGCACCTCGCACCTTCGATCGGATGGGCAAGCCGGTTCGCAACGTTCCTAAGAATGGAAGTGTGCAGCTGCCTTCCTTAGCATCGTTGGGATTTTGCCCTTGTTCCCTTGTGTGGATTGTCATCAGGGAGTTCTGCTTGAAACACAGTCCTTGCTACGGCTGACAAGAATCGTGCTTTCTGAACTTTCTGGTCTAACTCCCCATTGTCAGCTTCTCCGATTGGAAGTAGGGTAACGATTGGCTTGTTGTTGTGGTTTTGTCTTTTAATGGTTCTAGTTCTAGGTATCAAACATTATCAAACTCAGAAGCTGGTTTTGTTCACTTTAAGCCACCACTTGGGGGGTGACTTTGATCATGGTAAGCTAAAGCCGACCCCGAACAGACACCACCACCCCCAGTCATTATGTAGGGGGCCCTTTCCAGTGGGGACTCCTTGGCTTCCAGGGGGAAGAAACAAAAAGCAATTCCTCGCTGGGTTGGCACATTCATCGCCGGGGTCAACACGAACAGGGCAAGTATTTGGCTCCAAGGCCAGCGAGCGCAGCTGGGATGGGAGCTTCCACAGCATGACGACGACGGAGGGGGTCACTTACTTCATGCCAGGGGCCAGCCACGACACGAGATCCCAGCGCGCTGGCACATTTAAGCACGGGTTGGTTGCAACATGTGTTTAAGAAAATCCAGGTCGTTTCGTTTCGGCCGGCGATTTAAAGGGAAGCCACAAAGGAGTTGTTTGAACAGTGGCTGTCACTGTTTAGGCATTAATATGATTGGTTGCCAGAGACACGAAGATGTAGAGATTGGCAGATGCTTGCCCTTGTGACGGCACTCTGGTTTCTTGTCGGCCCTGCTTTCACCAAGAAGGGGCCTGACGGCCTGATGTTCTGCTCGAATCGAAAGCCCCCAAACAGTGTGGGCGAACTTGAGTTCTCTCATGATGAAGGCTTTCTCTCCTGAGCGGCTTTGCCCGAGCTTGGTGAATTGCACAAAGTACAACGTAGTAGACTTTGACATCTAAACCAATGGCTTGTCTGTGGAAACCTTGGGGCTCCATGCATCTCTCCGACTGGCTACTGGAGATCTCAACGGAAAATACGACTGGCGCTCGGGAGTTCGCTCCCGAAGGCCATCCGGTTCCTTAGGTGGGATCTTTCTAGTTGGCTTAGTGGCTGAATTTCCCGTATTTAACCCACTAAAAGTTCGCAACTGTTAGCAGGGGATCTGAGGTTGCCCCCAGCTGGATCACTGGATTACTCTTGGCTTCTCCCCCGTTTTTTTTTTTTAAATGGAGACTAAGTCGGACTCGCGTCTCCCTTGCTCAAGGCGTTTTGGCTTAGCTTTGGGCACCATTTGGTTGAAGACTCACTTTTTGGTTTCTGAAGAGCGGGACACCAAAGGGACATTGTTTAAGCAATCGTGGTTTAGAGGCATGACTTCCCATCCGGACTGCTCGAATCTAGCTACGGGGCCGTTGGGAGTTCTTGTTTTCACCTAGGGCATTGAAAAAGTTCGGTACCCCTTGGGGGAAGAGTAATGTTGGAACCTGATTAATAAAGGGCCCCCCCCTGAACAATGGAGGCGCCAAAATTCTGGGGGCTCACTTTTGGGACGTCCAAACAATGGAGGATTTTGGGGCACAATACTACTTTAGTATTGCAACCACTTCCCTTTCAGTTCTTTCTGTAGCCATTCAAAGGGGTGTGCCACCAATTGAAAGGGGATGCTTTTAAGCAAGTGGGCCACCAATTGAAAGGGGATGCTTTTAAGCAAGTGGGCCACCTGAATGCTTTTGAGTAAAGCAACTTATAGCTTATTTTCTGGGAGGGGGGGCTGGGGGCTTGCAATTAATGTGGTCCCCTAAAAGAATGACATTAATGTGGTTCAGTGGGGTCTGTGAGGGGTACCCTTGTCCTGTTTGTGTTTTTGCATTTTTTGACACGGTTTAATAAAGCGTTTGCAGTTTCAGGGCTGGGGATGGTTTTCAAATTTCAGAGGTTTCAGCTGGCTTTGGGTTCTGTGGTTGAGCAACCAATTGAAAGGGGAATGCTTTTAAGCAAGTGGGCCACCAATTGAAAGGGGATGTTTTTAAGCAAGTGGGTCGCCAATTGAAAGGGGAATGCTTTTGAGTAAAGCAACTGATAGTTTATTTTCTGCCAGTGGGGGCTGGGGGCTTGCAACTAATGTGGTCCCCGCCTAAAAGAATGACATTATTGTTGTTCAGTGGGGTCTGTGCGGGGTACCCTTGTCCTGATTGTTTTTTGTTTTTTCATTTTTTAACGCGGAATAAAGAGTTTGCAGTTTCAGGGCTGGGGATGGTTTTCAAATTTCAGAGGTTTCAGCTGGCTTTGGGTTCTGTGGTTGAGCAACCAATTGATTTTGGGTCAACATGGATTTTGGGTGATTGTTTGGGGGGGATAGCTTTTTAAATTAAAATTGAGTTGTGTTTTTTTTGGAGTTGTCCCCCGGGCAAAAAAAACTTCAATTATTCTGGTCCCCCTAAACAATGGGTGCGAACCAGAATAAGGAAAACAACTTGCCATTATTATAGTCCAGTTGATTAATCAAGTGCCAACATTAGTTGAACCAAGGCTCGCTTTTTTGGTTGTCGCGCAGGTGGGCCAAACAAGTATGACTCTTGGGAGCTTTGCTTTTCATTTGTATATAACACGGTGGTGTTTGATTCGATTTTTGTCAACGCATGCGTTGCTGTGTTGCACATGGCTTGGTTCTTACAGGAACTTTTCTGGGTCTGGGGTTTCCGTACCGAGGTATGACTTCCCCATCCACCTGGACGGGTACTACCCCCTCTTCGCGTCCCAGACAGCTGCCGAAGCCTTCGGCGGATCTGCCACCGCTGTCGGCCCCACAGCAAGCGGCACGCCACGACAGTGGAGCCAACCGCCGGTGGATGCGAGACTCCGAGTGGACTTTGGCGTCGTGTCGTTGTGTTTTGTTTGGGGGGGATGCCTCTCTGCTCACTTCCTGAGTTCCTGGACTTTATGCTGTTTTTTGGGGAGGGCAACCACAGAGGTTGCTCTGGGTGAAAAACAAAACAAAATACCTAGTTCTGCAAGATGCTTGGCAACAACTAATGAGTCAAGCGTTGGCGACGGTTTATTAACTTGGCGTTTACTGTGGTTCGGACGGATTTGCGCAATTATGGCACATGTTGCTCGAGGGCCCATATTTTCAGATTTCCAGTGGCACCTTCTCACTTTTTGGTCCACGAGTTGTCAATTTTATTTTTTCTTTTACCAGAATCTGGTGCTGAAGACTTTAGGACCTACTGGGTGCCCTCTGGAGCCACCTTTTTCGCTGGGGACTTCGTATCACCCTTCGCGATGGACGGGTACTTCCCCTTGTACCTCACAGCAGAGGCCGCGGCCAAGGCGCCAAGTAGAATCAGAGAAAAGGGGGCCCAGTTCCCGGACAATTTCACACAACCCTTTTCATGTGAATGGGAAAGTGGGGCGGAATTGGGAATATCCGTGAACCGGGAAATCTGTGGGAATGCATTGTTTAACCAATAAATTTCTTAAGGCCTCAAGGGCTCGTAGCAAATCATAGCGACATCAACAAGAGTATGTGCGGGGTGGTGTTCGCTGGGGTACTGTTAGGTAGTTGGGCGCTTGAATCAAAGCGAGGACATGAAATTGCGAGTTCGTACGGATATGGTAGTTATTTCTTCAACAACAATTGTGTTTTCCTATAACCACACAAATCAGCCAGCCCGCCAACGAATCCAACCACCCAACCCAACCTCCCAACCCACCTACCAACCAACCTGTCAACCTTCCAATCCAACCAGCCTACCGACCTACCTACCAGCCTACCAACCTAGCGACCTACCAACTGAAGGAGCTTGCAAAATCGACCCTAAGCGGCCATCATACCAACCATCCAACCAACCATCCAACCCACCAACCCACCAACCATCCAACCCACCAACCCACCAACCCAACCTACCCACCCGCCAACTCAAGAACAAACCCACCTACCAGGACGTGTATGAAGCTAAAACCCTCGGCTGGTGTGGGCTGGGACGTATCCAGAGGCCTCCAGCGACGGTCTCTCCCAGTCCCATGGCCCCGGCTCCTCCACGGGCCGCCCCAGCGCCTGGTCCTCCGGCCACCGAGCCTTGCGCCTCGGCCCTCGCTCGGCGCCCGGCGCTCGGCGCTCGGTCTGTTTGCCTTTTTCAGTGGCTCCGTTCCCGTCCGGTTCCCTTGGGCTGTTAGGTTCCTTGGGTTCCTTGGGTTCCTTGGGTTCCTTGGGTTCCTTGGGTTCCTAGGTTTTCTTGTTTTTTTTTGGCTTTTTAATTGTGTTTTGTTGTGCTTTTAGGTTCTTGGGTTCCTGAACAGTTTTTAGGCGTTTACGTTCTGGTGGTTAGCCCGAGCCATCCGGTTCCTTAGGTTAGGTATTTGTTTCCGGTGTTAGGTTCCTAAGGCGTTTAGCTCTTTTTGGTTGTGTTTTGTTGTGTGTTAAGCTTGGTTTAATTACCACAGCAACTGCAATGGTCTGGGGCGCTAAATGACCGGTCAACGAGATTGGAGAATTAGAGCTCGCCCCATGAAGCATGAACTACGGGTCAGTTTGACCAAACCTCAAATGGTTAGCGACCTGCTTACAAGGGTGCAAAGGTACAAAATGCGACCGCCTAGCCACTTACCCCTCCAGAATTCTGAGAGCGCGGGAGGCAGGGGCCTTGTGCTGTTGATCAATATTCCAAGACCATGTGTAACTTTCCCCAGTTGCAATGTCATATTGTCAGTGTTTTTTCCCCCTAATCCCATGTAAAGGATCTCTTGATCAACCCCATGTCTCTCCTTGCAAACTGCTTGAAATGTAGTTTCCCTTGGATGCGTGCCACACTTGTCCACTTGCGTCGGGTTGGCCACTTCACCTCAAGGCTTCTATTCTCCAGTTTAGACACATGCAATTGGCCAGGTCAATGGAACTAAAGTCAATGGGTGTTGGGCGTTGCTCCAATTGAGGAGCTTGTCTTGGACAGTTTTACAGCACCAAAAGGACATTTTACATGAACAAGTTTCAAAGGCCCCCACATTTTTTGGACCCAAAAAACCCAGATTTCTGTTTGGTGTCCCTTCAACCATCTAAACATGTGGTTCCCCATGTGAACGCCCGTCAACAGGTGGCGCGAAGGTGAGTCTTTGCAAGCTGTTGGTCGCCAGTTTGCTTTTGCAGCTGAAGGGCTGCAGAAGTCTGGCAGTCTAGATGGGGATCTGTGGTTTCTGTTCTTTCTTCTTTTTTGGATGTTATTTCAGGGTTGGCTCAAAATGAATCTAAGCACCGGTTGCCGACACGGAAAGTCCGTTAGTCGGGTGCAAGATGAGACCAGGTATTTCATGCCCGTGTCCGGGGTCGCCCAATTCTATGGTGACTACACCTTCCCTGCCTCTGCCCGCGACCTGCGCTACGGCACCGTGACGCACGGCGTCGTCGACTCCGAAGACTCCGCAGCAGCGGCGGCCGCAGCCGCGGCGGCCGCCGCCGAGTTTCCCAACACCGCGACCGCGGAGGCCGTGCTGGCAGCGGCGCCCGAGGCGGCGTGGTTCGCGAGGTAGTGCCAGCGAGGCGGAGCTGGGCAACATGGACTAGGTCCCTCAGCTAGGTGCCCTTTTACCCTTTTTTGGTTGGGAGGGTTCCCCTACTACAATAGACTACAGAAAACAATTCGGGTACCCTTATTCTAACCTCTCTACTGGAGGACTTAGTGGAGTTGGGCAAACCAACAGGATGTTTTGTTTGGACTGCTGCAGCCCATGATTGAAGCTTTGTCGAGTCTTGCTACAGGTGAACAATTATTGGGAATCCTGCCCGTCCCCACGCAGTTTGGACCAGTGGTTTCTCATGGTTTCTCTTTGAGGATGAGCGCCGGCCTCTTGACTCACATGGGCCGACGCTGAGGAGCATCCCCGGCGGCTACCCAAAGCCTGCCAGGAATACAGCTTGGACGCATGCGCGAGAAAGGCTGCGAGAATGCCGACCAGGAGGCGGTCATTGAATGCTCTTGCCAGCTCAGCAGAAATGACGCTTGGCAGAGTCCGAGAGGCAGAAGTGGGCGTCAGATTGTGTGAGGTTGCACTTGAGCTCGGCCAATGTGCCGCAGGATTTCATGGCGACGGGGCAGAGAGACTAGGTCCCCCGGCTAGGTTCCCCTACTAAAATAGACTACAGACAACAGTTGGTACCCTTATTCTAGCCTCTCTACTGGGGGACCCAGGAGAGGCAGTCCCAATTTCAACAGGAGGTCTCCTGGGAAGAATTGCGGATGGCTGAAAGACAGGTCGAGCTGAAGCGGACCCTTGGACGCGGGCGGGAGGTGGGGGAGATCCCCACAGTGCCAACTTGATTTGCGCATGTGATAAGTAACTTACATGGGCTAGGTGCCCTTTTACCTTTTTTTGGGGGGAGGGTGCTCCTACTAAAATCGACTACAGCAAAAAGTGGGTACCCTTATTCTAACCTCTCTGCTGGAGCACCTAGTGGGTTTACACGGGGTGAAAATGGGAGCTTTACTGACCACTTGGCCAACTGCAGGACCATCTAGGCAAGAGTCTCACATGTTCACACTGGTTTCTTGCCTTCAAATGCCCAATTCACTGACATCCTCCACATCCCTTTTCTATGTTTATTTCTTAGGTGCCCAGAATAATATTTAAAAGGTCAACCCCAGATCCTCCCGAACGGGTCGCTGGTGGCAAAAAAAGAGGAAAGGCTTGAAATACCTGTCTCCATTTGGGCATGGGTCAAAATTCAACCACTTTCTATTTACCAGGGCAAGCCATTTGCAGTACCTATGTTTTGACCCACTGCCACAATCCTGTACCCCCAGTGAACATCCCACTCCAACCACTAAAATAGGTCCTAAACTGGGTGAATTCACCTACCCCAAAATCAGTCCCAAAACGGTTTTGACCACCACAGCCACCTGTCTCCAGAACCGCGTTTCAAGCCACAGAGCTGAAGCCATGGACCTGCAAGAAGCCTTTGAGAAGCTTCAGCCATGCCTGGACTCCGGGACACGAATCTTCCTGCTGCTTGTACCTCTGCCCAATCTCGAAGTTTTTGAGAAGGTCCCCCCAGCAATTGGCGCCCGACCTCTCACCATTTCTTTTTTGGTTGGGAGGGTTCCCCTAAAATAGACTACAGAAAAAAACAGTTGGTACCCTTCTAACCTCTCAAATCTGGATGACCTATGGACTCCCCTTGGCCACCATTTGTAAGGCCCCAATTGGTGGACCTGTGGCCATGGGTTGCAGAACCTATGGCGATCCTATTTTGGGATGGACATCCATTTGCCACCTATCTTGATGTTCACCAGGGGTACAGGGTGTTGCCCACGGCCATATATTCCTGGGTCAATAGGGGCAACTGAGGTGTTGCTCCCGTTTTTGTTGCCCATCTTCCTGGTCCTCGCTGCTTGCACAGCGGCCTGGGCGGTGATATTCAGACTCTTCAGGGCGGAATCTTGACTGCTATTGGGTTGGATCTTTAGACTTTAACTGTTTGGTTGATAAATAATTGGCGTTTTCACTAAACCCCCAAGAAGTGGTTCACTTTTTGCAGGGGGGTCGACAGCAATCAAGGAATATGACATCACCATTCCTCGGGAATCCTTGCCGCCCCCTGACACTGCTACGGTCACTACCAGAGATGGCGTTTTACTCAACTACCACAAAGCGGTGGTGCGCTCCGAGGATGGAAGTATGCCAACTACGGATGATCCCAAAGTGGTCCTATTTTGCAACCCCTTGGGTCAGAAAGGCCTGGGCAATTGGGGCGGAGCATTAGCTGCCATTGCCCAGATTTGGGGCCCCGGCACGATCCTCATTTGTTGGGATTACCGTGGCTTCTTCGAGTCAGAGAATCCCAAGCGCCCCAGGATGGTGGACGTGCGCAACCATGCGGAAGATGGCCTAGTTGTTCTGAAGGAAGTTGTTGGTGACAAAGCAGCAACTCTGGTCGTTGGGCACAGTATGGGCGTCCAAGTTGCGCTGGAATTCACGCTCCTCTATCCTGAGAAAGTTGGATCTATGATCCTCTTGAATGGAACGTATCTGGGTCAGGCTTTGGTAACATCTTTGGCATGGACTTAAGACCATGATTGTAGAAACGGTTAAACCTCCAAATCTTACACAGATCTTTGCTTTTTGGACGAAACTGATGGCAGCAAAACCAAAAAAGTTCTCGCAGATTTCGGGTGTGAAGGTATGGCCATGCGCTGCAGACGGCGCTTCAGCCGATCCTCAGACTGCCATACGTGGGCAGCTTGCTAAGCAGCATCATCCAATGGCTCTTGGCCAGGGGGCACGAAGCTTTGCCGCGAAAGAAATTTGAGGCTCGAGGTCAAACTGTTCCGGCCCCAAACAACTGCATATGTACGATCAAAAAAATAGTGTTTATACTTGATGACTTGATGTTTGTTTTTTTGACATACATTTCATTGTGTACAGATTTGGTCAGCATCATTGGCGTGTAGCCACAATCAAAACCCGGGTAGATGAAAGTTAGTAAGGGACAATCCCAACCATAGCTGCGGCCGCCTTCTTAATTCTTGACATGGCTCTGGGTAGACCATGTTAATACCGGGTTTTGATTATGACTCATTTGAGGTTCGAGGTCAAGCTTTTGCGGCCTAATACTGCATATGTAGTATCATCATTATCACTGTTTATAATTGGTGATTTTTGTTTTTACATTGTTTTTTACAGATTAGTCAGCATTCGGGTTCGTTTGGGTGTCTATGGTTCTTTTGGGATGGTTGGTTTCCTCTTGGTAGCCCATAATCCGAAAAGGCCCCCTATGTTAAACAAGAAAAACACCCATGGACTCACGAAGTTTCTCATGTCTTCCTGGGGGCCCAAGTAACTTTGTTCGTGCTGTGGTTGAAGTACCGGTGTGCTGACTTGGGAATGGTAGAATGTTCACAGACCCTTGAACTCATACGTGTCCTTTTTGGTTGATTTGGTTGAAAAATAGAGGGCCCTGGTTTAACTGGTGGTTCAATCAACTACCAGGGCCATCGATTTTCCCAAAAAGGATACCTATGCTTGAACTGTTTTTCAGAACCATTGTATGTATGGGTTCCCGCCAAGGCCCACAAAAAGAAATTTGTCCCTGGCGCACACACACAATGCGTAAGTTCCCCTACGTGAAGCTATAAGGGGATGGATCGTCTGTGTGTGTGTGTGTTGTGTGTGTGTACGTGTGTGTGTGTGTGTGTGTGTGTACGTGTGTGTGTGCGTGTGCGTGTTTTCCACACACCCCTATTTAGCACCCAGGAAGAGATCCTGGAAATGATTCGCAGATTCTGCGAGCCATTCATCGGCATCCTCTTTTACATGCTGACGCTTCTCTTTGGCAGCAGATCTTTGCAAAGGTATTACGGCAAAGATTATATGCTTCGTTCATGGCAGCAATATTTAGGCGGCATTTGCTCGAATTCCAAGAGTATGAAGGCCTTCTTGCGGGGGTTCCAAGACTTGGACGCTCACTCGACTGGTCATCTTTTGGATCAGATCAGTCATCCCACCCTGCTGATTGCCGGATTTTGGGATTTCCTCACCCCGCCGCACACCATGATGCTTGGTTCCCAGCCATATCCTCAGACTTGTAGACGTTTGTTGTTTTCTGGAGTTGGATTTAAAAGACGACGGAAAAGGATGAACTTTAAGGGACCGAACCAAGGATGGTGATGAAAAGGAACATGGCCAATGCGCGACTCATCCTCGATGCCTTTTCGGGTCACTTCAGCGCAATGGAACATCCCGAGCTGGTCATGGCAGAGATTGCCAAGTTCATTGCAGACCTTCCGAAGTTTAAACGACGCACCTTGTCAGAGTTCGAAAGGCCGGTCAAGATGTGATGCACGTGCACAGACGATGTGACGTGGGCCAAACTGTGTACTTTTGCTGTGGTTGTAAAACTGCAGATGTGACGAAACTGGACCTGCAATATTGCAGGTATCCACGATTCATTGCGATCCCACCGCAATCTAGCGGGCTGTGCTTGACAGCCCTTTGACACGTGAAACAAGCTGGACATCTGGACAGCGATTGATTTGAACATCGACTTCACATGGCTTCACACCGTAGAAAAGGTCAGCTCAAGCGCATTGCTCGAAGACCGAAAGAAAGAAGTGCATAGAAGCATATACCACATAATATTATATTATTTATACATCTTGGTAGCTCCCAGCCATCCCCTTTGCTTTTTAGCTTTCTAGTGTTTAGTGGTAGCTTTCATTTGACCCACTAAAAGTCAGTCACTTTTAGCAGGGGATCTGAGGGGAGCCCAGATGATATTATATATATATATATATACACAAGTGCACATTGTACTAATCTATGCTTCACCTCCTTGGGCCTTTTTGACAAGGCCATTGATACATGCATATACAATATGTATACCTACATATCGACACCCATGATATTTATACATATATGTATATATTACACAGTACATGCACATATTCTACAATTTATACACTACTGTAGAGGTAGTTGGGTAGTTGCATTGATCTTTGCTTGGAAAGCTATGCAGACTTGCCGACCCCAACGAGCCTGCCTTTGAAGATTCGCAGTCCAGATGAGCCACAGTGCTGCAATCACAGCTGCACGTCAAGCAATGCTGGGTTTTGTCAGTCAGCTTCTCAAGCATGGACAGATGATGAACGCACATGTCATATGTAGTGTGTTAGGGAACAAATGACAGGATAGGTATCCCATGCATACCCTCCCACCAACTAACATGGAAGTGCAAAAAGGCCCTTTCCAAGAGGAAAGTAGTCTTTCTACAGGGGTCTGTGCGCTGGTGGGAGGGTACCCGGAACAGTTAGCTTTCTCGGTGGACTACAAGGGATCAATTCCCAGATCGCTGCTGCTGGGCGCATCGCCCTCCGTCGCCGCTTCCGCCCAGCTTTGCGCCAGAAGCACTTCAACCAAAGTGATCAGGAGATGCGAGCCAAGCTCACTTTCCATTTGCTCATGATTTTTGTTTATTTCCCCTGTTGAGTTTAAAGGACATCTTTCACTACCTGGTTCACCCAGTTGTTCAGCCAATGACGCAGACCCACAAATGCGACAGAGCGCAAAAAAGAGTTCTCACGGGAGAGTTTTTTCGTAGCACAAAGACCCATGTTCTGCAATCCAACAAAACATGCGTGCCGAATCACCGGTTTCCCTCCTCTCAGACTTTTTGGCTGGCGTCCCAGCCAGCAGCTTTGTGTTGTGTCAAAATGAGGGTCAAGAACATCATCAAACCTTTCATGGTTGTTTGTTTTCCATTCACGCACTCCAAAACCATGGGTACCCCGCAAAGCATCGCCCCCACTGCCAGCCTTCAGTCACCAATGACGCTGTTCGATGCCATGGCCTGAGCATCATGCAGGCAGCACCGACGAAAGGTGATTCGTTGAGCTTCTAGTTGCGTATATTTTTCTAGGGTTTGATTGTTAGCCAACGGATTGGGGCTGACGGGTCTCTCTCTGTCTCTCTCTCTCTCTCTCTCTCTCTCTCTCTCTTTGTTCTATAGGATTTGATCCTTTTCTATTCTTTTACACCATCGTTCTTTTCAACAACCGATCGCTGTTTCCAACCTGGGTTCTTGATGGTTTCCTGAAAGCAGGATCCCTGGAAAGAATGGGGAAGCTTCCCCAAGAGTATGCTCTGGTTTTAAAGGGAATCTATCACGGACATGTTTGAATCTATCACGGACATGTTTGAATCTATCACGGACATGTTTTTTGTGTTTTTTTTTTTTTTTGCCAGGGGGCTTAAGCAAGTGGAAGACAGTGGAGACACAGAATTCATCAAGAACCCATGACTAATTAAGCAAAACAAACATGTAAATTTTCGGGGAACCCAGGATTCATTTGCCTGCTGGTGAGCGATGTAGGTCCTTTTTCTTGGGGATTGCTAGCTTCAGGTGTTGGATGTTTTGAAGAATGAGCAGATTAGTTCTCGAGTGTGGACCCAGTCCCCCGAATCACGGATTGTTTTGGCAAGGGTGTTACTTTCCCCCAAAACCCGGAGAGGATGGCCAAAACGTGGGACACCTAATCCGACGCGGGTCTGTTTTGTTTACACCAACCCGTTCCAACGGCTCGGGAGAAGGCCCGGGGACGAGATCAAGGTTGCGATCATTAGCTCTGAATGGAACGGGTTTTCGGGGGTCGTTTGCGTTGCCGACCCTGAGGGGTTGTTGTTTTTTTTCCTCCCATTTGCTATGGGGTCGGTAGCTGGTTGGGTGGTCGGTCGGTTCGGTCGATTGGCTAGTGCGCTTTTTGGTTTCGCCGGCACATGAGATCCTGGCGCCACAGTCCAGCAGCAGCCTCTTTTGGGATTAGTGGAGTGCTGCCCCAAACTCTCTTATTCTAGCCACTGCTAAACCAGCCCCAGAACTGGTGCACGCGGGTCGGTGATGCTTCAGGGTTGGTTCCCCTTTTGGTAAAGTGCGGAAGACTGGGAACTCAGTTGTTCAAATCCCATGTCGAAATAGGTGGGTTCTCCATTTGTGCAACTGGGTGAAGGGAGGACCAAAATCTGTTCAAACAATAAGTATGAGGCTCCGTCACTACATCCGCCAGTCTATGGTCAATCTGTGAGAGGCTGCCCGCCACCTTGCATCTCTTGTGCACCCTTTTGGGGTTGGTTCAAAGGGAAGGGAACCGAACTCAAAAGGAACCTTCATCAGGGGGGTCCGATCCCGATTTTAAGACAGATGTGTGTTCCCTCGCTGTTTGTCCGATCGACGCGTTTCGGCGGACGCCAGGTCACTCAGTTCAATGACATCAAGGCGGAATGGCTCGGTGATTCTGTTTCAGGTGTCGAGGTCACTTTGGCTCACAACTTTAAGGAGTGAACACCCCGACATAAATAGGGTTTCTCAATCCGGAGTCAACTTTAATTAACCCGTAATTGGTGGTTTGGATTGGTGGGTGGTTTGAATTTGGATTTGAGCCCCTGGTTCTCGTAGGGGGTAAATGGGAGGCCACCCCGGAAAACCTCCAAACCACCAAGTAGAGCGAGATAAATGGTGGCACCGCTTTGTTCTTTCCCCAAAGGAGCAATTGTATTGTGCGATCGGCAATATTGTTTCAGCTGCAAGGGGATGTCACTGCCGTATCACCTACGAGTTCAAAGCAAAGTCCACAACAATATCAGCGCCCTTTGACTGCTCTGGCCGATGGTGAAGTGGGAACAAACTCCGGAAACCTTTCAACAGTTGACCTGTTTCTTTTTCTTTTGGGTGACAGAGATGCGAGGCACTGGCGGGACTTCACTCAGCGTGTTGACATGGACAGGTAGATACGGCACTCTTTGAGTTTCATCCAAAAAGGTTCCGCGAGATGCACTGCCTCCAGTGATATGCTGTCAGTGGACGTGCCCTTCCCGTGGAAATCCACCTGAAGAAGGAATGGAAAAGGGAGGACCCAGATCTTCAGGGACCTGCCACCCTCACTCTGCTTTAGACGTCTAAGGAAGAGAAAAACGACGAGAAACGGGTCATAGAACCAATTGGGGAGACCTTGTGGAAGTGGGCACCCAGGATAAATGAACCCAGATTTAGAGTCAAACCTTCACGTTTTGGGGGGAGGACGTGCATTCATCCTGCCGATCATTTGGGTTCCTTTTGGTTACCCTTGGATTTGTAGTTTCCTTCCTGTCGTTGCCATGGAAAACCCACCAGAGGCTCCCTTAAGGAAAATTGGCTGCCACTTTCTGTGAGCCCAAAATGAACCCGTTTCAAGTGACATTCACTCGGCTTGTCATTGTTTTTACTAATATGTGTTTGATGTTCCCTTGTTGGTGTTAAAGGGAATCGATTTCACTGGAAACATGTTCTCATTTTTTCCACGGATCTCTTCTTTTGTTTCCCTTAGGTCTGCGATTTCCGAAACCTCCTCTGTCAGGTTTACAACCTCTCTGCCGGCAAGTCCTTGCCCCAATGGCTCGCTGAAGCCAAGAAGAAGAAGCAGCGGCCTGGCAAAACAGCAAAAAGCAGAGCGGTCAGTTGTCCAGTTTCGTGATATGTGTGGTTTTGTTTGCGTGTTTGTTTGTCTTCCTGTCTGCCTGCCTGCCTTCCTGCCTGTTTGTCTGTCTCTCCGTTTGTCGATTTCTTTGGCTGTCTGTCTGTCTGTCTGTCTGTTGGTTGGTTGGTTGGTTGGTTGGTTGGTTGGTTGGTTGTTCCCGAATGCGTAGCATAGGGTTCTCGTTTCATCTTGGGGGTCTGGGGGTGAAGCCTTGTTCGCCGGATGTTGTGCAACCGTCCGCAACCGTTCGCAACCGTCCGCAACCGTCCGCAACCGTCCGCAACAGTCCGCAGCCGTTCGTATGATTGCGCTATGGCTCTCCCAGTGGGGAAGCGCAGAACGCGTGACTTTGATGACTTGTGATGTGCTATTTTCGTCGGCCCTGTGTGCAAATTGTATCTTCTCGAGCTCGGCGTGTCGTTTCGCTGCGCAGGCGCAGTGTTTTGTGAGGTTGCAAATGCAGTGGGATTCGCGTTTCAGGGGCCGTCGTTTTGAGGTGTTTTGCTTGGACTGCTCGCGCAAGCGTTTGCTGGAGTGTCGTTTTCGTCGGCCCTGTCGTACAATCGGCTCGTTTTCACGACTGCGGAAATCGGTCGAAATCATTCTGGCGCTACAGTCACGCGCTAGTTTTCCGCGCGCGGTGCGAGAGTGTCAAATTCTGATTTCGTGGCAGGCGCAGCATTTGGAGCGTTTTGCACGTCGCTGTATCGTGTTTTTTCGTGACAGGCGCAGCACTTTAGAGCTTTTCGTTCAGATTTCGTGGCAGGCACCGCATTTTAGAGCGTTTTGTGCAGCTTTCCTGGCAGGCGCAGTACTTTCGAGCTCGCGCGCCGATGTCATGGCAGGCGCAGCACTTTGGTGCACTTCTTGAACATGCAAAGCGAACTTTGGGTGGATCGAATGGCTCTCGCTGTGGCGCGGTACACTTGTTGAAAATGCAAAGTGAGCCCTCTGCGCACCTGGGGCGGGTTAAATCGCTCTCGCTGTGGCGCGGCGCGAATTTTAAAATGCAAGGTGAATGCAAAGTGAACCCTCTCCAGAGAGCTCCTTCTTGCTTGCCTTTA